AGCGTGGCATAGGCGAGACGTATCAATCCAAATGGCTTGTTAAAGACTTTCCCTTAAATACACTTAAAAGGATTTTGACTGTATTGACATTGACATAGCTTATTTCAATATTATTGTATGAATGAAGGCTTTGTCCTGTCTCGGTGGCCATCTTAAGAGCATATATGAAATATCTAGCAAGGGAAGTACATTGTACTACTTTCTCTTTAAAGAACTTCATCCTTAATGCTGAAAGATGTGGTCCACCTTATGGCAGAAGGCAAAGTCCAAAATGCATAACACGTCCCTGGATCAAGGAAATTAAAAAAATTATTAATGAAGAGTGTTAACTTACGGTCGGTGGAAGTGCAGTAACCCAAAGTTTTTTTTTTAAATACTTCTCCTAAAGTTTTGCTGAAGGGAAACTATTGTGACCAGTTTATTTGACATAAAGCATTCTTGTGTGAAGGGAATTTAATGTTATATGAACGAAGATGTGGCCTCGTAGGGATAGGGTCCAGAAAGGATCATGTGAGTCAATTTTTGAAATAGTAGTCCTTATTTGAAGGGGAATAGATTTCAATATATATGAAACATTCTAAAACACTGCATAATTGAATGGTGTCACATCGTAAAGGACAGTGGAGCGGGACCAAAAATGAGAAATGTGTGTTAAAGACTACTCCCCAAGTACGAGGGAAGAATTCTGACCTGAATACATGTAGGAGTGGAACATCCCTAGACTAAAGGAATTCAGTGTTGGGTGGCAAATTAAAGGGGAAACATGTGTTTATCTTTAATAGATTTATTTGTACTTGGTTATGGGTGAAGCTAACCTGACCATAGTTAGACTTGAGCATCATCGGGGAAAAGAAATTCAACGTTAGGGCTGCAGTCGTATTGTGCCACTGTATACCCCAGAAGTAAATTTGCTTTGGTTTGATGTTTCACGTCCTAACAAAAGCTATGGTCATTTAAGGACGTGCTATGTTTTTATGGCAGTCAGAAAACCGGTGTGCCCATAGATAAACCACCAACATTCGCCAAGTACCTTGCGACTGCTCCTCGAAGTAGGCCTCGAACCCGGCCGCGACCAAGTGGTGGAGGGCTAGTGGTGGTCATGTAGACTGTCAGACGCCATAACCACCCGGTCAACGCGGCCCCTCCAGAAGTAAAATTAATGAAATGGGAATGTTTGGCATGCTCTCCTCAAAGATGTAGCCTCTACGAGAACATTTGCCTTACACCTTTAACAGGAACGTTTCCTTTCTCTTATAATGAGAAACTTGTCCCATGAAAAGAAACGCTGATATAGTTATGGTTTTAAACTTTTCGAACATATTTTGTGAAAATTCGACAAACGCAAAAATGAAAATTACAGAGGAAACAATCGTGAGTATGGTTGTATATCTGGTCAACAATAAACAGTTGATTTTGGAGGCAAGATTTTCCAGCAGACTGTAGGCATTCCTATCGGGACGAATTTAAACTGTGCTCTTCTTTTGGCCGACACGGTTTTTTGTATTTCTTATGAGGCTTAGTTTATTTAAGTGCTTATCAGAACTACTAGGAACATTCTTGGCAAGTAGTTCTATTCACTTTTAAATTTTTGAGGATAGACAGTTTACTATCTTTAAATAACACGAAAATGAATGGCTACGTTGAGGTACCCTCCTGAACACAAATACACTACAGACTCTTCTACATAAGCCTCCTCCCACTATCATTGTTTATAACATGACCAACAGGGAATTCATTCGTTTTCTGATCTTGAACTTTCCCTTTTTTAATAGTTATATTGCTGCTTCCCCAACCTACTGTGTTTGAATATCGCAGTAGTTTTGGCATTCAAAAGCTTGATTCATGGTTGCCGTAATAATTGTCGACTGTTGAGGGGAAAACTTACAACACAGCGTTTCAAATGATGCAGGTTTATGAAGACTGTTGACAAGTTTGATCTCGTTTGGAAATAAACTAATTCTTGGTGTGATATGAGAGTTATTTTTTTTAATTAAGCTTATTGGTGTCTCTTGTTTCGTTTTCAGCAACCCAGTTCCTGCTTTAAGGACGTGACATTACTTTGATTTGACCCAGATTTACGAGGCGAGTGCCGTCAAATAAACAATTACGCTTACCCTACTGGAGCACATGGTCTTATTATCCCCGCATTTCTCAAAGGGATTCCATGTAAATCTTTGTTTTGATCACATTTTGCCCTAGTTTTGTTGATTTGAGTTGAAAATACTGTTTTCTTGACACTTTGTTATTCTGTTGATGTGATTTTGTATGAATGCAAGATACTCCTCAACCACCACCATTCAAATTCCATGGTCACATTTGAAGTTTAAGGGTCATGTACATGTCAAATGCATGATCGATCAGGTCCATTCTAAACAAACTGCTTACAACTAGCTATGGGCTAATCATGTGTTCTCATTTTCGGTTTCATTCGAAATTCATGATGACCATGGACTCTGTACTCTGAATTTTAAAACTGTGATAGACGGAACAGAATGTTGTGTCGCTATAGAGCAGAAACGCGTGAGTTCCGCGTGCCGTCCTGTATCTGGGCTCGTCAGTTCAAAGCTGAATAAGCTTTAAATAACGAATGAAAAAAAACTTTAATCTGGGTTAATATTTCGAAATATTGTCGAGATAAATAAGTTAGATTACTAAACAGAATTTAACATTATCGTCTTAAGACAAACTACAGAATAACCATTTGTGAATTTTCATATTTTTCAAAGACACACTTGGAAAATTTGCATAATTGACTCGTAAAGCTAACAATGCTTTGCACGATTGCATCCTACAAATAGTTGGCGCACATTGTAGGTTTAGCATTCAACATATGCATCATAGCATGTCCTGTTATCACTTTGTGTGTTATCTTAACATCTTTTAATCATACTCTTAGCTTGATATTGACTGTGGTAACCCAGTAATGTAACTATTTTATTCGAACCTGATGCAAATTGATGAGTCAATGTAAACAGTAAAACTACAAAGTCGGTCGGTACTTTGTCGTTGGACTTTACTCTCGCACGTTTACACAAAATACTATTTTTAAAACAAATTATCTGTTGTAATAAACATTTGCTAATTTGTGACGGTTTGTATAGCTTTAGGACCTTTCCCATTTTGCTATACTTTTACATGTTTCGAAACTCTTGAAACATAAATTTCATTCTTATCATCCAAGTTCTACTGATAAATCCCTTGCTTTTAAATAGGTATTTAGTACTTTGTTTGTTTTATTAATAATTGTATACCTGTATTATTTCCCTTGAAGATAATATACAACAAATATACAGTTTGATACAAACGAATTTGTTTCTTACATGAAACCTTCAAAACCCACACAAACAATTTTCATAATTAACAAGTACAAAAAAGGATGCCGAATAGAAAACGTCTTCTGGTTCATTAACGACATCCGCCATATCTTCGAATCTAGATTGTTACATTGGTCGAATCTTATAGTAATGTCACGTACTCAAATGGGGAACCAGGGAAGTGACAATAAAAACGTAAGGGAGGCCAATGAACATTGTAAAATAGCATTGACCTTCATATTTTTATCATTGAAATCAGAATGGGGATTAAAACACTTGCCCGTATTCTACATTAACCAGTATTTCTCGGAACCTTTTGTTGTAAATCTGTCCGACAGCAGCCAACATCTATCACGGAAATCGTGATACCGGAGCAAGCCCTGAAAACAGTCGGAGGGGAATCATGTATATTACTAGCAATACAGAGGTCTGTCACGATAGGAAACTATCAGAATCATCACGGTTATCATACAGCTTTGTAGAAGGCAGTATGTTGGTCTTGTTGATAGGAAAATATCGGGTGAAGCGGCTGATGAAGAAGAATCTGTAGTGTCTTTGAATTCAAGTTCGGGAGGATATTGGTCAATTAATTTCTTCTTGTTGAAAGGCAACGTTTCGCTGAAATATCGAAGCGAAATAAAAGAATTCGATAAGGTTCTGTTACCTGTCTTTTTGAGCTCCCTCAGACACAAAGAAAAATGATCGGCAAGGATTGGAAGCACCAGGAACGCGCTTATTCTAAGTATATATTGTCACAAAATGTGCTCTTAAGTGCTTTACACCCATTTCTTGGAAAACATCTCACACGAAATGAGAATGGAGACAGTTATTTTTAGATTAGTGCAAGAGATAGTAGTGTAAAAGTACCAAAGGCTAATGTTCTGAAAGAAAAGAAAGGATATTTTAAGGATATGATGTTTAAGATTGATTTCAAAATATTCAAATCCCACATCCCATTGTATAATAATTTATGTACATCAAAGCTGGTCTAATATGCATATTGAGTCTTATATTTGTAAGTCGTATTCTACTAACTTTAAATTACCAGTATTAGAATAATGTATTCACACTGCAAATGGGCTGAAAAAAATCTTATTTCGATACAATTTTTACTTTTTCATTTACTGTATTTGTATAGTTAATGGCTTTTAAGGCAATAGATATATTTGTTTTTTGCACTGGTAGTTTGTAACCGAAATTTGATTAATGAATTTTTTTAGCTTAGAGGGCATTTAGTCTGCACAAGTATTTGCCTCCGCTCGAAATCGAGCCTGACAATTCAAAAATGTTTATTGTATGGAACACCTGAAATACAATCCTTGCATCATGATTGATATTCTTATAACAAACGATTAACTATAGACTCATAGCTTACGTTTGGCTCAATTGTGAATATGGGTTGGACGGCATATTCGTAATACTTTAAGTAGCCATACAAAAGCAGGAGCTCTTGTAGATATTGTCTATTAATTGCCTGAATTAACATTATGATAATGCATGAAAAAAGGTTATATATAATTCCGATTAATTCGGTAATCATTTATCATAAACTCTTTTTGTTTAAAAACGAGTTTCAAATGCATATGAAATTTTACAAAATCTTTATAACGAGATTCTTTGTCTTAATAATTGATGACGTCATAAAAATGATTGATCTTCCGTGTTGGATCTCCGTAGAACAGTCTTTATCTTAAACCTGCACTTGTACAGTTGTCATACTGTTGGTAAATCACGCGAGATGTCGGTCTTATCTGAAGCTGCGATCACTCTTTTTGTCCTGCTCCTCTTCACAGGTAAGTCGTTCCGGTAGCCACGGCTCTCACTAATGCAATCAAAAAAAGATTTGTAGTCTACGGTAAAAATACAAAACAATGTGTAGTCTACGGTAAAATACTATCAAATTTGTAGTATATGGTAAAATATAATAAAATTTGTAGTATATGGTAAAACATAACATTTGTAGTATACAGTAAAATATAATAACATTTGTAGTTTACGGTTAAATATAATAACATTTGTAGTATACGGTAAACTGCAATCAAATTTGTATTATATGTAAAATACAATCAACTTTGTAGTATATGGTAAAACATAATAACATTTCTAGTATACGGTAAAACATAATAACATTTGTAGTATACGGTAAAATATAATAACATTTGTAGTATACGGTTAAATATAATGAAATTTATAGTATGCGATAAATTACAATCAAATTTGTAGTACAGTATATGGTAAGATATAATAGCATTTGGAGTATACGGTAAAATGCATTATTATTTGTGGTCTACGTAAAATACAATCAAATTTGCGTTATACAACAGAATATAATCTTATTTGTAATACACTGTAAAATACTATCAAATGTGTAGTATAAGGTGAAATATAATCAAATTTTGAAGACACGGTAAAATACAATCTAATTTCTAAGACACGGTTAATACATATCAATGTTGAAGATAAAATACAATTTTATTTTCACTAGAATGTTTGCCTTTCAATCAATGTAATGAATCATTCTATCCATAATTACAAGGTAAAACACACTTTTCCTCACGATTTTGAATTTATTTCATTTATTTTGCTAGGATTTATTAACTTGAACACTGATAACTATATTTTTTCGTTAACCATAAGGCTTTTGAACTTTTGATGCGAGATATATGCCATGCTAGCCTAGCAGAGATTCTGTTTAACTTAAATTCAAATATCATGTTTATTACAAGTTAAGAATTTCTTTATTTTTGACATAATTGTCGATTTCAGTACAATAGAAATATTTGTTTATCTAAGTAGGGTACCTTAAAACTAATTATGAAAACATGCCAAATGATTAATTTTCTGAAAATTGAATTGCATATACATGCATATTCAAACACTTTGCAATCAAAGAAATGTTTAATGACAAATCACATTTAATTATGAAGATTATTTTCAATGGTCCATTTTGGAATATTATTTGATGATTTTTCATTTTTTCTTCTTCTCAATTTTGGATTTATTTCTTGTGTCTTTTTGGGAAAACTAAAAGATATATAACATGTGAACTGCACGTAATGGTAGGTTGCAGATAAACATATAAGCTCCTGAAGGATGACCTAAAACTTAGTCAATAAGGAGGCATTCTTGCAGATATCGAAAAAAAGAAGCTCATCGGCATTATAACATGTCACACTCATTTGCAAAACAACAGAATGCTACAAAATGTTTTTTTGTGTGTGTTAAACGCTCATTTATATACCTAGGTCATGTAGAGAGCTTCATTTCTCTTCTTCTAGTTATGGAGAGGCATATTCAGCCTCGGATCAAGATGGATGTGGCAATGCGAAACCTTAAAAACACAGTTGAATTCCCCAGATGTATATAACAGCAGATTATGAACAAAACAAACGAGAGCCAAGTGACCTAGATTGATAAAAGAACTTCACACGACATATCATTTCAAAAACATTTTGTTGTATTATAAATGAGATAGACATGTTATAAACACGTTGTAAATGAAAAGTGTAATATAATTTATAACAAACAATGTATCCGTCAATACGCCAATTCACCAATTAATAAAGTTGACAGACGAGGCTATAGTGCCTGTGTAACTAGCATTATCCACTCATGTCAGAAGTGTAACCGTGATATCCGTGTCACAACCTCCATGGTCTGAAGCCATTAAGCCGCTCCACTGCTACTTAAAGAGAAACAAAGCTAAGGAATAGAGACAATCTTTAGATATTAGGTCATTTCTTAACATTCGATTGGGTCACAATAGAGACTAACATACCGATGCCGACAAGGGGGTTGAAAGATTAAGTAATTATGCCATATTTTAAGAGAATTGATGAACCTTAATACAAACTGTGAATGCTCTACTTCAGGAGGGACTGAGAGTAGCATTGACTCGTGTCCGGCCTCCCTAACCAGAAACCAGTTCCTACAGGAATTCGGCGACTATTGTTTCCAGTTTATACATGTGGAGAAGACATGGGTCGATGCCAGGAAGGACTGTAACCATCGAGGAGGGGACCTTGTGCAGGTTGTCGACCTGGATTTCCAGAAATTCATCCTTAACACATTGAGGGAGGTTCTTCACTGGGACAGACACGGGGTCTGGATCGGAGCTACAGACCATGATGTGGAACAGAAGTGGATGTGGGTCACAGGTAACGTTATAAACGCGTCAAGTACCAGGAAATATCAAAATATAGGTAATGTTTCGATTTGACAGCTGTAAGTTTTGATTTTGATCTACAAACTCCCATTGTAATGCACAAAAATGCAATATGTGTTGTGAGTGAGACCCAGGTGGCAATTCCTATGACGTCATCGATTTGATTGTGACAACACAGACTTTGCTGTTCTAAAACCTCACGAAAAACGTTAGAGATGTGAAATAAATAAATAATTACTGCATTAAAATGTAAGTATAGGTACCGAATGGTTTAGCAAATGGTCCTTCATAACAGGTACGAGTTGCTATTGCTGACGAACTTACAAAGTATAACTTATTTAAAAGACACAAGTATTATGCACACACGTCAGAGACGTAACAGTAGCACTTCTGTTTATTACTAGCACAGGTACTAGACTCGTCTGGCAATACACCAATTAATATAGTTGCATAACGAGGCTAGTACCTGTGTTGCTAGCAGTATCAGAAGTGTAACAGTGTATTCCGAGTGAGTCAGAGGTGAAGGTGTTCGTTTGAGGGCTACATCTTACTACTTTAAATGCTATACGGGTACGGTCATCATAAGGATTGATTAACCCAAACCTCGAATGCTGTTTTAGGTCAGGTGTTGAACTGGACGAATTGGATGCCGGGGGAGGGACCACAGCACACTGGGGGTTTCCTATTCGCTCCAAGTCACGAATCCGAGGACTGTGCCCAGATCCGACTGGATGACACCCTTGGGAGGTGGCATGACTATCGCTGTAGTGGCGTCGGGGTCCACTACTCCTACATATGTCAGTACTGTAAGTATGGGGGTGTTTGAGCCTTCAGTTGTGGAGAATTATTTGCTAAAAAATAACGAGGAAAACTATGTACTCCCCTGAGACCAGCTGAAAACAAAGGCCTTCTTATACCATTCTTGAATCTAACTTTTGAAGTTGAACTTTCTTGAAAACCCTGTATAACTATCCTTGTACTTTATTGGTCTCCATGATAAATCTTTCTTTAATTCATATTTTGCCCTAATATTATCGATTTTGAGTTCAAATTACGGTATTGTTGAAACTTTAAAAAAGTAAGAGTATTGTTTTAGCCGAATGAACATGCAAAAGATCCTGAGATTTTTCTTAAAAATGCCGGCATTTTCATGGGAATATCCGTGAACTTTGTCAACGGCCTCCAGTTTCGCTTACACATTAGTTGTGTTTGGAAGCAAATTCCCCCCAATATCCGTTGTTTTTCAATGAATACTTCCTTAAAAATTGTAAGCTGTGTTACCTGTCCCACAATCATGTTCTCTAATCATCTTTGAATTTGCACTTGTTTGGTGTTACCGAATGAAAAGTTGATTCCGTCAAACCCGACCCTCCAATGTTTCCCTACCTTTGGTTGTCGGCGAATGTTGTGTCGCTCTACGTTTGTAGTCTTTCGATAAATGGTGTGGGATATTTCCTCAATGCTTTGTGCTTATTTCAGTCAAGCCAGTCTCGACAGGACAGGCAACAGCGCCTATAGGAAATGGCCAGACCACGGGATCTGCAACATACCCGCCTCATATACCAACTTCAGGCATCGATATGACAACGAACCAGCAAATTGTTCAAACAAGCAGACCTGTGACGTCTGAAAGTGTTAAGTTTTCTACCGAACATCTGGCTATGTCTGTTCTTCAAGGTATCACCTTAGGGTCAAAGCGGCTCCAAAATGATGAAAAGGCAGATGATTAAAACTTTCTTTCGCAGCAAAATGTCAAATAAACAAATAATAAAGGCTTGTATATTTTACAATGAATTCTGTTGTGTTTTGAGAGTAGTTGCATGGTTCATAATATAATACTTAACTGACTTATTTTTTAACTTGAAATTAACTAGTACTCCCATCTATATTTTGAAATTCATAAAATATGGGGTCTCACGCACCTCCCTCCCTGTTTCAACAGACGTTCAGACCAATTTGGATGGCGAACATTTTGGCCTCTAGCCTTAGAAGAATGATGCAGTGTTACTGTAGTTCATTTTGGCATAATTACCAAATATTATAGGACAGTAGATGCATACACCTATGTGTGTATTACGTCCATCTTCCATTCCTGGTAAGGTTTGGTTTAGTATTGTTTAACGTCCTATCAACAGCTATGGTCATTTAAGGACGGCCTCCCCTGTGTGCAATATGCATGCGTGTAGTGTATGCGTGTGTGTTTTGGTATGCTGCAATATGTTCGTGTTTGTCTCCTTTTGATAGCGCGGACTGATGCCGACTTTATAGTGCTACCTCACTGAAACATAATTCCGAAAACTTCCAGCAGGACACCCCAACCGGTAACAGTATGCTGGCAACGGGCTAACCAGTCGTCCCACTCCTAAATTGCTGAGCGTTAAGCAGGAGTGGAAACCACCATTTTTAGAGACTCTGGTATGTCTCGGCCAGGGGACAGAACCCAAAGCCTTCCTCACAGGGGCGAACGCTCAACTAAAGGCCAAAAGTGAGGCATTGTCAAGGGAGACATTAGGAAGAAGAAAGTTGTTTAGAAAGAAGAGAAAATATAAGATTCCAAATTAAGTTGACTCTTATGGCTTTTTAATGGACCAATTTAAGGATGATGAATATTTCATAATTATACCTGGCCTTCTTTTCGCTATTCCCCCGAAAACCATCCATACAAATTCACCTTTCCTATTGTCTGTTGCATGAGAAACACCCAATTTCTGATTGTCTATGGCATCAAGACAAATTATACCGCCATATTGAACGGCTTTATCAGACCGAATATTTTTGTAGTGGGTATGGCATCAGACACGTATCTAACAATTAAATTTGGCATCAGAGGCCAGTACTGTTTTAATCTCGTTTATGACGCCCACTGAGCTTGTTATAAGGTAAAACATATGTATCATATTACATAAAGGCTATGATAGCAGCACGAGTACCTAGTATTCCATTGGCGGCTACGAATTGATATTATGTACGTATAAACTGTTCTACTGGTTATGAAATGACGCACACAAGCTATTACTCGTTATGATCGCAGTTTCACCATTGGTTAGGACATTGGAGGTGCACAGCGTACACTGTTTCTCATTGGTTAGGACATTGGAGGTACACAGCGTACACTGTTTCTCATTGGTTAAGACATTGGAGGTGCACAGCGTACACTGTTTCTCATTGGTTAAGACGTTGGAGGTGCACAGCGTAACCTGTTTCTCATTGGTTAAGAGGTTGGAGGTGCACAGTGTACACTGTTTCTCATTGGTTAAGACGTTGGAGGTGCACAGCGTACACTGTTTCTCATTGGTTAAGACGTTGGAGGTGCACAGCAAACACTCTTTCTCATTGGTTAAGACGTTGGAGGTGTACAGCGTACACTCTTTCTCATTGGTTGAAATCAGACATGTAATTTCCCATTGATTCTTGCATCATATACATGCGTTTCCCATTGGTCTATATATCAAGGTATTTAAGAAAATCACTGAAAATATTAAGAAGAAAGCGCCTATTTAAAACAAATATTATTTTGATGCATTGTCAATGACATCAGACGTGTACATCTATTCCTATTTGATATATTTTTACCCATTAGTTATGGCATTAAACATGTTGTTCCTAATCGTTTTGACATCAGACATGTGTACACTGTTTTCCTCAGTGTTTATGACATGGTTTTTAAGTTATTGTTTTGAACAAACGTGGTAGCTCTTCTTCCCAGTATTCTTCTGGTCAAATATCATCACCCTAGTTATTTTGGTTATCAAAAAGAAGCCGTTTAAAGAAAACTGTTGACGTCGGATGGATGCCGGCCCAAGGAACAAGCTAACTTTGCCCTGTGGGTTAAAAAAGTTTTATCACATAATGTACTGTGTTATCCAGTGAAAATACCGTTGTCATATTTTTTGTACACGACGTCACAGACTTACGCACTGGAGTCAAAATTGCGGCGTTTTACATTTCAATGTTGCATGAACATGTCATTTTACACGAATAAATGCTATAAATCTTGATTATGTGATTAAAAGGATCTTACGCTAGTTTTCATTTCATATGAAATTTATGAAACTCGTCACAAGTTTTTCATTTATGCTCGCTAAGTCGAAAAATTCTTAAGACTTGTTTCATTAATCTCATATGAAATGGAAACTTATGTAACATCCTATATATATATATATATACATGTATTATGCATCTAAATTACATCTGAATTTAGCCAAGTAATTATGACTTATTGATGCGGGTCAGTATTTTTTTTTACATCAAATAGTCAATAAACACTTCCTACGTACTTTAAATGATTATAAACAATTGCAACCAAGACCAATAGTAAATGACTTGTTCATGCCGAGACATTGATTCATCTGAATATCACTAAATTAGTACAGGGTTAACAGGAGTACCGCGGGGCGGAACAAAATACGCCCGTCAAATGCCATAAAGTGTTATATACTTTCTTACATTGAAATAAGAGTGGTTAGCTGATATGCTATAAACAAGAGGCCCAGAGGGCCTGTATCGCTCACCTGAATATGTTTAAAATAATTGGTAAGAAGTAGGTGCTGTAAGTACATATGAAATTCCAGAAAGATCCATACAGTACTTGAGATATAGTGAGAACAAACTTCAAACAGAGCCCCACCCCTAGGGGGGTCATACCCACCAATTATACAAAATTGAGTATCCTTGACCCAATGATGCTCCAGACTAAATAAGGATAAAATCCCATAATCCCGATGGTCGAAGAAGGATTTTAAAGGTTTAACCTCTATGTCTCCTATTGGGCCCCGCCCTTCTGCCCCTTGGGAGACCACACCCACTGCTTATACAAAATTGAGTCCCCTTGGCCCATTGATGCTCCAGACTAAATTTGGATGAAATCCCTTAATCTTTATGGTAGAAGAAGGATTTTAAAGTTTTTACCTCTATTTCCCCTATTGGGCCCCGCCCCTCAGCCCCCAGGGGGGCAAAATCTACGGTTTATACAAAATTGGTTCCTCTTTACCCATGGATGCTCCACACCAAATATGGACCAAATCCTTTCATTCCTACAGACGAAGAATTTTAAAGAATTTGCTATACTTCTAGTATGGGACCCCGCCCCTCAGCCCCCAGGGGGGCAAAATCTACGGTTTATACAAAATTGGTTCCTCTTTACCCATGGATGCTCCACACCAAATATGGACCAAATCCTTTCATTCCTACAGAAGAAGAAGGATTTTAAAGAATAATTTGCTATATTTCCCCTATTGGACCCCGCCCCTCAGCCCCCAGGGGGGTCACACCCACGATTTTTACAAAATTGGTTCCCCTTCACCCAAGGATGCTTCAGAACAAATCCTTTTATTCCTACAGAAGAAGAAGGATTTAAAAGAATTTGCTATATTTCCCCTATTGGGCCCCGCCCCTCAGCCCCCAGGGGGGCCCGACCCATCGTTTATACAAAATTGGTTCCCCTTTATCCATGGATGCTCCACACCAAATATGGACCAAATCCTTTCATTCCTACAGAAGAAGAAGGATTTTAAAGAATAATTTGCTATATTTCCCCTATTGGACCCCGCCCCTCAGCCCCCAGGGGGGTCACACCCACGATTTTTACAAAATTGGTTCCCCTTCACCCAAGGATGCTTCTGACCAAATATGGAACGAATCCTTTCGTTCCTACAAAAGAAGAAGGATTTTAAAGAATAATTTGCTATGTTTCCCCTATTGGACCCCGCCCCTCAGGCCCCTGCGGGGACCAGACCCACAGTTTATACAAAATTGGTTTTGCTTTACCCAAGGATGCTTCAGACCAAATATGGAACGAATCCTTTCATTCATACAGAAGAAGGATTTTAAAGAATTTGCTATATTTCCCCTATTGGGCCCCGCCCCTCAGCCCCCAGGGGGGCCACACCCACAGTTTATACAAAATTGGTTCCCCTTTACCCAAGGATGCTTCACACTTAATATGGACCAATTCCTTTTATTCCTACCGAAGAAGAAGGATTTTAAAGAATAATTTGCTATGTTTCCCCTATTTGGCCCCACCCCTCAGGCCCCTGGGGGGCCACACCAATGGTTTATACAAGATTAGTTCCCCTTCTCCCAAGGATGCTTTAGACCAAGTATGGAACAAATCCTTTCATTCCTACAGAAGAAGAAGGATTTTAAAGAATTTGTTAAATTTCCCCTGTTTGGCCCCGCCCCTCAGCCCCCAGGGGGGCCAGAGCTACGGTTTATACAAAATTGGTTTCCCTTCACCCAAGAATGCTTCAGACCAAATATGGAACAAATTCTTTCGTTCTTACAGAAGAAGAAGGATTTTAAAGAATTTGCTATATTTCCCCTATTGGGCCCCGCCCCTCAGCCCCCAGGGGGGCCAGACCCACCATTTATACAACATTTGTTCCCCTTCCCCCAAGGATGCTTTTGGGCAAATTTGGTCAAAATCTGCTCATTCGTTCATGACTAGTAGCGTTTAAACGAAAAGTTGACGGACAGACGGACGGACGGACGACTGACGATGGACGCTGCGGTATGGCATAAGCTCACCAAGGTCCTTCGGACCAGGTGAGCTAAAAATGTAGGAGAAAATTTTCGGCCAAAAAAATTAAATACTGAAATGAACAAAGGGCAATTACTTTTGGAAAAATTGTCGAATCATAATTCTTTTAAGGGAGACACAACTTCATATCATGATTATAATGTATACCAAGTTTCAAATTGATCGGTCGAAAATTGTAGAAGGAGATTGCCGGACAAACAAAGTTTACGCCGTTCGGACAACGCCATACCATAATACTAGGTACCGTCAAATTTGACGTTCGTATAAAAATAGACAGAACAACAATGACTTGACTGAATTTTATTCAGTGTTATTTTTAACATTTATAAAGCTTAAGATCATTATATTCCTTCTAGAAGAGTAGATATACATCACTGATACTTGTACTGCATACTGGCAATATTTGTAAACTACATTTTCTGCCCCATTATACACAGGAGAAATTACATGTATATCATTGAAATCATAGTAATTCTCATTACTACAATTTTATACATTTCACTGTAATAATGCCACTCACAAATGATTACGCACATAATTATTTTGCATTAAAGCTGCCAATAACATATAACATTGAAGAATAATTATCTTATACTAAGCAGCTATTATTTAGCGCTTTCAAATCTGCATGAAAATGCTAACACATGATTTAATAATGCTAAAGTAAGCACCTTAACAAAGAAATTATTTGTTACCACCTCAAATTGCTTACTGACTAACTGACCAAAAATGGATCATTTTGTTGTCAGAGGCAACAATACAATCAATGTTAAGCCACATTGTTCCACCCTTTCACCCCTATGTATCTTGAGCGAATTCGACTATGCATTAACTTGGAAGAGTCAATAATGTTCTACAGTGGTGAAAGGGTTAAAGCCGAGTTAGCTTATTGAGAAGTTTACGAAAAATATTTCATCTGATGAACTTTCAAAAACATTGAAACTATAAACAAAAAGTATAGGGATTTACAATGTCCAAAGATAAGAAATACAAAAACATTTCAAATTTTTTAGAAGTTTAAAAAAAATGCATTTTGAAAACTTGTGTTATGATTCATTATGTTGCAAACCGGAGTTTTTGCCAGCTAATTTGGGAAAGGATCCCTTAGCAGGAATTGGGAAAATATCATCGGCATTTGGCAAAAGTTGGGAAATTTCATCAGTGTTCCCACATGTACAGGTTTGGGAAAATATCATAGATTAATTCAACCCGCAATTTGATTAGCAAAATGTTTTTCTCCACCTGTTTGTTTCAGTAAAATGTATAGCTATAAACAAACATTTTTTTTTTTTGTGTTTTGCTTTTCCAATTTCAAATATTTATGTATTTTGAATGCTCTTCCATGGACGATAATACACCTGCACTTTGAACGTTGCACAAATTACAACTGGAAACTTATATAAACATGCTTTTTAATCAAATTTGGAAAATAAAGACTGAAATTGGGAAAATGCAGGGTAATTTTTCAATTGGGAATGGTTTCTGTACCGGACCCTATAAACACCTGGCAAAAACCCTGTCAAACAACAAATATTATTGCAATGGCACATTAGACGCTGCTAATGTTGCCGTGTTTTCTGTCTACATTTGCACCAACCAGTGGATACAGGACTTGATAAGCAGGCAATGTCTACCTGTTCTGCTTCATTACCAACCAACAACCAATTGTCATGTGGTATTAAGGTCAAACAATGAAATGTCTGTTTACAATCATGCTATATTTACCCTAAACTTCGAATTTGAACAAGACCGGGTACAGTCAGGATTTGTGCATCCTCGATTTTTTCAGGGGTTACAATCACCTACACCCTCTACTGTAGAGAGTGTAGGTGATCGTAACCCCTGGAAATTGAGGATGGGATTTGTGCTCCACCAACATAACGTACAATCATTTTGAAAATGGACAGATTTCCCTACTTACCTTGAACAGAGACATCTCATGTATGTAATTAAATTTTTCAAGTTTTTCGTCGATATAATGATAAATATTTGAGTATTTGCCAAAAAATCACCCCATGAGAAAAGTGGAAAAAAACATAGCATACATTGTACCTCAAATCATGAAGCATTTTGTTCAATGATCAAGGAAAATATATACCTTTTTAAACTAGCATAGTTATTCTCAGATATATAATTTCTGTATGAAGCAGACATGGAATTCACCCATCTTGGATTTTTTGGTTTCAACAAAATTCATTGTATTTACAAAAGGATTAGACATCTTGGACAGACACATGTTAGGGTACAGACAAGCCACACAAGCTGCTATAAACAATGATGTGACGTCAGAAAAATAATCAATATGGTGTCTCGTCAAGAAAAGTAGATTATGGAAGGATCTCTATTGGCCCTACTGTTAAACTATGTTTGTATTTCATGCCATCAACACTCATATTTGAGGTGGGAGAAATATATCTTTCCCCAATTTGGAGTAGGACAGAAACATTTCTCAATCATCAAGCATGGCAAGATTTGCAATATTAAATGTCTGGTGTGAGGAAAAACAAGGGCCAGACCCATAGGGTCAAGATCTTTTCTGTATTTTTTCCAGAGTGTGAAAGACTCTATTAATCTCATAAACAGAGGGAAAATTGTCGGAGGAAATGATAGCAATCTTATCTAAGGGGTTGAAATTCAATATTCCTTTAAATCCACTTTTTACAAGTTTGAAAAACATTGAAGGTTGAGTTTCGGAAAACAACTGAAAATGTTAAAATAATTGCAAACTAGTGTTCAATATTGATTTCAGAAATTGGTTAAACAATCAATGAATGATTTTATTTCTACAAAAATGCATTTGTAAATGAAACTAAATAACGAAATGAGAATGAGAATGCTGTATTACAAATACCACAACTGGCCAAGATACATCATAGATAAGAATGGACATATCCAAGTTTTAGGACAATTTAACAATATCTCACAAACATGGACTAAAACAAATAAGATGCATGGTTGACATTGAACAAAACATTTTAATGTCAAACAGGTTTTTTTGTTTTGTTATAGAATGTATTTGGGTTAAGATCTCTGAATTAAAATTAGGAAAATTTTGGACACAATTGCAAAATCGGGGAAATATTATCCGGAATTAAAAAAAACTTTGATATCCATGAAAAGATTTTGAAAGAAAAATATATTCTTTCCGTTCTATTTATTTGGAAAAATATTTTCCCATTGGGATACTGTACATACATATCATGTAGCCAGAAAACTGAAAAGGAGCTTACTTGTTTCAGCATTGAGTGGGGTATAAAGCAAAATAAAGAAATAAAAATTCAATTGCAAAGTGATTAATTGTACAAAGTACACATATACATGTATTCTGAGAAATTTCACTTGTTTAAGCTTCCTTAATTTCTATGGAGTATTTTAAGAGTAGACTGCTTGTTTTGTCATTTTTAATTTCAACTCTAAAAAAAAATGTCAAGATAAAACATATATGCACATTTATCAGAAGTGCATGTATCAGACATTCTTGAGAAAAGGGACACAACTCTGCAAAAATGTGTCACCATGTCAAAAAGTAGTGTTTAATCAAAACAAATAAATTTAGTCCAGACAATCTAACAGATGCCCCTATTCTAGTACACCCCCTTGATTCGCATATTCAGTCTTTGCCTTGTATTGTATAAGAAAATCAAACATAAAAGTTAACTAATGGTTACTTCGCTAAACAGGTGCAGACTTTATCTAAGGGAGATAGTTATTTATCAAGCAGGAACTTATGAACGTCATTCAGTTTCAGAAAAATATATGCATCAAAAAAAAATTCCGAAAGTTATCAGAAAATATCCAGAGGACTTTTATGATGATCCAAAGCCTACCTCAAGTTTTAAAACAGACTTTGCACTGTTGTAACCGATGCATGAGAAGTCCAAACAATATCATTCCCTCTAAGAAACAATAAAGAAACTTCATGATTCTGACTGTGTTTACACAATTGGTTTAATTCAACATTTTTACAGTTATGTTTCTAATCAGACAAAACTAGGTCTTTACAGTGAACTCTTATTGGTTGTTTCACTTACATCAGCACTTGTCATCATTGAGAATGTTCATACCTAAATACGTCTTTTACAGGTCTACTCTGCTTATTTATCATTACAAAGTTAAATGCTCCCTTGACCTTTCATTAAAATAATATTATAATAGCAGACACAAAATTGCTGATTTTTTCTTTTTACTTTTTGTCAAATCATTCAATATCATGAGATTGAAATCGTAGATTATAACGATTTATTTTCATTTTTTTTTAAAGTTACTGGCAAGAAGTATCAGTATTAAGTAAGTAACATCAAGTTATGTTTTTCTTGTCTTTACACTGCAGATACACAATTAAGGTACCTAGTATATAGATCACAGCAGTTACCTAGTAAAGTATACATCTTCAGTTTTTCGATCAAGAATCATTCAAACATTGCATAATCATTTATTTGTAAAAGAGTTAATTGAGAATGTTTTGAGAAAATAGGATAAAATGAACTTCTGAAAGACTTGTAAACTGCAGTAGCTATTAGATCTAAGATTACTACATATTATATATATTCATCTTCTGGTTTCAGTTTCTGGTCAGTTTTATAGTAAGAATAAGACATTTATCAACACCAAAATGCACAAGTATGGCAGTAACATGTCAACACATACAATTTTTCAAAGACTATTGTATCTAATTTTCAATGTAACCACAGTTATCAGTTCCAACACACACTGTCTGGTTAAGTTAAATCCAGTGTATCCGCAGATCAGCTTGATTCAGCTCTCATTTGGTTTTGTATTCTCCAGTCCAGCACATGTTTCCGATGCTTCCATATTTTGCTCTGGACTTATCGGAGTTGGGGCACTAGCTGCTGTTTCAGTAATAGTTGCAGAGTCGTCCTGTTTTGGGCTGTTGGCTGCCGTTTCTGCTTTTGTGAAGAGCTGGATAGTCCTACGGAAACCTGAAACGTAAGTAAAATTAATTCATATTTTTATTTTGTAATTCAATATCAAGAGCTGAATATACATTTTTTTTTTATTATCATCTGTGAATTAGTTGATATTCTTATTTTACCAATCCCTACTATTGAACATACTTTATGATATGTTGTCTAATTTTGATAAATATAAATAAATCTTTTTTAACAGAAAATTCTCTTTTCAGAGATTTTTTAGGATATACAAGGGTCCCTTCCCCTAAAATATTTTTGCTGTATTTTCCCAAACCAATGCAAATATTTTCCAAAAGTCACAAAACACAGGTCCCTATGGAAAGTAAGTATTACAATCACTGGTTTTGTTTCAGGTACCACTTTCCAACTATACCTACCTTTAGACTTGTTGAATGGAGTGTCTACAACCTCACACGTTGAGAATCCGACCTCTTTTGACAGAAGGTAGTCAGAGAACTGCTCTGGTTTCAAGGAGATGCTTTTGAAGGTTTCAAAAATCTCAGGCTGAAATTATAAGATTTTCAGTATTTTTACACAAGGAACGAAGTGATGACTACATTTAATTTATAAAGATAAAATAAATATACTAATCTTACTTGACTGAATACCAAAGTGAAAATATTTACAATTCTGAATCAGCAGTTATTAAATGCTCACGTACATTTAGCCTTTCTACTGGTTTATGCCTGGGTACATTTTATCAGTGTTTCCTGAGCATAGGTATTTAGAGAAATTCAGTTTTCAAAACTTTTTTTTACATCGGGAAGTGCAATAAAATTCAATAACAATGTCCATCGATCATTTAAGTAAATGTTCTGTACTACATTAGTTTACCCATGTCCATCATTTAATACGCCGCCATCTTGCAAAACATTTTTCCATGTCCCATGTCTCTTTCTGTTTGTGCACATTCCTAAATCAAGATATCGCTTAACCCATTTGTATTGGCAACTATTTTGCTGAACATATATGGTGACAGCACAAAAGTTGTCTGGAACGTCATATGTGAACCAATGCTCGACTCGGTTAGAAACACTTACCGTCAATTTCTTCTTTTTCTTGTATGAGGACCAGGGCTGAGGCTCCAAAATCAGTCTCCCACCAGGTCGCAGCTGTCGGTAGATTCTCTTGAACATCCGCTTAAGGCCATCATCACCAAAGTTGAGATGAACCCATTTGGTCAGACTTAAAGCTAAGATGACGTCATAATCTTCTTTTTCCAGTTCTAGAAGTTCTTCTCTCTCGGGTACATAATTTCCCTGTAAATACATGATATCTAATGTACAATAACAGCCATATATATACAACTGTACATGAAGTATACACTAATACAGTTAGTGTTTATTTTTGGGGACTTTTTGGAGCCAATAATGTGTACCATCCTAATTTCAACTATTTCATATTTTTGCCTAATTCCCAAAACTTGCAGTTTACTCCTGAAAATTTCTTTCCTAATTGGTACATTTTCTTACCAGAATGAGGCAAAAAGGCCCCATCAAAAATTAACTCCAAAAAAGTAAGCTGCATGAGCACAAATATAATGATACAAAAGTAAAATGAGCAAATTCCCCNTGGATTGATCTTCACAATGTTGGCCGGAGTTATCCCGGGGTTGAACTACTTCCCCCGGCTCCTTGTCCCTAACTCCATATTGAACCCTCCTGCACTGGATCAGCCCTGGTTCATTGTTTTTCAAAGCACCTTAGAAACACTTACAATAAGTATTGAAGGAGCCAAGCAAGAAATGGGTAATATCTTTATGTAATTAAGCTCACTACATTAATACGGTTACGATATGCATGAAAAGTGTCTGTTTAAGCAATTACTAATTATACATTTAAGGTTGATAATTACCTGTACAAACACAACATTGTGTGGAAACTTTGGGTGGCTGTTGGCTTCATTCACTGGTGGGGCAGCAATCGGACCGTAACTCAGAGTATTTGAAATGGGAAAACTTCCCGTGTTCTCTTTTGAGATATAATGTCTCACATTTTTTCTAGCAGCAGCAATCAAACTAGAATCAATGTCGATTCCTATAACTTTACGAGGATGCATTTCTTTTGCTATCGCTAATGTCACATGTCCAACATTGCATCCAATGTCAATTGCATCCTTTCCCTCAAACCACTCTTTCTTGAAGGAAATCAGTCTGTGATCATCTGCAGTGTCAGGATTTCTATATCCATAATACCTGTTGTAGTTGCCATAGATGAATTTTCCTTTTTTTGAAAATTGTTTGTGTGAAGTTGAACTTGAAGCTGTCTTTTCTGCAGGTTTTTGACTGAACTGTCTTTTGAACTTTTTTGGTGGTGTGACTTTGTCCTGATCTAATGAATATCTCGGTGGACTTAATGAGGTTCTCAAAATGGATCGTGACACTAATGAAGATGGTTCTGGCCTGGCATCGCTCATGCTTAGAGTCCGCCGTCGGCGTCGGTAAAAAGGGTTACTTGGTGAAATCTGCGAAATGACAGGAGAAACAATTTTATCTGCATTAGGAACATTAACAGTCACTGTCTTAGCACTTTCTGATGTCTCAGTAGATGTTGTAGATGTCTTTTTAGTTTCTGGAGCATTTGGGACGGCAATGTCATCGTCATCAATTTCAATCCTTAATGCTTCCAGAAGACCCTTTCGTTTTTCAGAGCATGGTTCTTTTGACAAAGATGTTGACATGACTGAAGAAGTGGATGTATTTTGGCTTGAATCTCCTTTCTTCTTATTTTTATGTTTGTGCTTTTTCTTATTGCGATTTGCACCTTTTGTCAAATTCCAGTCCTCGTCTAAATTCAGATTCAAAGGGTCAGTGATGTTTGTTGGAATATGAACTTCAACCTTCTGTCGATGAAGAGGAGTAGGTAAGGGCGAAGATACTGGAGTTTTCTCGTTTAACACTTTGTCAATCTCCTTGTCATTCATACTATTTAGGTTTAATGGATCGTTGATATTTCCACCAAGAAGAAATTTAGTAGGAAGCACTATTGTTTCTGATGGCATGGACTTCAGCCTCTTTCTCCTGAAGCCAAAAGACTGGTGTTGCTGGTTTGTCTCGGCACGAAACTGGCTGAAGCGACGTTTCCTGACCTGTTTTCCTTCATTCTGGTTCTTATTGTCACCGAATGAAAACTTTCTGAGAGGCGGAGAATTTCCACTTCTTAACTGTTTCTCACCACAGTGGAACTCAGTGTGCTCGAACTGAGTCCGTGTCGGAGTCTTTACCTCGACACTCATTCTGAACGTTGGGGCGACGAATATTTATGTTGACATCAGCACGTGTACAACATAAATACGACTCAGTTCCGCCATCTAGCGGGCAATGACTACACTAACAAAGTCGGACATCAAAACAGTCAATTGACCTACATATAAACCTCTTTATATAGCCTACCAGCAATGAGCACGCTCAAATTATGCAGTTAAAGAAGTTAAATTAACATGAAATGTTCCATAAATGTATCAGCAAATATCTTAAATACCGCTTTGAGAGAGAAATACCACCTCGGTTCCCCAGCTTGTTCCGTGCTCCTGCTCAGCAAGTGCTCGATGTGCGCATGAACACCGCAATGAGGTATGGGAAATAACATTCGGAACATCATCGGACGTAACACTTGCGATTGATATAAAACCACGAGTCATTATTTCACGACCGAGTGGTGTAGGCAGCTGTCGTCTGTTGAATGTAAACACATAACGTTTGCTGTTCAAAAAGGACCAGCGGTAAACATAAGAAGACTGAAAATATTTTTTAAATAATACGTGTAATTGGTAAGAAAAAAGACAGAGATTGTCGTGTATTGAACCACTTTAATTCGATCAAAAAATTTACAAATTTGATATAGGCCTAAACCAGATTTAAAAATCTTGAACAGTAAGAAAGGCGGGAAATTCGATTTTGGTATGCCTGGTTCATAAATTTATTCTGCCTAATTCTCTAGTCCATGGAATAGAGGTTATTCTTACAATAATCACCCACATTAAATCGAGAACAGTAGTAATAAAGTTCATCAAGTGACCAACATAGTGACAATTTGAAAACAGCTCAACATTAATTAAGGTTCCAGAATCTAGTCGTTAAACCTATAAGTCGGCGGCTCTGATCTCTATCAAATTTACCATCCATTACTGTGAAAGCTGTGTTAAAACTGCATAAATATACAGTATATAGAGTACAGAGAGCCAAGTTACATTTAATACTAGCCTGCCTATAATAAATAACAGTACCTGAGATTTCTTATTGACACAACAACTGAACAGATATCTAGTGTTGAAATTTTCTACATTATAAGGTAAATTTAAACATATAGTTGGAATTGCTAGTAATTTAGCTTTCAATGATTTTGTCATATTTTTATTGTACAAAAGATTACTGTCACCTTCTAGCTTCGAGTTAGGGGGAATTTCCTTTTAGCTAAATCAGTACTTGAGAAGAAGGTTGGACTGGGAAGCTTGGGGTTGCGGGTTTGATCCCTGGTGGAAGCACACCACTATCTTTCTTGGTACTACAGTATAAGCCTACAGAGTACAGAGAGCCAGCATTGCTAACCTACCCTGTCTATAATATATAACATTTTTACTTTTTTGTTTAGAACTTGAAAGAATGGAGACTTCGGAAAATGATCCAGAATTAAGTGATTTACCAGAAGTATCTGCAGAGCTTCCAGTCATCTGCCAACCCGGTGTCGATAAAGTGGTTCGTGTTTTGATACGCCCGTCAAATTTAACGAGAGTATTATGGTATGGGGCCGTCCGACCTAAACTTTTGTTTGTCCGGCCATCTCCTCCTACATTTTTCGACCGATCTCTTTGAAACTTGGTATACATTATAACCATGATATGAAATTATGTCTCCCTTAAAAGAATTTTGATTCAGCGATTTTTGCAAAAGTTATTGCCCTTTGTTCATTTCAGTATTTGATTCTTGTCCGGCAATCTCCTCCTACATTTTTTATAGCATGTCAGCTAACCACTCTTAGAATGATGCAGATCTTATTTCAATGTAAGAAAGTATATAACACTTTATGGCATTCAACGGGTGTATATTGTTCCACCACCGCGGTACTCTTGTTGTTAGTGTTACTGTGGCCAACCTTTGAAATCTTGAGTCAACTGGTTCATTGTAATCAAAATCTTCTTCATATTTTCCTATTGTCATACAAAATGGTTTTGCCATTCAACATGAATGGTTTAAAAACAATTGACTTCAATTAATTATATATATATCAAAAGTGTACATACTTTTATGTTCTTTGTTTTTTTCTTTTATAATTCAAGGAAGTAATTCATAACATGGGAGACGCTAAAGAGAACTCAGAAGAAAAAACTGAAACAACGTCACCTGTTAAAGATTCTGAAGAAAAAACTGAAACAACGTCACCTGTTAAAGATTCTGAAGAAAAAATTGAAACAACGTCATCTGTTAAAGATTCTGAAGAAAAAACTGAAACAACGTCACCTGTTAAAGATTCTGAAGAAAAAACTGAAACAACGTCGTCTGTTAAAGATTCTGAAGAAAAAACCGAAACAACGTCACCTGTTAAAGATTCTGAAGAAAAAACCGAAGCAACGTCATCTGTTAAAGATTCTGAAGAAAAAACCGAAGCAACGTCATCTGTTAAAGATTCTGAAGGAAAAACTGAAACAACGTCACCTGTTAAAGATTTTGAAGAAAAAACTGAAACAACGTCGTCTGTTAAAGATTCTGAAGAAAAAACCGAAGCAACGTCATCTGTTAAAGATTCTGAAGAAAAAACCGAAGCAACATCATCTGTTCAAGATTCAGAAACATCTAAAAGTTCAACGAGTATCAAAGTAATGAAGAAGAAAAAGGCTTCTGGATTTCAGGCTCCTACGAAGGCACCATCAATGGTATTTATTATGTAGCAATTACAATTTTTAAATTTAGAACCCCTCCACTTTTCTTAACTTGACTTGATCCAAGGGATCAAACTGAGCCTAAAGCATGGCTTCCATTGTTCTCCCTGGAGGTCTGTTTGTGATCAATTACTTCAAACAACTTCTTCTTTATGGAAATTTTCGAAATTTATGTGGAAACATTTGTAATCGATGGTCGGTTTGACAAAAATCTTAAATCTATGTAATCCATATCATATATGATTCAGTTTGATAACAGTCTGACAACAACTTATTATAAAATTTAGCACATCTGTCCTATGACAATATATCGGGATACACTCTTGGCGTATTGTGACACCCCTAGTATATAATTTTTTTCATCCCTACCCATTAGAGCAATGGTGATACAGTTGGAAAAGTAAAACCCCAGAAAACAAAAGAAACGGAACCAAAGAAGAGCATAGATCCAGTTGAACAGGTAAACATAGATTTGAAAGAATATGAGAAAGATATTAAAATTCATGATCGATCATCACTTTAAATTTATTGCTTTATGATAGAGTAATTTTCTATCTAATTTTCTAAAATAAAAATTAAAAAGATGAATATAATAAAGAAACCTTGGAATCCAGCCCATATAGCTAAATATTGCAAATTAAATACATGTTTTTCTTTTGAATTTAAATAATGTTAACACTCAATGACTGCGAAAATTTGACAGCATCTGCAATTGTGTGTACATCAATGTTTTTTCTGAAATATGCTTAGTATGATTATAATAATGAAATACAACTCTGAACTGAGTACAATAAAAAAAAGAAAAACTCCAAAAAATTCAATTGGCAGTGGAGTTGAAAATTGACTTGATAAATATGTAGTCAGGGAGAAATTATTTCAGAGGTTCAGATAATAATATTCACAACAATTTTTTTGATTTAGCAATTAATTTTGGATTGTGAAATTAATGCAGGAATATTTGAAATTGAAAAATTTAATATGAATTATGCAAAATGCAACATGTTAATTTTGATTGTGAATTTATTCTTGTATTAATAGGGATTGAATGATGACATGAAGAAAAACAAGAATGAAAAATCAGAGAAGAAAAAGAAGCCAAAAAAATCCAAAGATACAAAGGTTTTAAAGCCATTTCTATTATTTATTCAAATAAATAAACATATAAAGAACCATAATGCCTAGGGTAATGATATAAAGTTTACTGGGATGAAGGACTGTCAAGTTTTTTTCAAAATAGATGACATTGTTATACTTCTTTGTAGATGTAAAAAATGAAATTTAGACAAGATCTGGTATGGGGAGCGTATGTCCACACTTTGATTTCTACAAAATAAGATAATTGCTTTAAGATTATTATGTGTTGATGAAACTTTGGTTAAGCATATACATTATACAAAAGCTTAGGCTTAAGCGTAATAACGGGGAAAAACAAATATAAATGGATTCTGGTTCTGATGGAACTATATACAATGACAAAAACTAAGTTATAATTTGAGCAAAATCTGGTTGTAATTAAGTACATTTTAAAAGATGAATTGAAATGTGGGCAAAGGGAGGCTATTCTAATACAGTTAAAGATTTTTTTATGATTCTTGAGGCTTATTTACTCTTTCACCGGCTAGTAAAGTACAAAGTGTTTTCCCCTTTAACCACATACAAGAAATGATTTAATTTTCTTCTGTAATGGAGTACAAATGAAGGTTCTTCTTGTTTTATTTCACCATTACATTATATATGTCACTTTGTTATGGGATGCATGGCATATATGACAGGCATATATTGTTCTGCCCCTGTAGTACTTTATGTATCTTTGTATCTTATTTCACAGGAAAGCGTTGGATCAAAGGAAGTGAAGCCAAAAGAGACCAAGAAATCAATTAAAAAACAAAGTAATGATGTGGATAAAGAAAAAGATTCTGTGAAACCAAAAAATACCAAGAAATCAAGTATGACTGGTGGGGCTGAGGTTCTTCCTGCCGTAAGTCATAGAAAAATAACTGATTTTCATTGTCCCTTCTGATAGATCATGATGCTTGTACATCTGTTAATTTTCTGTTTCAAAACACTTTGTGACTTAATTGCAATGTTATTTTCATTTTATTTAGGATGATTCAGTTCAGACACCCATCTCATCTGAATGCAATAAAGAGGAAAATACGACAAAAAGTAAAAAGGCAAAACTGAAGGAAACTGAGGTAAAAACACATATTATATATTAAACAAAAAATCTTCTTATCCTGACTGACACTTTCGTACCTTTCATTATATATCATTCCTGTTATGTTCAGAATTGTCAGAACCTTACCAAGTGTCTCTAGTTCACTGCAGTAGTAATATTATATATTTCAAGGTTGAAGCAACTCTTCAAAGTTCGTCTTTAAGACAGTAAGATACTATGAATTATTGCACAAAAATGTATTACAAAGAAATTTGGGAGTCCTCCTTAAAACCTTGACGACCTGATGAGCAGTCAAAGCCTCACAAGCAAGTGAAAGTCCATGTAGCAAAGTTTTAATAATAATAAAAAACCAACATTTTATTGAATATTCCTCGGGCAACCTTTCTGAAAAAAGAAAAACCTGCAGTGCCAGAAATTGTAGCTGAAACCTCTTAGTTTCCAAAAATCAGGCATAAATAGCATAGCTGGGGTCAGGTGGGTCACTATGAACAGAAATTCAGGGGATCAGTTGGTCCCTCCTGAATTTTAGGAGCCTTCTGGCCCCCAGTCCTAAGTAGGTATTGAAGTCGAAGAAGATTTTTGAATAGATGTAGAATTCACCATTAAACCAAATTGATCATTTGTTATCATAGATACTGATTGATATTGACTGTTTAATAAGAACTGATGTTAAAAAATCCCTGTGACGTCATTCATTGTGAACACTTAATGAAGTCCAGTTGGATATTTGACTATCCAACAATATTATTGTTGGATAGTCAAATATCCAACTGAAAAAAAACTGGAAAGTAAGGAAAATGAGAACAAGGAAAACCAAATCAAATAGAAACACTAATTAATTTTGATATTTTAGTAATAGCACTAGGAAATATTTTGTCATATTCAAGGTCACAGGGGTCAAATTTGTTAAAACCTTTTAAACGACTTCTTCTGATTAACCAAAAGGCCCAGAAGCATGATATCTGGCTAATAAGTTTTTAGAATGACGCCTGACAAGGTTTGCGAAAAGAAATGACCCTGACCCATATTCAAGGTCACAGGGGTCAAATTTGTTAAAACCTTTAAACGTCTTCTGAATAAACAAAAGGCCAAGAAGCGTGATATTTGGTCGGTAGATTCCTAGGATAAAGCCTGACAAAATAAGTGAAAAGAAATGACCTTTGCCTATATTCAAGGTCACAGGGGTCAAATATGTTGAACACTTTAAACAACTTCTTCTGAATAACCAAGATACCCAGGCTGATAATATTTGGACTGTAGCATGCTGGAATAAAGAGCTATCAAGTTTCTTCAAATGAATGACCTTTGTCCATTTTCAAGGTCACAGGGGTCAAATATGTTTAAACTATTAAACAACTTCCTCTAAATAACCAAGAGGCCCAGGATGATGATATTTGGCCATTAGCATGCTGGGATAAAGTGCTACAAAGTTTGTTCAAATGAATGACCTTCACCCATATTCAAGGTCAAAGGGGGAGGGGGAGGGGGGTATTTGTCTTAAAAACTTCTGAATAACTTAAGGTTCCAGGGTGATCAATTGTTCATGTGAATGACCTTGACATATTTTCAAGGTCACATCTGGTCCACAGTACATAAATCTTTAAAAGTCACCTCAATAAACAAAAGGTATAGGGCCATTAGGGTGATGTTTGACAAGTTGCATACTGTGAGGAAGGCTATAGATTTTGTTCAAATTAAAGTCCATGTTTGACTTTCAAGGTCACAGGGGTCAGTTTTAATCATTTAACAGGTGCTTTGCTTTTGAATGACTTAAGTCAAGACACTGATGTTTTGCTTTTAGCTTTATTTTAGTCCACTCTTAAGGTTACAATTGTGAGATTAATACCAGGTTCCAGGCCATTTGCCAAAATGGGAGGGGGCTTATTTTCTGTCAAATACGTTAAATGCAGAACATCTGTTTTCGGAACTTGCATTGTCTCGTTTTCAGATTTTTTTAATTCTTTTTAGAAAAAAGAAAAAGCTAGTGAACCAGTCAAAACCTTGTCTGCTGAAGAGTGGGAGCAGGTGTTCCAGTCCGCTATCGACAGAGTCATGAACACACCATTAGACCAATGTAACTTTAAATCTGCCTGCATTTGCATTGACACCATGCATCCTCATATCAAACCGAAGCAAACGTTGCAGGGAACACAAAATATTTGACATATAGTCCAATGCTCATTTTATTTTATATGTTATCTGCCTTAAAGGACAAATTGCTTTTGAAATGGCACTGATCTATTTCTGTTCAGTTTGATGAATTTCCACAAGTGTGGTTTCAGAACTTATTACCAATGATTATCTGCTTTTTGCCATACATTCTGGGAAGAAGAGATCAAATGGGTCCTTTTGCAGACAGAACAGTTTAAAACTAGTGAGGTCATTTCAAAATGTTATGCTTCAAAATGATAAAGGGATGGCATAAATGCATATTCAGGCATGCAATACATTTATTAAAGAGTTTATTAATGTAAGTTTTTGAAAATTAGAAAACTTGAATAGAAATTCAAGTTCAACAACACTGATATATTTATTTACTGATCTTGAGTCATGTCTTCTGTTATGTAAATTCTTTATAAAACTTGATTTAAACATTTTCAAGGATTTAATACCCCACTTGGATGTAGTGAGGGTAGCTTGACATTTGTATGGACATCAAACTTGGGATTTTGGTTGTGTAGCCTACTAAAAAAGGTTATTGTGACCACCTTTGGTCTCGGATCTGGAAATATATCTATTGTACATATATTTATTGGATTGATTTCTCAAGCAAGTCTTGGCCACTGTTTTATGATCACTGGTAAACTTGAGTTATTTTACAATAATTATGACACTTATTTTACAATTATATAGTAAGTTTTTAAAACTTATATTGATCACTTGAGCTACTGCTGCATGGCCTGGATGGTAGCATGCATAAGAACTTCAGACTTGGTATGCAAGTACATAATAAGAATATGCTGTGATGCATATTACAAAAATAAGGTCATAAAACCTCTTCCGACCTTTCGACCTTTTATCTCTGATGTGGAATTATAGGTTTCCAGAGCATATATCTCTGCCTCTGTTTCATGATATTGACATCACATTGGTTCATCTTGGGAAGGTTCTGTCGCATACCAATATGGTAACGTTACAACCTCTATTGGACCTTTTGACATCAAAATACCAAAATACATGTTTCTGGGTCAAATATCACACCCAAAAGTTCATGCAGAGAGACCACGATATGTATGTATATCATGGTCAACCTGTGTGTCACATACCAACTGAATTCACCTCTGGTCAATATTGTTTCATAAAAAAATGGTGTGCTTCAGTATACACCAAGCCCTCGCTTTGGATAAATCTTAAATGTAGCTAAGATCATGTAATACTGTGTCCATAGTGTGTCAAGGATTCAGTAACTTTTCCCCCAGGCTGTTTTACTCTGTCATTAATATAAACCTGCCCTTTTCGGTTATTTACTCATTGCCCTTCTTAATTATTTGACTTGAAGAAAAGGAAACATTCTCTTCATTTTGGGAAACTGTAGTTCTGAGTAATTTTTGATTAAGCAATCAACAAAAAAAAATATTTTGTGTATTTTTTGATTTGCCTTTTTTGTTCCTCTTCACAGTACAAAAATTCTCAAATTCTTGAAAACAGAAAAATCTTTGGCATTCTTTGCTATTTCTTAGATGCATGTTTATTTTATGTTTCTCCTACAGTACTTTCAACAGATGAAGAGTTGGTGCAAAATACAACCACACAGAATGAGGATGAGGATGAAAATAAAGATGTCATTTTGGAAGATAGTTCTCAGAATGCCAGTGGTTTGACAGTTGATATACCAAATGACAAACTGGAGATTGAAGTCCCTGAACAGATTCAGGAGAATTCCAGGAATCACGATTTCCCTTTAGAGAATGAACACATACAGTAAGAAAGTTTGATACCCAATTTTTGTGGGGTGTGTACCACCTTTGATTGCAATAGAACCAGTCTCAAGAAGCTGTAATTTTTTTATATTTACTCTGTCTTTTGATCAGCCAGGACATTTTTGTCCAATTCTCAGTCCCATCAGATCAAGTTTTACTAATAGTTTCATGTACAAAGTGATGTTGGATAGATATTATCTATAGTCTTCAGATTTAAATTCTTTTAACTATTGTTAATTTTGACAAAAAATAGCTTTTCAGCTAATACAATCTTTTTTGTATATCATTTCCAAAAAATGACTGTAATATACCTGTTTAAGTAATGTGCATATAACATTTTCCAGTCCATTTTATTGACATAAAAAAGTACTGACAACAAGTAACATTAAACAGTTTCATTCTTTTTCAACATTTGAGAGATCTTGAACTTAAAAGAAAGCAGTTTTAGATGAACTTTTAGCTTTGTGTTCAACCTCTATATGACTAGTATTAATATTTGACACCATTTCATCTCGTTATAGGAAAAGCTCTGCAATATTCTGATAATTAAGAGTAAGAAAATTTTAAGGTGACCCCTAAGGTTCAGTAAAAACATTTCGTCACGTACGATCGAAGAGCACCGCCGGAATTCAGCAAGGATTTTGGCTGCATGCTTAAATGAAATAAATAAATAAAAAGTGATTGGTCCACTAAAAGAAAGTCGCGTTAGTTACATTTTATTTTATTAAACTATCTTCTTTGTACTACCATATCACTTGGACATTAAAATACGGTAATTTCTGGGTTTTGACACCTGAAAAGGTAAAAAAAACACGTATTTTCTTTATGTCATGTTCCGGTTAATATCATATTTTCATCTAACAAATCAGAAGTGATAATAAGCGAAATCTAATGTAGTAACATTAATATGACATTAAAGCAACATGACATTTAGTGGGATTCACTATATTGTAGAATGGTTGAGTGTGCACAAGTGCAGGAACTAAACGAGAACACACCCGAGGGAAGTGAATTGGAATTCAATGGCGAAGAGGACAAAAAACAACAACACACACCGGTTGTCCTTGTGAAGAAGGCTATGAAGAAAGCTGATAGAAACAGTGCTGCCAAAGTGCTTGCACCCAGACAATTACACTTTCCAAAACCCATCGGTAAGAACACAATTACAAAAGCGCTATGTAAATTTCAATTTTCCCTTTAAGTAGTTTCTTTTGGTTTCATTTTCTTGAACAGGTTTACTAGAATACTTTTTTCAAAATAATTTTACTAGAAGGTCAGGAAGGAAGTTAATAGTCAGGCATGGCTGCTTGAGAAATCCAGTTTCTATCAACTTTTTGTTTTATTACGTCAGTTCATTGTAATTTTTGTTATTTGATGGTTGGTCATGGGATCTTTGACAATTCATAAATGTCCTATACCTTCTAATAGATCTTTAAATATTTTGAATTTGTCAAATGAATCATAAAAGTTAAAGAAAAACTTGTGTATTATACAATTGCATCTTTTATGATCCCGCCAAACAATGTACCTAATTTTTCACAGAATATTTTCATTTTAAAGTTTGTAAAAAAATATAAAAAATAAACCTGTTTCCTTTTAGATGAGATCTTATGAGCATATTTTTTCTGAATTTGACCCCAATCTAAAAATTAGATAAAAAAGAAAAGAAAAATAATCCATAAAGAAATTGTTTACTTGCAGGATAAATGCTTTTATTTCATATTTTTTTTTATGGATGGTTTATGATATTAAGTAGTTATACATATTTAATGTGCAATAGTGATCAAACATTTTTATTAATGACTATCAAGAAATCAAAAAGGGAAAAAAGAAAATGATGGATGTGGTGAAGAAGAAGAAAGGAAAGAGAACAGAATTTGCAGAAAATGTAAATGACATTGTCAAAGATCAGCCTGGAATAAGTAAAAAGCAGTTGATGATGGAGAGAGAAATTCAAGAAACAGGTAACTCAAAACACTTAACAACTCAAATGATAAAAGACTCTGTAATGAGTATTAATCAGTGTGGTTAAAGACCCCACCACCTATGAAATCTAAAATGTGATTTAATATAAGAAAAGGTAGGCAGACCTGGTTTTAACCGCACCACCCATAATATATTAATACAGGTGCCTCCCACCTCCCCCGTACAATTGATTATGGAATAACCCTCCGTAAATATCAGGGCATATTGTCATATACTCAGTTACCAAATATGGAAAAGTGAATTATTAAAACCATAGTTAAGATGCTGTAGGAATACCACAATTCAATCAGTTGAAATTGCCTAAGGTAATGGTACAAAAATGTTACAGTATTAAATACTTGTGCATAAGTTCAGGACAATATACTGTATCTTCTTTTTATTCAGTGTTTCAATGCAACATTTTATTAGGACAAAAAACAAAATCACTTGTGTTTCCACTATCGTCTTCAAAAAAATAGGGTAGATAAGTAGGCATTTATTTTTTATTTGGAAAATATTTTTGCATTGCATATATAAAGCAGGAGTTCTGACTTTAAAAGTGCATATCACCAAATGCCAATGAAAAATTTAGGGTAGGCACACAAATCTAGGGTAAGCAGGGTTAGCAGAAACAATCAAGAGATTTGTACACTCGTGATATCTGAAGTGCTGTAAGGTAATGGATTATAATTGTCTTCAGGAACCTGGGTACAATGCTCCAATACAGCCTGTCAAAAGTGGAGATTTCTACAAGACATCAATGATCCTACTGAAATTGATGATAAATGGATTTGTGAAATGAACAAAGGTATGTACCTATAGCTTCTTTATTCATATCCCAGCATAAGTGCCCTAGCTAGCTTCCCCACAAATAAATGTTATTTTACCCAGACACTTGCCCCATTTGTGAGCCTCCTTTATCTGTAACTTGTCAACAAGATCTATTCGTCTAGCATTATAATTTATAAATACCGAATTTCTAAATAACAATATGTTCATGTATTATACATGTAGAGTGTTATACATATTGATTAATGATTTCATACATGTTACGCCTTGATCTTGGCTCCATTAGTCTGAAAAAGTTGCAGTTCAGTCACCGGCCCCTGGTTATGAATTACAACATTGGCAATTTTACTTGTAAATCCAGAAACTTGTGTTACAGAACTGGGATAGTTTTACTAGAGATGGAAATCAGGTCACGGATGATACATCCATATGTCCTTGAAATTGATTAATCCAGATTTTTTATGGGAACCTTAGTACTGCCCAGATTAATGAGATATTCAAAGACACAGAAAACAAATTTTGCTATTAACAGGTAATTCTTTAGGTTACATCTATACATATTGTGTTGGGAAGGGCAGAGGTGTGATAATCAACTGGCATGCCTGACAAGGAAGCAACCAAATGTCAGACTTGGTCAGAAGCAAAACTTTCAAACTTTCCCAGCCAAAGTACATAGCTTGCTCATTTATATTTTTCTTTTTAGACACATCCTATGACAGCTGTGAGAAGAGAGAGCAGGATTATGATGAATCTGATCATATCTTCACCAGATATTCCGAGGGCAGCATTGTGTGGGCCAGGATGGTCGGTTATCCATGGTACAGTTTACACATTTCCATTTTTAATTTTCAGCCCACCTGGTTTGAACTTCGACGAGCTCATAGCATATTTTAATTGGCATTTATCTGTCTGTCCAGAACAAGTTCTTCAAATGACATCTTTTTCTGAGTGGCTAAACTGAAGAAATTTGGCCAGATTGGCTCTAAACAACTCTTTCACAGGAATTGTGTACTGGAAACATTCTCAATCATACATCACAGGTGCCATTGGCAGATTGCAGCCTTAATTAACTGTCAATGTCCATAGATTGTGTTGCCTTATAAGGACATTTGTCATAAGTGTATACATTTGTAACAAAATCACTGAGACATATTAATGCACAGATCATCTTTTGAAATTCTATAAGGTATGAAAATTAAATTACACACAGCATATAATACTCTTTATTCTTTATGCTCTTTCCAATTTATTTTTTTATGAATTATTGGACAGGTGGCCAGCTATGGTTGAGATTGATCCTGACACAGAAACCTTCTTTGAACTTGTATCAGAAAACAGCATGTTTCCAGTAAGTGTTATTAAATATAATCATCTACACTGGCACCATGACATTTTCTCCCTATAACTCTTAGTTTTACATAAATTATTTTTAGATATGCCTCTGTGTATTTCTAACTGAGATTTCAATTTTCTCAACTCATACGCAGGGAAAATCCTGGAATTTGAGAGCAGTGGGTCATTTACAGCAATTTCTAGTCAATATCAAAATTAAGAAGGGCCGTCTTATGTAAAATTAAAAGAAAGTTGGTACATGTAGTGGTCAATTTCAGTTTTGAGGGGTCAATGGCCCCATGGCCTCCTCCAGGATGATCCCTGATACGTTGCAATTCTGAAACACAAGGAAGTCCATGTGCACTAAAAAATGACAAAGTTTTCACATCAAAATATATATAGTCAGTTTTGTGTTTCATGAATCCTACTTTTATTTCTGATAAAATATTTAAACAGTTAGTAACAAGCATGTCACGTGAGAGCCTTTCGCTAAAACATTAATTAAGAACCCTGGGAAATGATGTAACAAAAACTAAAAGGTTTGATGATACAGTACTGATGTGTAGTAATATCAAAGGTATTTATTTCAGTTGATCTAACAAATAAAACTTTATCTTATTTCTAATTTCTAGGAACCATGATGATGTTATTTAAAATAAATTTTCTAAACAGAAATTGTAATATATGTACACTGTATTATGTGTTGTCCCCAGAGTCACTACCATGTAGTATACTTGGACAACAAAGTATCCCGAGCTTGGGTGAAGGCCTCGGCAATGCTGCCTTTCCACCACGGAGGTGAGGACTTGAACAAAGGCCTCTATTTGACAAAGGTAGGTTTATCATAAATTAATTATATCTTCTATGCTTCAATTATTTCTACCATTTTTCAGTAAATTGGACAATTTTAAGTTGAACACAATGTGTTTCTGTGTTGGTCATTATATTGAACAATATTAACACCAACACTCATTGTCAAAGTATATACATGTAGTGGGCAAATTTACCTCTTTACAACTGTCTAGTATAGTTGGACCTTTTTACTATAATTTCCTTGTCCAGCAAATATACCATTTTTTATGACCCTGCCAGGGGCATTCATGTCTTTCAGGCATTTTCTAGTTTCAACTTTATAACACTGTTTCTCATTGTACTTTATAGTGGGTAGATTGAACTCTATTTAATCTGTTTCTCATTGCACTTTATAGCAGGTAGATTGAACACCATCTATTGTTTCTCATTGCACTTTATAGTGGGTAGATTGAACTCTATTTATGCTGTTTCTCATTGCACTTTATAGTGGGTAGATTGAAATCTATTTATTCTGTTTCTCATTGCACTTTATAGTGGGTAGATTGAACACCATTTATTTTGTTTCTCATGGCAATTTATAGTGGGTAGATTGAACACCATCTATTCTGTTTCTCATTGCACTTTATAATGGGTAGATTGAACTCTATTTTGTTTCTCATGGCCCTTTATTCTGTTTCTCATTGCACTTTATAGTAGGTAGATTGAACACCATTTATTTTGTTTCTCATTGCACTTTATAGTGGGTAGATTGAACTCTATTTATGCTGTTTCTCATTGCACTTAATAGTGGGTAGATTGAACACCATTTATTCTGTTTCTCATTGCATTTTATATTGGGATAGATTGAACACCATTTATTCTGTTTCTCATTGCACTTTATAGTGGGTAGATTGAACACCATTTATTTTGTTTCTCATGGCAATTTATAGTGGGTAGATTGAACACCATCTATTCTGTTTCTCATTGCACTTTATAATGGGTAGATTGAACTCTATTTTGTTTCTCATGGCCCTTTATTCTGTTTCTCATTGCACTTTATAGTAGGTAGATTGAACACCATTTATTTTGTTTCTCATTGCACTTTATAGTGGGTAGATTGAACTCTATTTATTTTATTTCTCTAATGCTGTGTAATGAACAGTTGTAGCAATGTGTAGTTCCCCATTGTCTAGTACATGTTATTGTGGACAATTTAACACCATGTGTTTCTTTATTTCATTTCACAATTTTAACACTATTTCCTGCATGTTCAATATAGTGAACATGTTTTGCATTGCTGGTATCTTTTTGTCCAGTATAGTTGATAACAAATAGATATGAACCCTTGTATTTCCCCTATGTACAGTTTACTTGACAAATTGTTGGTAACAGTTTGATTGCCCAAGAAAAAAACGCTGACTTAAGTTATATAAGAAACATAATGATTGATATATATATATATATACATATATGTTTTTTTCGTTATGTATGTAAATTTATAATTTTTCAGAAATCCAAAGGACCAAATTTTAAGAAAGAAGTTGAAGCTGCAACACAAAATGCATTAGCTGCCCTTGAACTACCTACAAAGGTCAGGCAAATATCTAAAGTTTTCCTTTCAGCATTTTTGAATAAACCGTGGATGTACTTGTATATTAAGTACAACCTTAATTTTGATCTAAGTTATCTGATCTAATAGCCCAATTATAAATTAATGTACTGACTTAGCTTTTGAGGAAATGTTATAAAAAAAACCCACATTACTTTCTATTTCACTATGTATGACAATGACTAGTTATTGCAGCAGAGATACAAATAGCGTGAAAGGAACTAAACTAATACTGCTAAACAAAACTTGAATGTTCTCAACTGCAATAAAACATGAATATTTTAAGGAATTTTGTGCTATCATTGTACGGGAATTTGAAGTGATTTATTTTGTCAAAGGCTTTTACCAGGTGGTACTTGAAAAAATTTTCCTATGCACAATTTTTTGATAAATATTTACATTTTTTTTCAGGAGAGACTGAAACAGTTTAGCTTCAGTGCTCAATTTAAAGGCAAATGGGCTGAGGATGAAACAAAATCTAGGAAAAGTAAGAGCACAAAAATAAACTTGGGGGGGGGGGGGGGGGCAGTTTACAAAAGCGGTTTATTGCTGAAGATTAAATAATTCAAATAAGATAGAAATGTTACTTGACAGACATATATTCATTATGTGAAAGTATAGATAGATTGTTTATTTGAAATTGGGAACTGTTAATTTTATTATCTGCTTACCTCCCTTTACACTGTTGATAAATGATGAAACATGAAGCCAGCACTGACAGCTGATGGAAATGATAGCTGGATAAGAAATATAAAAACATTTACTATGCAGTTATAACTATATAACCGCGTTTATTTCCTTTAGTTGAATATTTAAAGGATAGACTCATGTTTAATTTAAGACATACAAGAGACATACAAGAAATTGATTGACATTTAACTAAAAGTGATTATCTTTAGCTGTTATTGTTGTTTCAATTTTCATTATTTAACATGTCACTAGATAAATTAAACAGCTGATGATTGCAAGTAATTTTTTTTTTTTTTTTTTTTTTTTTAAATACTTAAATTAAATGAGATGGCATTGCCGTTTTACTTTGACAGTAAAGAAGCATTGTAGAGTGAAGTTGACACCAAAGAAAAGCAAGAAGAAGGTGAAGAAACCAAAGGACCACACCAGCGAAAACAATGCCGAGCACCAGGACCTGACCATGTATATGTTGGACTCGGCCACTGTCGATGAGATGCTTTCTGACCAACCAGACTCGATCCTGAAGGGAATAGAAGATGTCTTGGATTCTCTTGGAAGCCAGATTTTGAGTGATGACAATGGTAAATTCATATGATTATATGGCTTCAAATTATGAGAGAAATTGCAAATGCTTTTTGGAAAAGGTGGCTTAAAGTTTTTAAGGTTGCTTCCAAAAGGCAGGTGAACCTATATGTCATGATGAATTGTTTCTTAAACCGTCAACTAAATGTATTTTTGTTACCCTATTACTTGGGGGCTGTTTTCAGATGAAGACTACCTTCCTACAAATACTGAATGTGAGATGTTCACAGGACCCACAGAAAGCAGGAAGGATGTTTCTCCAATAAAAAAACCTAAAGGTATATTACATGATATCATGTAGGATATTTGAAATTGATGAACTTTGTCCATTTTCCACACTCTAAAATATTGTTCACACGATAGGTTTGGTGGGTAGATCAAAAATGATTTATATATTTTTCAGACCTGAGTGAAGTACTCTTTCACTTAAATACAAGAAGGTGCAATTTAGCTTCAGATCTGTAGTTCAGCGCCAAGGATTAGAATTTAAATGAAGAAGAAAATAAAGATAACATCAAACCTATAAATGTCAAATTAGTGAATTAATATCACGAACAAATTGCTGCAAAGTGTAAACTTTTGCATTGTAGAACTTTTTAATCACTTTAGGTTCACCAAACCAGTGTTAAAATAAGCATGTAAATACATTTAGACATACTATCAATTCCATTCCATTTGATTGTTATCAAATTTTTTTTACATCACAATTGTAATTTAAAGAGTAAAAATGTGATTTCCACACTTTAAATATTTGTTTTTTGCAGTATACAGGATTATTGAATATTTAGTTCAAAACAAAGTTGAAGGTTTCATTCTGCATTTGAATTGCTTCACAGCTATAGTTTGAGAGAGTAGCCCAATTAAAATTTTATTGTTCATCATTCAGATATAATTGTTTTATGTTAACACATACATTAACAGGTACAAAAAGGAAAAACATGAGCAAGGAAGGAGAAAAAACTGTCTCAAAGAAATCTAAACAACAGAAACTTGAGGGTGTGCCTGGAAAAGCATCAGAGAATAACAAGAAGAAAAGAGTGAAGAAAATCAAGGAACAAGCAGTGCAAAAAGCTTACAAAACTACTTTTTCTGTGGGAACATTGGTAGAATTAGCAGAAAATAAAGTTTGCAACGTTTCAAAAAGTGACACTTGTGTCAAAAAAGAAGTTTCAACTGAAGAAAAATTTGCTACATCCACAACTACAACAATGAAGTTTGACAGTGATATTTTTACTATGGAACTAGGCGATGAAGAATGTGAAAATCATCCTAAGCAAGGAAAGAAAAACAAAAAATGTGAGGCAAGCAGTCCCCCTATCACGCCAGAGAGAAAAAGGAAAACGAATCCAATAACAAAACCAGAAAAGAAGAAATCGAAAAAAAATCTGTTTGCAGTTCCAGAGACATCTTCTAATGAGAAAGCATCAGATGACCACTCACAAAACAGTTCCGACAAAAATGTTCCTCCCAAGAAATCCATGGCACAGAATGTCTCTTCCCCAGTTCAGGAGAGGAACTTGATCAGAGCATCAGAAACAACACCGCTGAAAAATGTTGAAGAGTGCACCGTTTGTGATACTAAAGTTGTACCCAAAAATCTGCACACGTCACCAAGAAAAAAAACATGTCCGAAAAAAGTTTCATTTTCAGCACCTGCTACAGTGACCATGGAATCAAAAGTGACGGTGGCACCTGTGAACAGTGAAATTCATCTTGTACCCTGTAATGATGAACAGACAGTGCCAGAGATGCACACACAAGAATCTGATGAAGATGATGGATTCTCATTGGATCTTCTTGTGAGTGATCAAAAGCCTGAAATACAAGAAGTAAGAATAACATCTGTATCTACCTTGCCTGCTGCAGTCGACACTGAAGATGCGTACGACTCGGATCCCTTTGATTTGATGGAGGAATGACTGATATCACATGTCACTGGAATTGAACATTGAAATTTTGTTTTTTAGAGACTGTCAATATACATATTGAAGTTCAGAGAAGATTTAAAATTTTGTTAGTAATGGGCTTATAGACACAATAACCTTGTAAATAAATTGTGTGGTTAAGGAGAAAAAAAACACCTGCTTCATGATTCATTTCAATATATATGTTGGGAAAAGAAAATTGATGCAGTATGTTGATATCAATTTGAAATCATTAACGTTATTCTGATATTCAGAAAGTAGTTTTTCTTTATTAAAAATTGTTGGGGGAAATGTTGGAAAAGAGCGAGATATTTATTTGTTTTGTTGATAATTTTATTTATTGTTATCCAGATTCAGATATTTAAAGAATCATTTTGTTGTGATGAAATGTGTAGCCAGAGAAACATACTAAAAACAACTTAATCTTTACAACTTGGATTATTTTTTTACATTTTACTGTCCTCTTAATAGACAAGAAACACTATTTATATATGCTTTTAAAATATGAAATAGGGGACATTGGTAGATTTTGCCACAACATTTCACCTCCAAGGGAAAAAGAATGGTTGGTAAGTTGCAAAAAGCACGTTATTGTAAAAGAATCATTTGATCTTCTTGATAGGTTTAATGCAACATGGTATTGCCTATGAATACCACAAGAAACTGTGCATGCATGTTCCAAGAAACCTTTGGTTAAAGAGAAAAATATTGCCAGTTATTTGTCAGTTGTCAATCCAATCGATAGATACAAAGTCATTGGCAAATATGATTTTAAAAGCAAAACCAAAACAAAAATATTGTGGTTAGAATTGACACAGTTAAATTTACTTTAGGACTTTCCGGAAATAACCATACGGGAGGGGTGGGAGGCACTTATTCAGAGACCCCACCACTCAGCAAATATCAGAAGTGATTCAATATCATTTTGGTATATTTTGTAGGTTCACACAAATTCTGTTTTGTCCTAGGCTTGGTTATATCTGTAACGAGTATGTAGAGCCCATCAGTTAATTAATAAATCAATTAAATAACAAGTTCATTGCACTTTATTTGTTGCGATAAAATTAAGGTTAAAATGATTTACAGTCAACGTACACCTCGTTGATCATTTTATTTTTGTGTTTGTTGAATATACATATAACCTCTCTGTGTTGTAGCCCTGTTCCTAGTTGAACTCTACTGGGCATGTGTTGAAACTATTTTTATTGACCTGTTGATGTTAATTTTTATTTATAAACTGTTAACCCAATCTAAAGGTATACATTTTTCTTCATATTTAACAACTAAAAAAAAAGTAGTTTCAGAAGTACTCTCTTAGCTGTATGTCATCCATACAGCTCTGAAAATTGTTCAAAATCTAAAATCATTTAATTGGTATAAGAAATAGGCCTCAACCAGTAATAATTTGATTTTTGTTTTTTCACATGTAGCCATTATCAATACTTATACTGCAGAGCATATATGTTGAATTGATGCGATAACTCACTGTAGGCTAGAAGTAAACCAAAGGTTTAAATTCGGTAAAATGGGAATTAATCTATTACAACACCAGATCATTTGCATATGTTTCCATTAAAGATAAACAAGATATTTTCCAATCGTCGATCATACCATCAATTTTGGATTATGCATGAATTGATACACTATTGTGCCAACCTAATTCGAGTAAATCAGTTAAGCAATTTCTCCATGTGTACGTTTCATTTCATATATTTCAGTTGACCAGTAGCATTGTGTGAAAAAACAGTACAAAATTGGTTCACTTGATGTGCATTATTGATAAAAATTGTTTGCAGCAGAAATTAACAAGTAATATTATTTATAGCAGACAATAAACATATAATATTGTTCTAGGGAAATATTGTCATTTCCTATTTCTGTAACATTCTTTGAAGGGGACATTTACGTGTAACATACATTTTTAACAGAAAATTGCATGTACCATTCTTGCAGACATGGACAGGTAGCATACTTTGAAACGATGATGTGAAATATTGTAGCCATCATTGAAGTGCAACATTCTTTGCAAGAATATTGATATGGTCAACTGAAGTCATTGACAAAAACGAGGCGTGATAGTAATAGTTATCTGAAGACTTTCCTGGTGTAAATTTTGTTTAGTCAACGACAAATAGTTTGTGGGAGTTTAACATTAGCAAAAATACATCCTTTGATAATTTTAACTTATCTACAGTTATTTCCCGAAATTGAAGAGTAAATAATGTATACCGGGAAATGTTCGCTGCAGTGAATGACTGCATATTTGCTCTTGGTCTTAACTGTTGATGATATATTTAATATTGTAAAGAGGTATTTGCTTATTTGTTTAAATGAAATATGCTGTTGTTGTTAAGATTACACCCTTTTTGTTGAAACATAAAACGCTTTATTTATTGCATTTCAAGTTGTTAAATTATATTTAAGTAAACAAAGTATGGCCTGCTAAGGTAGACATGATACATTAACTTATTTTTCATTAAGTTTTGTAATTACTGCAAAGGTGTAACGTGTATATTTTGTTATTGTTATTGATAATTTATTGTAAACCTGGCTGATATTGTTTGCAAGTTGTATATATCTAATCACGTTAAATTAAATGTTTTATTTTGTTAAATCTCCAAATGTCATCGCTAAAATCTCCTATAATGATTACAGTCACCACTTGAAAGTAAACTTCCAAAGATCATGTTCGTTAAAATATGGTTGTTTATAATTTTAAGGCTTGAAAAGGAGTGGTTTCTGTCTAAATGTTTTGATGATCAACGTTGGTATTAAAACTACTGTAAATATATTTTCATAGGACGAGATATTACACGGAGTGTCGGGTGGAACAGTACGCTGTGACATTTAGATACAGTGATATATAATATATATACATAATGTTGTAGAATTGTTACCTGATGTTATTGTTTTTATTAAGTAGCCATACACTAAAACAAATCGTTTCTTGTTCAAATATGTTTGTTTTTTAAAAGTTAAAGAATAAAATATGTCTTTTATTTGTCTTCTTCGTGTGTTTTAAATTATTCTTCCTGAAAACATTGGGGTTAATTTTGAACTTAAAAAAAAACACCCACGGAGGTGCCATTCTGAGTTTGAACTTTACTTCAATAACGGATAAAACTTCATTACCTCGTTTTATATAATAAGAACATCATCAAACATGCTACAGTTGTTTACGTACTAGACATAAAGAACAAATGTGAATTCTGCTTAAGGTGAAAAGTTAAGGTGTCATTGATTTTGGCATGTAGTTCGAGACAAAACATTATCAAAACATCTTTTCATGCTCAACAACTGTATTCTGAACCGGGAACTCAATGGTTTCCATGTTTGACCAAGGTAGTTAGTCTAAGATCACACGGTGTTCATAACCTTTGTTCTTCTATTGGACCTACAGAACTCTCATATATCAATTGTTAAAAATATGTAGATATGATGCGTCCTTCTAAATCAACATTAAACGGCCATACGAGTTATATTGTTGTCAGTTTGCTTTCAAACTCGGAAATGCAGGATCAAGTACTGGTATATTATGCACGCCATGGATTGCGATTTAATCGGGGTATCATTGTGCTTTATATTAATTTTCTTTCTCTGTTGTTTGATACGTTTGAATCGTCAGCGTTTGATTATGTGTACAAAACCCGGATTTTAACATGGAATTGCCAATTCACTTACCTGCAAAACATTTTTTTCAGACGCCTGCTAAAAGAACATCGGTAAAGATTTCAAACCGTAGAAGTCATCTCTGTCCAATTCTAAGTAAAGGCCAGAATTGGGGACACTTTCCTTACCAGCGACTAAAAAGATTAAGAGACATTACAAAAGACAGTTATTCTATATTCGACTATGTAATGAACGACAACTCAATGATTATTCAACAGATTTTAGTAAGTCATTATTTTCGCATACAATAATTTCGTAACCCCCCCCCCAAAGAAAAAACCCGCACAAGTAAATAGATAAAAATAAAGTCGTTTAAATTGTTTTTGGAAATTCTGTTTCGATTTATGAAAAATTGGGAAATTACCAAAGGCAACTCCACAAGACGGGAATAGCCGGTGATGATTAAATCACTTGACGGGGATAGAAAATTTAAAAAAATCTGATTAGTATCGGCTTATAGGACATGCAGTTCAATGCGACCAGAAGCTAAGAGAGGAGAGGGCAACCTCCGTAAATTTAAAAGTAACATTCAGTGATCACATGCTCATTTTAGACGGCCATACAAACGCATTCATGGACCAGACGTACTATATGTCTTTAAATATAATCTTGGTTCATGGATGATACATAAACAATAGTTATCACTACAATGCATTTACCTATAAGTCATACCACATTAGGGTCAGACGGTATAAGGTCGATGGTCATTGGCTAGTGTTATCACACCACTTTAGACTTTGGGTAGATCAGTATATATACCTCTGCCACTCACCTCACAGATATGTGTAGCTGGACATAAACCAACAGATATGTTAAGAATGATATCCTCGAAACTTTTACTGCTTATCGTAGGAGCTTGGGCAGCAGGTAAGTTATATTAATTAAATTATATTTTGGGAGGCAAGTCTAGTGAAATCTTTTCCTAATTGAGTTAATGTCAAAATGAATCCCTTGGGTAAGTATGTTTTGTCTGAGAACAACGCTTACAAATGATCACATAACAGAATCTCACATAATCGTCTATTATTCCTAGGTAAAGATATAATTTTCCCCACGTGATACCATTTTCTCCGCCAGTGAAACAACTCCGGGGGAAAAAGAGTTCGTTTAACGACTTCCGCCTAGCTGTAATAAGTCATTTGATTGAAAAAAATGATGACGTCTTTCAACTATTGGCGTTGTTACTCCACAGGCGCGTGTAGCTTGCCTATATGATATGGGTTGTCAGAAGAACTTCTCGCGTCTAAAACTGAAAAATTATCGGTAAAGAATCGGAGAAATTTTAAGATATTATTACTTATATAAAAGATATTATATATTTACAGGTCACTGCATACTGTAAAACCATTTTTTTCGCGAATGTTCATTTTCAGGTTTGTTTCAAACAACTTATAATCGAGGTCTAGATGTTTTAATTTATTATGAATATTTCTTGTATTATCTTGATGACTCCATTTGTCAAGTACCTAGCGTTCTTTTACATTGATATCTATCACGTTGTCTAGTAAATGGTAGCCTTGTTGACGACCTGGGAGATTGCCCGCCCCCTTTGCCGCGGACACAATACGTGAAGTCGTATAATGATGTTTGTCTCTACCTCATCACTGGAAAATATTCCTGGAACGGTGCCAACTCCAACTGCCACCGCAATGGAGGTCGTCTGGTGCAGATTAAGGACCAAGACAAACAGGACTTCCTCTACAACACACTGAAGTCCATGCACTGGGGAGACTGGGGTGTGTGGATAGGGGCAACTGACCATGACAGTGAGGGTAGATGGAAGTGGACAGATGGTAACTAAACATTATATCATTCATATTTAAACTAAATTCTAACGTGTATGTAGTACAACTAATTACCATTTATTGTTGCGAGAATGTATTAACACATTCCTTGTGCGCATGTCAACGTTAATGACACAACAATGCATTCGACATTATTGGTATTGTTGTACCGTTGACTTTGTATTATTTTAAATCGTCTTACATGCATCATTGGTCATGTGTTTATAAAATTATTTGATGCTGTCTGTTTGTATTTTGGATTCTATGAACTAACTGCGATTGGAAACTTGAATATCTGATACAGGTACCAAACTGTCCTACGGTAACTGGCATCCAGGTGAGGGACCGACTCACGGCTTCCTCTTCTCTAAGGCAGGGTACGAGGACTGTGCCTTACTACGACTAAATGACAATGGCAGATGGCACGACTATGATTGTGGGACTATTCTGTATCATCACACATCTATATGTGAATATCGTAAGTTTCCTAATTATAACCACCTAGTTTTATGTTTTAATGCTTTTTAATCATATCTTTGGTAAAATTCAATATTTTATTGGATTGAAGAGCTACTCTATTCTTAACTGAGAACGGTTAAGCGATACGACACCGTGTCGGTTTTGGATTTCATGTCTTTATGGCGCTTCCTTGTGTAGTTTTTCACTTTGAATGTGTAACGGAATTAGACTAGGTCGATCATCAGCAGCCAGCTAGGTTAATTGCTTATAACAACCATCTAGTATTAGGAGGTTCCGGGTTAAAATCTCATCTGGCTGTGCATTTTCCTCTACTGTTACCGCGGTGCCGTGTCCAGGATCGTTCTTTAAAGATGAAAAGTTGAATGTTCTTTTTTCTTTTTTCAGCATTATATTGGGATCTCTAATAGTAAAATTCTATCAGACAAATTTCAACTTGTCTATAATATTACACATAAGTTCATATGCTTATTTCATTTTTTTTAATGTTTCTAGTGTAATTATAATCATGAAGGTTCAACGAGGGATAATGTTCTCGATGACCTTATATGATGTTAATTGTATTACAGAAAAAGTGTATCGTCCCACAATACCTACCACTACAACCACAAGTATGTCGACTACAACAACAATGCCCACAAAGACATCAACCATTGAGCCTCCAAGAACACCTATGCCTTCAACAACGACGACGACAATAAATGCGCCTACAACAACAACGATGCCTACAACAGAAATGCCTACCACAACAACAACAACAACCATGCCAACCACAACAACTATGCCTACTACTACAACCATGGAAACCACAACAACAACCATGCCTACCACAACAACAACCATGCCTACCACGACAACAACCATGCCTACCACAACAACAACCATGCCTACTACTACAACCATGCCGACCACAACAACAACCATGCCTACTACTACAACCATGCCTACCACAACAACAACCATGCCTACCACGACAACAACCATCCCTACCACAACAACACCCATGCCTACTACTACAACCATGCCGACCACAACAACAACCATGCCTACTACTACAACCATGCCGACCACAACAACAACTGTGCCTACCACAACAATGCCGACAACGACGACAACTCAAATGAAGACAACAGAAACGCCTGCTGTTACAACCACATTTGGTGGCATCAAAATAGAATTCGGCACTACGCCTCATGGTAAGTACTAAACTTCGATGCAGCTATGCTTATTTATTTTGAAATATTTTTATTATTCTTTTGAATTGATAAACTTCTCTTGCAAAATGGTTTACTTTATTTACAGAGATTTAATTAAGGAATGGTAACAGTGATTGATTAATATATAGGTTACGCATGTAAGAGATACAAAGTAAAGAATGTACTGATGATATTCTGAATACAAATAACTAAAAATTAAAAGAATGAATGTTTATTTAGATTAAATATTTAATATGTATATTATTGCGTATTTGCATAGCTAAGAAAAGGACGTCAGGAGTAGACATAATAGACGAGGCGCTAATGAGTCAAAACGACGATAGTAGCGATGGTAGTACAGGTAAGATTTAACCTAATGATGCACAGAGACGTTAATGTATACGTAAAGCGGTACGACTATAGTGCACAACGTATATAATTTTCATTTCATGATCTCTGTAGACAATTTATGTCAAAATTATGAAATTTACTGTTTTTTTAATTTTATTTGATCAGAAAAGGATGTTCCTAAAGATATATTTTTGGCTAATCACTTCAAAATTACTTACATAATGCATAACGAACTGATTGCATATCATTAACGGAAACAGAATATTTACAATCATTAGCATTTTTGTATTTCTTGTTTATAAAACGTCTTGTGGTGCCATTTTATTTTTTTAATATCCAAGCAAAATCTTGTGATTACCAAAGTTCTGTATAACAAAACTGCCAAAACATAGATCGGTCTTAACATAAATGCCTCAGAGCTATGTATCTGTATTGTACTTATTGTCATGACATGTGTCAGTTTGAACAGGTCAAACTTACGTACATTGTATAATAGGTTGCATAATAAGTTAGTTATGGAATGTTTCTTATGATCGTATTATTTTCATCGGTTCTGGTGTAGGAACCTACATTGCCATCGGAGCCGGCAGCTGTGGAGTTGTAATTCTAGTGGCGGCCATCTTAGCACTGGTACTGAGGTAAATACATTACCAGATATTTATATCAAAAAGAAATGCTGATAGTAACCATATACATTTCGACCAAGACCAATGTTAATTTGAAATTATATTTCAATACCTTGTACCCTATTACTTAAAATCATTCAATCATAAAACTGTAGCCTAATCATATCATATAAACGGTGGTATGTTGCATTTTAAATGGAATCCTGTCCTACTGAGCATTAAAAAGGAGTCATAAACAGTGTCATTATACGTTTCTAAGTAATATAATTTTAAAACAATTTACTTGGTTGTCTTTCTAATTGTCTTGACTAATTAACTAATCTCGAAATATATTTGTTGTTTAGACGACGCAATCGTCAGTCGATTGCAGAAACCTATGACCAGACAACCAATACCAAGGACAATCCATTGTACGACATAATGCATGGAAATGGACTTGTCCCTGAAAATAGCTTCGCATAAGAGATGCGCAATCAGAACTAGAATATTCCAATTGACTGATGTGATGTGCAATAAGTGACATTCAAAAGAATCGAACTCAGCATCTATATGCTATTAAATAGTGTGCCCATTGTTATATGGTGAGGACTAAACGATAAAGTTAATCATATGAAATGTCTACGTCTTCTATCGTACCATCTTTATCTCCGATATTATCATCAATTGTTATCAATGTACTAGCTGGTTTACAGCACATAAACTTTAAGCTTGTTGACAAACACGTTATGATCTTATCGTCATATCGTTTTCTGTATCATCTATCAATACACGAGAGTTAGAGAGAACGACCTAATGGAAGGATTTAATTGTTATATACAAAACAGTTATATTATATTTCATCACTGATTTTACGTTATTATTCAATGAGAGAGAATGGCCGAGTGGAAGGGTGTGTTATGTACAAGACATTTTATATTATATTTCACCACTAATTTAACGTTATTATTCAGAGAGTATACAAGACATTTATATTATATTTCACCAATTATTTAACGTTTTTATTCAAAGAGGGAATGGGTGGGTGTAAGGGTGTGTTATATACAAGACATTTATATTATATTTCACCGCTGATTATGCGTTATTATTCAGACAATGTTTCCTGTGATATTCGTTGCATACTGTACATACTTTTAATTGGACACATGTATTACTCGTTTTCAACAGAAAATAAATATGTATTTTGATATATTTGCGATTTAGTTATATTTACCATCGTAGAATTTATATCTAACACCGTATATCATTGTCATTATATACACGCCACACAATTCAGATGGCATTTATATGATATGAATATAGCCTATATATTATTGGGACATTTAATGTTGCCCGTTAGATATCATACACATTTTAGAACACTAAATAATCTGTTTATTCTGAAATACGAGTTTCATTCTTTTTAATGCATGTTCCCATGCGTTTACTGTAAAGAAACACTGATATCGGATCTAGAAATATAAACCGGTTCTTTTATTTGAATCACATCGTAAAAAAGAAAGAGAATCAAAACAAAATGAGAAACCAAACGAAAGGAATTCAGCCAGCTTTTATTTACGTCAGCAAAAAAAAAAAAAAAAATGACCACTGCAAATATGAAAGATTAAACATTGTAGTTCTATGCTAACGCAAGTATTTATACATACTGGGAAATTGGAACTTTGACGTAGAACTAAGAGAAAACAAAATACCTTTTTTTTTGAATGACATGATGGATGCAGCAACATGGCACAAGAAGAAATCGCTTTTACTGATTTTAGCAAAAATGTGAATGTGCAGTAACAGGTTTTGGAATGCTTTTGTGAAACCTAAATTGTTTATTGTTTTTAATGATTTAAATGATCGTTATAGAAAAGCTTGTTGCGTTCAACTGACAGGTGAAAACGGCATAATAAATTTATTCCAAAATGTGGTATGTACATCTTCAATATATATGTAAATGTGTAACAATAACTGTCAACACATAAGTAGGTGTAACTATTTAGTTAACTACAGGTACATGAAAAAAAATGAGTAAAATCAAATAAAAATATGTGGTTACGAAAGATAAATTGATATTTCATGAAATGAAAAATAATTTTATCATTATGACAGCATACGTGAGGTTTTCACAATTTCGTTTTATCAACACATTGATTCTTATATTGCTTAAATAAAACGTTTAGACTGGACAATGAAGTTTTGAAATATTTCGAAAATTTCTTCTTATTATTATTATTACATTAACTCATAAAATCAGATATCTCGCCGTTCCCTAGATGACATTCACATGATTGCATACACCTGTAAATATATAAACAAACGCTAATTTATTTTTTTTAAACATTTCAATACCCAAATAAAGAAAACAACATCTAAATTGGAGAATTCAAATATTAAAAGACATATATAGTCGGTTGAGTCTGTTTCCGAAGCAGCTACAGCGCAACTGTACACTTCCATTGCTGTCAAGTCAATCCTATTTTCACGTAAAGAATTTACGATTAATTTAATTTAAATTTGAGGACTTAATCTGAAAAAAAGTATTTAACAAATCTGAACATCTCTTGAACAAAAAATGATTTAAGAAATTTCTTTGAAATAAAAAAAGTGAATATTAATTGAAACGAAGATATTCAATACTAGAGATATGGAAAATGTTTTGAACTTGTAGTATTGTTTTCTATCTATGTGTTAACTATAAGCAATATATTTTTTCCTTCATCATAGTGTATTCTGCAGATGGTCTTTTTTTTTATCCAATTTCACGAATTTTCCTTAACATAATAAAATTCCCGAATTAAATAAGTGAAAATTTAAGAGATACTTTCCTTGGGATTTGTTTTTAGTTTATGAATTCTCTTCTCAGTTGAGGAATGTTCATTAAAGAGGGGCCTGGCATTCAAGAGAAACAATAAAGTCACACCCAGTATCTGAAGCATTGCATCTAAGTATTATTAGATTAATAAACCATGCAACTATATTTGATGTCGGACGTATAGTAACTTGGTAACTGACCTTCACCATTCTGCTTAACCATGGCCATAGTTCATACAGATAGACAGACAGACAGAAGTTGAAATATAATCAAAACAACACTTCAAAGTATATTAACTAGCTTTGTATCTGTAACATAGATGTATTTGTAAAGGACATAATGCTAGGAATCACCCTAAGAACAAAACATTCCTTCTTTTGAAACAATATATATATGTTATATATCGATTACATTAAGCATGAAAACATAGTCGGTTATACGTTTCCTTTTAACTATCTATCTCTCCTTGCTCCCTTCTGCCTGTTTTTTACAGCACTTAGATATCTATTTTTCTTTCTTTTGACCTTTTGTACCAATGATGAGCCGCTAATGGAAAATGGTGCTGAAAAATGGTCACTTTGTTTGGGTTTTTTTGCATCGAGAAACTGAATTATTTATATTTCTACTTCTTTTTTTCAATGTAGCTTTCAAATAAGGTGTTAATGTGGTCAAACATATTTCGTATAATGTTATAATGACGCTATTATATACCTGCCGATAGTTTGTTTTATATAACGCTTTGAAATAATTTAAATCTTTCGATTACTGTTCCGTTAATTTTTCATTAACACACATGACAAGAACACAGTACCCTTCAGGAACGATGAAGTCAAGTTAATGGGGACTGTCGCCTTACAACTACAGAACAGCGCTGTTAACTTATGTATGTCGGTAGACTGGCTCCCGTCTCTAGAATATAGAATTATTCAGAAAAATAATAAACTCTTATAATTCTCATCATTTGGATATCTGATTCTTGAGTTTTCAAACTATGTGGAGATACGCTTGTAGTAAAATGCAGCTTCGAAATTCTTCATAACAAGCGGAATGTCAAGTTATTTTGAAAGCCGATTAATTTCTTTTTTTAACCTATAGCATTGTTTTGTTTTTGTTTTGAAAACCAATATGTCTGCCAAAGCGTTCTTGGGATTTGTTCTATATTTCCTTCAACAGCTATGTTACAATTTTTTTTGTTAACCAACTGACCATCTGTAAATGCCTATACAAAGGCCACCCACATTTGAACGTGAATTGCTAAATATCCTGCCCAGGACATAGTTTTTCGAAAATGTTGCCATATGAATATCGAAAAGCGCTAATAGTGCCATGTCAAGTTGCATGTTAAAGACATATCTACGAAAGTCAAAACAAGAGTAGACTACGGCCGATACACGGGGTGACTTTCCCACAAGCAAAATCACAGATTAGCTAAAGCAACGACGATTAATCATACTGTGTATTCCACTGTTTTGTGGACTAGCATTTGGCATTTTTCCATGAATATTCGGTGTGACTTTCTATGTCAAACCTCATATACTACTATTACTAAGTAATCGATTTATACGATGAAAATTGTAATTTTAAAATATGATAAAAAGATAAATACACTTCTTTCAAATGCATGCAGTTGGTAATGTGACTTTTAAAATGATGATGAATATCCATTGAGTAATTAGCAAAATGTCCTCGAGACTAGTAGAGTAGACAGTAAGTTTTTGAAAATCAAATCATTTTTCATTTAGGGCTACAAAATGGGGAGAAACAAGAATAAAAGAAAAGATAAAGATTCCGGACAATTATCGACTTACGACTGGATGCAACAAGAACCTGATGTCTACGTAAGCATGGGATTGTATCATTTAGTAATCATCTTAAACGTCCATATTTATCTTTATGAATTAATAAACTATAGGTTGTCTATCCTTTGACCTTAATTGTAATCTCGATTCGTGAATGATACATAAACAATAGTTATCCACACAACGCATTTAACCGATAGGTCATACGGTATCTTCAACGTGTTGACCAGTCGTTGTCACCCTATCCGGGTGACGCAGGTGAGATTCACGGCCATCAGGCCTAGGTGTAAGGTCGATGGCCATTGGATAATATTGTCACACCACTTTTTATTTTGGGTAGATGGGTATATATACCTTCGCCATCTCCTCATCCAAAATAAATAACTGGACATGCAAGCAACAGATATGTTGAGAACGGTGGTCTCGAAAATTCTTCTTGTGATTGTAGGAGTTTTAGCAGGTAAGTGATCAACAATTATACTTATTGTGGGAGTAAAAGGCAAAGAAGATCCTTCTAATACTTTGTTAGTACGACAACCCGCAAAATGTCTTTCCTCAACGCTTGGTAATAATTTAATATTCGATTATCGTGCCTCTTTTGTAACGATTAAGGAAAATATAATTTTCCCCAACAACCAGAAAGGCTGGTTCGTCTGAAAAAAAGAAAACTTCTTACAACAACTGCTCAACTGTAATATCACATTTCAGATGTCAAAAAACGTGATGCCTCTAATTATTTTTATTGTGACGTCACAATCGCGTGAAAAGATCACTCAAGGACAAAACGTGAGATAAATCAGTGAAGGATGGGTGAAATCCTCATCAATTAGATAAAAGTGTTGCTGATAATATAGGTATGATATATACAACATACAGTGGATTACTCTATTTTCGAGGAAGCTTAATTTAGTTACTGTTATTTAAGCAGTTTAATTGCGAAAATTTGACTGGCCAAAAGGTACAAAGTATTCATTGTAAGATGAATTTGAATGTCTTTCTTTCGACTTGTTTGAATTTGCGATTGATCATCTTGAGAGAAAATGCGTAAAATATTTCTCGCGAAAGATTTAAAGAATTCGAGGAATTTTAATTCTTATCTTATATGGTTATTTCTCTATTTTCCATGCACGTTTATAATTGTTGCATACATCGTCTTATAATCACTAAGTTGATAACTAAAATCTCATTTCCTACCTCTTTCAGTAAACGGCAACCTTGTAGATGACCTCAGACAGTGCCCTACTTTCTTGCCGAGGACACAATTGGTGAAGTCGTACAGCGACGTGTGCCTCTACCTCATTACGGGAAAATATTCCTGGAACGGTGCCAACTCCAACTGCCACCGCCATGGAGGTCATCTGGTGCAGATTAAGGACCAAGACAAACAGGACTTCCTCTACAACACACTGAAGTCCATGCACTGGGGAGACTGGGGTGTGTGGATAGGGGCAACTGACCATGACAGTGAGGGAACATGGAAGTGGACAGATGGTAAGTGAAATCAGCATTATTCATAATTCAATCAGTCTTCTGATGATTATATGTTGGTACAGAGCTGAAGATACATTAGATGATTTTGCATTTAGAGTAATAAAGGGCGAGATTTATAAACGGAAGTGATGACATAAAAAATATTTAGATACCCACCTGGTAGCTATATGAAATGTCTTTTTACTTTAGCAAAGACACTGAATGTTTGTTTAGCAAATTCCCTCGTCTGCATGGCAACGTCAGTGACGTGTCAATACCGTCGACTTAATTGACATTTTTGTGCCACTAACGTAGTTCACTATTCAAATTGTCCTAAATAAATTGTTGATCGTCACTTTATGAACCACCTAATGCTGTCTGTGTTTCTGCATTCCATTAACTGCTTCCACTGGTGGCTTGTATTTGATACAGGTACCAAACTGTCCTACGGTCACTGGCATCCAGGTGAGGGACCGACTCACGGATTCCTCTTCTCTAAGGCAGTGTACGAGGACTGCGCCCTACTACGACTAAATGACAATGGAAGATGGCACGACTATGATTGTGGAACTGCTCTGTATCATCACACATCCATTTGCGAATACCGTAAGTATCATGTGTTGGTAGTAAAAAAATGCCTTATTACTGTTTTCGTTGGTGTGTTAATGATACTTTGGGTAAAGTCTTGCATGCCATTCTAATATTGAAAGAGCTACTCTAATTTTGATTTGAAGTATGTCCCTGTGCTGGTTTTAGACTCCCTGCATTATGACATTTCCTTACAGTAACGCACTTGATATTTGACAATAACCTTATAATTTGAATAGAAATTCTCCTTGTTTTTTGCAAGTTTTAATGGCTTTTATGAATATGAACGTTACACGAAGAAAGAAATGTTTGCTATAATTATCTGTATTTCTATTGCAGAAAAGTTGGCGACCACAACAGCACCTATGCCTACAACAGGAACGACTATACCTACCACCAAAACAACTATGCCAACAACCATGGCAACCATGCCAACTACAACAAAAACTATGCCAACTACCACAACAACCATGCCGACTACAACTACCATGCCGACCACAACAACCACCATGCCAACTACCACAACAACAACCATGCCAACTACCACAACAACAACTATGCCGACCACAACAACCACCTTGCCAACTACCACAACAACCATGCCAACCACAACAACAACCATGCCAACTACCACAACAACAACCATTCCAACTACCACAACAACAACCATGCCAACTACCACAACAACAACCATTCCAACTACCACAACAACAACTATGCTGACCACAACAACAACCATGCCAACTACCACAACAACAATGCCGAGCACAACAACAACAATGCCGACTACTACAACTACTATGCCAACTACCACAACAACAATGCCGACTACTACAACCATGCCAACTACCACAACGACAACTATGTCAACCACACCAATTGTTGCTTCTTCATCGACAACTATGAAGACAACAAAGACAACGCACGGTAATTTTAATCTTTTAAATTCGCATGTTGCTTTTAAAGGATACAGGCTAAAAGAGTTCAACATGAACGAAATGTAACTGAATAATAATTTCATTTAAAACTCGAGGATGCATCCTAAATGTCCAAAACAAAGAACATTTCAATTATTCTCAAAATACATGACTTATCACATAGAATCACTTTTAATGGAGTTAATGCTTCCAATTTTTATTTTTATTTAGTTCGTTATGTTGGATATACTTAAATTTATATAGATCAACACAATACAGATCTTGCTATGTAAACTACACGCAGGACAAGGAACACACTTTGAGAATATCCAAGTTATGTTTAACTAAACCGAGCAAGCATACTTAATGTCTAGAATAATGTCACTGTGTATATATTACGTATATGTATTTCAACAGCTAAGAAAAGGAAGGCAACATCGGACAATATAGCGGATGCACTAGTGAACAGACACGACACAGCCAGCAGTGGTAGTACAGGTATGTTTGTAATTTTAAAAGTTCAATAGTAAGGAATAAAGCAACTATCTAAAATTTTGTTTTTGAAGAATGCCAAACAAAGTACACATTTAACTGTACCATTTCGACCATCAAAGACTCTAAGTGATAGGTGAGGTCAAAAGAATGGTAATGATAGTCTAAAGCGTACGACACATATCTAGCAGCGATACAGCGAATGAAGAAAAGTACCTATGAAACCCTGAATAGGAATGCTAGGTAGGCATTTGTAGAATATTTCCTTTGACTATGTTTTGTTTGTTTATTATTTTGTGTAGGAACATACATTGCCATTGGAGCCGGCAGCTGTGGAGTTGTAGTTCTAGTGGCGGTCATTTTAGCACTTGTACTAAGGTAAATACCATCACAGAAATATATGTGGCACAGAAATTTGAGTACTGGACATAACCATTTGAAAGGTTAATTTCATTTTATTTCCGAAAAATGTAGCCGAACCTGCAAATGTGAGCACCTCCATTAAGAGAGCACCTGTGAGGCCAATTTTAATTATCGCTATGGAAGAGGTTTTAATGTGAACCTGTATAAAGTGCAAGGCCGCCTTCATTAAAATACCAATTTTTGGACTTCCTAAGTGTGGTATCTTAATACAGGTTAAAGTACTTTGGAATCATAAAATTCCTATATAGTCACATAATACATTGACATGGGCACAAACAACCTTTAATCATCTATATTATTCATTATAAATGAAAAGAGTAATTAATAATGTTTTCAGTAAATGTCTTTCGTAATTATATAATTCAATAATGAATTTAAATTTGTTTGTTATTTAGACGACGTAGACGCCAATCAGTTGCAGAATCAAGCGAAAGGACAACCAACACCCGTGAAAATCCAATTTACGACATAATGTATGGAAATGGATCTGTTCCTGAAAATAGCTTCGCATAGGTTTTACACAGTCGAATTGGATTATCGGAGTTGGCTGATATGTAATATGTGAAATTTGAAAGGATCTGACTTTGCATCGATATGACAATCATTTGTGGGTCCATTGTTACAAGAAAAAAGTCAAACGACCTAGCGAATAATATGAAATGCTTACATCTAATGGATATTCATTGTGATATTAAGTGGTAATCGCGAAGGTCAGTAATGATTTAAAGCCGTTTTTCAATTTTGAGTATTCTTCCTTACTAGCTTAGAGTTATTTCCCTTGTCAAGGTATTACTTTCTCATTTCAATGCTGCACATTATAATTCCTTATTAGCAACTTTAGTGAAGAGTATGCATGGCAACGTAAAGGTCCTCAGGTCGAACCATACATTTTTCCTCTATTCTTTTTTTATTTATTAGTCTTTTTTTTTTTAAATTGGAAAAAAACTACGTTAGAAGCGCTAATTTCAAAATTTTAATTAAGCCGCTACAGAAAGTCAAATTAAGTACAATATTTTACTGCACCATATGGTATTGTCATTTTGTCCCTTTGGGACTCATCAGTATTACAGGTCAACAGATTGATAATAATGTCTCTAGTGTAAATAGTGATAATGACAGTAATATATTCAACTTGCTAGCGCCCTTTACCTTCAGAAATACTCGTATGATTTTCCTCTGGGGTGTTATCATCAGCTGATATCAATGTACCAGGCAGATTGCCACGCATTTCAGCATAAAATGTACCAGATGAACTTGAACTTGCATCATTTTATCTTTATACCGTTATCGATATCTTATAAACGATGTGTAAACACGGGAGTGAGTGAGAAAGACGGTCGAATGGAAGGATTTTAATCATAACACACTGTATATTGATAGTTAACTTATGTTGCCTGTGATACCTGTTACACGCTGTACATAATCTTTATTGTATGCTTTTTATTATACGTTTTTTTAATAAAATACGAAAATTATATTTTGATATATTGATGATTTTGTTATATTTTGCAATTTTCCTGTTTTATCAAACTAGGGTCACTCTATTGGATATTAGATGACGCACATTTACCTTCATCCCATTGGTTGGATCATAATCACGTGGAGGTCGGTAATTTGTGATATTGACTCGGTGTTACTGTTTTAAAGCAGGTCAATATTCACTTATGACGTCATTTCAATTGTAACGTTACAATGCCCTCTCCCAAATGCAGTATTATCCACCTGACCATTTTCATACATGCTATATTGTTTAAAGATATAAGAGATATATATCATCTAATATAACGATTAAAAACAATGTTTTCGATGAAAATATGGTTAAATGGACATGAAAAGGTGCTATTTACCTCGACTTCGTCTCGGTCAATATCACTTTCTCAGGTCCATATAACTACATATTTACCTAAACAAAAGTATATAGTTGATCATTTTTTATATTTGGTGATTATTCACATGGACATCAGAAATGAGTCAATACAAAATATTTAGATTTAAGTGATTTTTTATAGGGTATTAATTTAGACATCACAATCTCGTAGACGACGATTTCAGTATTAACGTCACATATTGTTCATCTCTTATTGATTAAGTCTAGTTACAGTGAATACATCTATTTAAATTGACTTATATTCTCAATGGAATTTAGCTGCATATAATATATAGAGTTTAAAACATAAAAATAGTAATACCAGTTTGTTGACAAATGGACAAGACAGTTTTCTGAGATTATCAAATTTTAACACTTTTAACACAAAAAAAGGGAAGTTAAGTGTCTAAAAGCAATCTCAGAAAATATATACAGTGACTGTTTCACTACAATAATGATAGAGATATATAGAGACTGCTGCCAACCACTTACAACAACAATGATACAAATATACACATAGAGAACTTAATAAGTAAACTAGAATATTTACTTGGGCTATGAAAATCAAGTTCTCGATTTTGCATATTATGTGCTGGGAACCATTTCCCCCCGTATATCAGGCGCTGTGTAGAACAGAATGTATTCATTTTCCAGGTCTAAGTTGGGACCTAAATGTAAGGTAGTATTGCCGGTTCATTAAGGTATGACACAAGTATCATGTTTGTGTTTGGAATCCGCTGCATCAATGCATTGTAACCTGGGGAAGGGCAAAACTGCCTCAATCTTCTGCTATATGAATACAACTGATCCTAATTAGACGAAGAGTCGACGAGATGACTATTACGCAGTAACATGGGGTAAGTGTTGCTTGTTTCAACATCTGGGGTCACAACATCGACATCAAGCATTCGTGTTTCCACGCATGAACATATTAAGTCAATTTAGCGAAATGGAATTATTTTCCCGATATACAAGGAGACCTATACAAGGGTGAAGAGATAAAACTGCATTTTGGAAAAAGGGATACTTTGAAGAAGTACGTTTGATAATTTTTTTCTCTATTTTGGATGCATTATTGCATATCAATGAACTTGTTTCAAATGCAGAAAGTTGTTTTATATCCAATTTTAAACTCATGTTCAGCTAAGTAAGATGTAGATAGGTAGTGCATCACTGTTAGGACACAAAAATGATACCTGATATCAGTTTGATAAAATGAACTGGATATCAGTTTACTTAAGTACTATAACGGATGTCACTACCGTATTGTGGTAAGGTGTGTGTTTGTGTGTGTACTATACGATACAAACCGTCGTTCTTCGATATGGCTCTGGTATATCGCTCAGAAAGTGACACAGATTTAAGACAAGGGGGATGTCGGCTGCTCTACATTTTCATCCTCATCGTTTCTTTATCAGGTATTTTATAAAACACTCTATCAGGATTCTAAAATATCAATATTATATTGATGCACGTATTAGATAAAAAATGAAATTCCCTTATTCCTGTGCGTGAATTGAAGAACTGTCAATTGGCACAAAAAGGCGTATGAGAAATTTCCATCTAACACGAAATTTCACTTGCGTGACGTCACAATCGGATAACAATAGCATGACGTCACAAACTTATGCCGACATGCAGAAATCGCGACGCCTTTTTGTGGTTTCTGAGCTAATTCTGCTGATTGGAATGAAAGAAAACATATTCGTTCATGTCTAGGAATGTAGGATAGGGTAAATTCCACCCTCGGGATTTTCAAATTGGTGGAATACCTTCAACAAGCCCATGGTTTTACCAAATTTGAGACCACATCGGTCGAAATTTTTCTAACCTTCAACCCTGATCATTGAAGAGTCTAATACTTATTGTGTTTTTCTTCCCTTTGATTCTTATTATTTATGCTGTCCGTACTTTATCTGTATTATGCTTATATTTGAAATATTTATATGAAAAGTAAGGTTCAATCGCAAACTACACCATCATAAATGCCGTTTATGCATGTACAGCGACATTTAAATACACTTACCACCCCTTTGCTATGAATAAATATTAGCAAGAACTATAACATGTGAGTGTTTTCCAATTTGAAACCTCTTTGGTTTTCAGTTATTCTGTTATTGTGATCGGGAACCAATATTGGCATGTCGTCAAATTTAGATTATTATGTTCCTCCAAAGATGGCTATTCCTTCATTTTGAACAACAGTTTGTTTAAAATGTATCATGGACCAAAAACGAAACAACTTACAAAGTAAATAAGATAAAGAAAGAAACCAAACAAAGTTCCCCTTGTTGTTTTGAACCTGAATATTAGGAAGGGCATGCATCTTTTAAACGATAATGATGATATGCAACACGGTTCCATTCAAACTTTTCACCAAGACGCGCCTCCGTCTATAATGGGATATGGTTTAACGGAACTGAGTTACATACCCACACAAATGTTATACAGAGCATTTAAGTTTTTGATCTGATCTATTTTATAAGAACGCTAACTACTTAATTGTATTATCGACATTTCTTTGCCCAATGAAAGGAATCGCCTCATGGATATCAATTGCATTTTTCCTCTAGCGAACCATCATTGCACCTACATTTATGACTCCCCCCACGTTAGTTATAAACTGGTATAATTGTCATCATTATCATTTATTGTAATTTGCCGTTATAAGGAAAACATCCCCCTTAACTTAGGGCAAACAGGCCTATTGTATCCCACTATCTTAAAGGACTTTGAATAAACCATCATTGATCTACTGCTCCCCTCGCAACCATTGGGAACTCTATTCATTCTCTCTTACATTCTCTAACTTTCCGGCGGTGACTCCCTAGGTACCCGTCTTCATATGACACTGGCGGTTGCGAGGAAGTTGATCCCCTTAACAGCAAGCTTTCGGAAAATATATGATGTATTGCCAAACAAAACGTGAAGTGTCAAATATTTGTAAAATTGTGATGTATGCTTTCAGTGGTCGTAGGAGTACCGGATGATCCGTTTCAATGTAGAGAACACTCAAAAGGATCGACCTTGTCCAGATCTTACAACGGTGTCTGCATTACTTTTGTCAGCGCCAGGAAATCGTGGGATGATGCGAACCGGGATTGTAGAAACCAAGGAGGACTACTAGTCAAAATCACAGACCAGCACATGCAGGATTTTGTATTTGGAGTGTTAACGTCTGAGCACTGGAGTGACACGGGGATTTGGATTGGTGCCACCGACCATGATAGCGAAGGACGGTGGATGTGGAGTGATGGTAATGATGTTTTCATTCCATATCGTAACCTCTATAACTGTAAACATACGTATTTAGCGGTTGTCTTATTTTAATGGTTTTCTCGTTTAAATGATTGCGCAATATTAGGATTTCGCCAATTAGAAATTCATGTATATTGTTTGTTTTGAATATTGTATTAGTACACCAAATCACTAATCGTTAAAATTCGATAATGTACGAAAATTTGAGCACGCTAGAATAAGTATGCTTGCATCATTTAGAAAGAAATAAAAATGTTTACGTGATGAAAAGAACTTTCTTGTTTGATGTCTGTCTATTAAATGGAACATATAGGAATAAGGAAGATGCAAATGAAATGTTTCATTAAACGATCAAAGTTCATAGTTTTACTTACACTCATCCTCCGATTATCTTTTTTTTTTTAAATTAACAAGCACGACTTTATATTTTGAAATTCATAAACGGAGAGGTTTTACGTACCTTTACTTTTGTTTTATTTCCAACATTTTTGCCCTTAGCATCACCGATGAGTCCTGGAAGTATGATGCAATGTGTAGTTCATTTTCTACTTTTCGTGTCTATTACCTAATTTAAAGGTACAAACAGCTGTGTGTATGTTACGTTTATCTGTGTTAAATAATGGATATTCTTGATGTAAGTGTCGCATTCACCTGTCCTGCCCATGTGTTTTCCCACGTCCTATTGTTATCTCTACGTATCGAGTTTTAGCTCCTCTTTTGACGAAAAAGTATCTCCGACTTAACTTAACAGATACCAATATTACGTATTCAAACTGGCACCCAGGCGAGGGACCGGGACACGGCTTCCTGTTCTCCACGGCTGGCCTGGAGGACTGTGCCATGATTCGTGTTGATGACAATGGGCGTTGGCATGACTACAGCTGTGGAACGTCCCTGTTCCATCATTCCTATATGTGTCAATACGGTATGTGCTTTAGAGATTTACCCAGACACTGTCAATCAAAATACTGCGTTTTATAAAGATATATCGAGATACCTCGTTTTATAACGTTCGACCCCTATAGCTTTACTCCTATGTATGTAACAACTATGTCCTTAATTATAAATCCCCTGACATCAACACTCCTATCGTAAATACCGTGTTTTGTAAATATTTACCTTGTTGACACCAATCCTATATAAGTTAATACCTAGTCGTAGGAAGACTTACCCCGATACCACCACACCAATGTATGTTAATACAATGTCCTAAACAGATTTATCCATGAGGTGACAATTATATTGCAAAACTATTTTGTGAACCGTTTATTTGATCAATATTGTGTCACCACGGGAAAATATTTCATTTGTGTTTTTAGTTTATGATATTAACTCAAAACATATGCTGTGTAATACAAAACAATATTATAGATAATCAATGATACAGACTGCTGATTTGTATTTCATCGCATGTCAAGTTTAATTTTATATACGTTCATTAGATATGTTACTCAAAAATTCTGTAAGCGTTACATATTTTAGGGCAATCAAATCTTAACTGATTATCGGATTTTAAGTGTTTAAACTTTATATTTGGCTGACAAATAGCTCTTCAATCGTGTATTAATGCACAAGGTCAACTTTTGCTTTGTCAACTGATAAATTAATAAGTTTGCGGTCGAGTAAGTGTCCAATTCTTTTCTTTCTTTCTTTAAGAACCCTGTTCCACATTGCATCCCAACGCGTCCCACGTACAATTCTCCAGAAATTCCTGTCTCAGTTTTGTCAAAGATGGCAAGTCTTGGATTGACGCTAACGTTGAGTGTATCGGTCAAGGTGGAGAGTTGCTACAGATACACAATCAACCAGAACAGGACTTTATTTACGAGCGTCTGAGGTCCCTACATTGGAGTGACTCGGGAGCGTGGATAGGGGCTACAGACCGTAGAAGTGAGGGACACTGGAAATGGAGTGACGGTAACTATAGTTACAGCTCGTAAAAACGTACTTATATATTCCGGATTATGCCCCAGACAAAATCACACGACCATGCTTTAAAAAAAAGATTCCTGTTCCAGGAATTTAGAAGAACTTGGCGTTATTATGTTAATCAATCAAACACTACTGCGCAGATTTATATACATGTACTATGTTTCATTTTCCTACGCATGGATCTCTAAGGAAGGATACTACACTAAATAGATATTCTTGTGGTGCAAACGTATGAGTGAACTAGATGTTGAAATACGTTAAATTGGCTACTATGCATTGTAAATACACCACCACCACCACCATTTACGTAATATGTAATACCATCTATTTAATCTCTACCCAGAGTTGTCGTTCCTTACACTCACTTGCACAAACTCTTCCCAGAGTTGTCGTTCCTTACACTCACTTGCACAATCTCTATCCAGAGTTGTCGTTCCTTACACTCACTTGCTTAATCTCTATCCAGAGTTGTCGTTCCTTACACTCACTTGCATAATCTCTATCCAGAGTTGTCGTTCCTTAAACTCCCTTGCACAATCTCTACCCAGAGGTGTCGTTCCTTACACTCACTTGCACAATCTCTACCCAGAGTTGTCGTTCCTTCCATTTACTTGCACAATCTCTACCCAGAGTTGTCGTTCCTAACACTCACTTGCACAATCTCTACCCAGAGTTGTCGTTCCTTACACTCAATTGCGCAGTCTCTACCCAGAGTTGCCGTTCCTTACACTCACTTGCAGTCTCTACCGAGAGTTGCCGCTCCTTACACTCACTTGCATAATCTCTACCCAGAGTTGCCGTTCCTTACACTCACTTTCGCAGTCTCTACCCAGAGTTGCCGTTCCTTACACTCACTTGCACAATCTCTATCCAGAGTTGTCGTTCCTTACACTCACTTGCTTAATCTCCATCCAGAGTTGTCGTTCCTTACACTCACTTGCGCAGTCTCTACCCAGAGTTGCCGTTCCTTACACTCACTTGCAGTCTCTACCCAGAGTTGCCGTTCCTTACACTCGCTAACATGTAAGTGAGTGTAAGTTGCAGTACCAACCAATGGGTTGATATTGCTATACATCTTACATCTTCATTCTGCAATTAAAATGTTTATTTGGTGCGGAGGAAATATATTATTTAAATTAACTTAATTATGTTCCAGACTCGCCTTTAAAGTATGACCACTGGAAGCCTGGAGAGGGACCATCTCACAACGCCACAAACGAGAACTGTGCCATGATTAACGCAGATGATGGGATGTGGTATGACTACGATTGTGGAGCCGTCATCTATAACCAGGCTTACATATGTCAATATCGCCAGTGATTAGTGTTGAGATGGAACATAGTTATCTCCCTTTAATCCTTATTTTCAATACTGATAGTAATTAGTATGAAATTAAATGGTCTAGTCAGGAGTGTGTTTTACTATTGTTGTATCAGTTAGATCTAAATACATAATGGTAATACGAAGTAAACAATTTTTGTCAATATTTTGCTCGAAAGTTTTTCTTATGTTGACGGAGATTAGCAGAGGGTTTTGTAGAATGTTTGATGATCTTGTTTAATAAATTTATATTAACAAAGTATTGGCGTGTTCGATATTTTGTATCATATTATTAATATATATATTTAAAGACATGCATTTTTATAAAGTCATGTCTTCTTTAGTAAAATAAATTATTTTGCAGTGATAAGGTAGCAGTATAAAGTAGAAATGGCCCGACTCTGATAAACAAGGCACATGTCGAGGAAATGTAAACACAGCGGATTTTCCCTACACAATACATGTATACATGTATATTTATTTGTAAACTGCATTACATTTACAATACATATAAAGTGCTGAGAGGTGTATAAACCTCTTTTTTCTATGTATTTCACTTGTGTGAAAACCATGGTTAACCACATCAAAATTACCAAAAAAGGTCAAAAATTGCTATTTTTGACCCAAAATTTAATCCCCGCAACTAGTAATTGTTTTCCTGAGTTCTGTCTGAAATTAAAGATTACCTACTTGGTTGCAGAATTATCTTGGTGCCAGTAAAGTTGTCAAACTTGATTTTTTGCAATTTTGCGTCGTGTGCTGTTGTCAAAAGTTTACCTCCTGTATAACTAGCTTTTCACCCTTTCGAATTATGGCCAAAATTTTGATCTCGAACCAAAAACTTTTTTTCTTTTTTTACAAATGTGAAGCTCACATAGCCCACTTCATCATGCTTATACCAATTTTAGTACAGTTTTATTTTTATATTATTTTTACATATCATTATACAGGGGTTGGCCATTTAACAAATATATCACCTATGTCCACAGTTAACCCTCTTCTGTAGACTGCTACCTAAGACATACAAACAGTCGTTACACATTTTCATGTTAACATCCGCATCGGGAGATTGTATGACTGTGTTAGCTGGACTTACTAGAACAAAGTATCTACTGCTTTGGTTTAGTTGAAAAGCCATTATAGAATCAGTTACAATGTTCCATTGGAGCTTTGCAGCTGACTCGGGCACATACACCGTAATCATACAGAAGACAAACTTTAACGCTGGATGTGTTGTTACTTTAAGAGACAAAATGGAGATAGCAGTTTGTTTGTATTGGGTTTAACGTCCTTGCAACAGACAGGGTCATATGCGGACAGGTTTCTAGGGAGACACCGCCTGAAACAGAAAGTAGATAGAAAAGAAGAAGACAGGAAAAATAGGAAACGAAAAGTGTTGCAATGGGGGCAGCAGATCAACTTTTGTCTCTTTTATGTTTCCTTCGAAGAAGACATGGGTTAAAACCCGATTCTGAAGGAGGTCCTCATTGGTCTCGATTTACGATACACATGAAGTGAGAAACAATCTTGATTGCTTCAATGAACCCTTACTAGAAGACAGAGAAGAGGCCACCAACGTTTCGGAGGAAACAGTTCAGGTAGTATAACATCACATGCATCACTACATGGCTTGTAACCTGTTATCGACCTAAAGCCAACACTTGAATTATTGACGTTTCAACCACCCAAGAAAAATATCTTGCATCTTTACATGCCTTTTATCACATTACAATGATTTCTGTCAATGTTATTCTTCATGGGTATTTTCACAAATTCACCTGCAGGTTGATAGCACTAAACCAAAAAATGCAAGGCAACGGTCACCGAAACACACACACTTCAGAGTTCTTTCGAATTAAACTACAAACGTCATCACAATAAAACTAAAATAAATGTCAAGAAATGATACAACGAAAGCTACGAGAAATAGCAATATAAAAGTTACCAGACCTGGTGATTGTGTATTGTATATAACTAAAAAATCATTTGGATTTTTAGTGATCATCTGACAAAAGGAATTCCTATCTTGAGTCAAATGATATGAAACTAATACTTAATCACCATGCATAGTATGCGCTATCAAGCACCTGGAGGGTTAAATACAAAATCATCCTATCACATTGGGAATATTAATCAATTGAAGGTAATTATTGCCTTAGGTTTTATTATATGATTATATTTATGAGGTTTAAAGTCATCGCTCGCAAAGTCAGGGTCTAATGTAGACGGATGCCTATTGGGAAACAGCCGAAGAAAGGAGGTGAGAGAGAAAAGAAATGACAACATAGTGTTTCAAAAGGGAGAGTTGATCTATTTCGATTTCTCTTCTGTTCCCTTAGAAAAAAACATCAAAGCAAACACTTGATTATGACGAGGTACCCACATTAGTCGCCTCTTACAATCATACAGTAGGAAACAGAAGGACTTTACTTTCACATTCCCCGAACAAGAACAGGTTGATTTGTATGTAAACATGTTTTAAGCATCACAAGTTTTGAACATCCAGATCAAGATTATTTATTACTTAAATACACAATTTCAAATGAATATATTTCAGTTTCATATTTTCGTATGGTTACGACAATATGTCTATATAAAGTTAAACACAAAGAACGTTTACTGATTGAGTATGCTCGTTTATTCGTTAATGTCACAAGGTACATTTTCACGACTTAATAATGACGTCGAGTAGATGGGAATAAGGGATCATATAGTAGGTACAATCAGCATAACACAACTCTATATACATTATATTAAATTGTTTCTGCAGTGAATGCCACGATAAACATTTTATAATCAGTTATATTAAACATGTGTCTATAAACGTTATTTTTTATAAATGATAAACTGTAAGATAACACTAGCATGTCCTCGTGGCGTGATGTTTGCGTTATTGCTGATACTGTCTGAATATTACTCCCAGGCAGTACTCATTTAAACTCAAATATGCTAAAGACAGTAGCTGTGCATGTCCTATTGTTGGTTTTAGGAATAGTAACAGGTAAGTAACGTCGGTTGGTCGGGTGGCGTAATGGATAGCGCCCTTGCCCTTAACCAGGGTGACCAGGGTTCGATTTCCTGGGTTTTAGGAATAGTGACAGGTAAGTAACGTCGGTTGGTCGGGTGGCTAAATGGATACCTCCCCTGCCCTTCACCAGGATGGCCAGGGTTCGATGCCCTGGGTTTTAGGAATAGTAACAGGTAAGTAACGTCGGTTGGTCGGGTGGCTAAATGGATACCTCCCCTGCCCTTCACCAAGACGGCCAGGATTCGATGCCATGATCGGACGTAAAAAGTTATGGGGTTACCCGCCCGATCGGCGACCACATGGGTTTCTCCGGGTTCTCAGGTTTCCTCCCATATTAAGACTCAAGAATCATTGAGAAAAAATATATGACGTGTTTCATAATTGTTGTAAAATTTAAAAAAGAAAAAAAAGAAAAAAGGTATATAACGTCGGTATAACAGTATTATAGAAAGGAATATGATATCTAAGCAATTGGCTTACCTTTTTAATATTTTTATTATGAACATTTTTTCATCACAACATATCAAGATGCTAAGGATGTTTCGAACCAATAACTCGTTCGATAGAAAACGTTTCCGGATCCTGTACTGTTTATATATTAACATGAACTTTTATTACTTAATTTCAGTTTTCACTGTACAGGTTTTTATTGTAAAAGCAAATATTTTTATGCATATAAGTTGATAACAGATAATAATATCTCACCTATCTTATTTCTGACCATACTAATTTACATGTTACAAAGTCGACGGAAACTCATCTGATTATTATTCAGTCTGATCAGTGTATCATTTATTTTTATTTTTATTTATTACCTTATTCAGTAAATAGTAGCCTTGTGGATGACCTAGTAGATTGCCCGTCTCCTTTGCCACGGACACAATTCGTGAAGTCGTATAACGATGTATGTCTTAACCTCATCACGGCAAAATATTCCTGGAACGGTGCCAACTCCAACTGCCAGCGCCATGAAGGTCGTCTGGTGCAGATTCAGAACCAAGACAAACAGGAATTTATCTACAACACACTGAAGTCCATGCACTGGGAAGACTGGGGTGTGTGGATAGGGGCAACTGACCATGACACTGAGGGTACATGGAAGTGGACAGATGGTACAAAATATAGATATTCTAAGCATTTAACCGTACGGAAGTTAATTCTATCATTACAAATTGCTGGAAGATCTAAATCTAGGAAAGAATTTTGTAAACGGGATGCATGTTTTTAAAGATTATATTTTGGTAGTCAAATTAATGGAGATGCATGATAATACACTTCCGTTAAACTGTAAATAAACATTCTAGTAGCCGTCCTTTATTTTTTTGGAATATTTTTATTTTAAATCTTTTCTAACACTGTTTTCCCTATATTAATTTTATCAAATCGTTCTTTAGGCATTGCTGATCAAGTATTTGTTTGTGAAACAAATAAATGTGGTTTATGTACACGATATAAACTGCTGCCACTAATGGTATGTATATGATACAGGTACCAAACTATCCTTTGGAAACTGGCATCCAGGTGAAGGAGCGGCCCATGGATTTCTTTTCACGAAGGCAGGTTACGAGGACTGCGCCCTACTACGACTGAATGACAATGGAAGATGGCACGACTATGATTGTGGGACTACTCTGTATCAACACACATCTATATGTGAATACCGTATGTACCAAATGTGGATCTGGACGTAGCGAAACACATGATACAAAAGGAGCTTTTTAGTGCAGGCCTCCATCTTGTACATGTCTTCATATGTATTATGCGAATGAAACAAAATCTTTTCTGATTTCCATATAACATTTTTTTTAGATTAAAGCTCTTCCTTAAAGAAATAGGTAACACCTTTCAATTTCAAGAAATATTTTAAGAGTAGAAACTATGTCTCTTTAAATCATTGTTTACCTTGCTGATCTCTGCTGTAACTTTGTCATTGTATCAGATAAATCGTCTTGATCATAAGGCCCATCAATATAGAATTGAATAATCGATGGAATAAATTATGAAGGCTATGACATTTATAACTTCATCGTATTTCAGAAAAGATTTATCGACCTTTAACGGCAATAACAACAATCTTGCCAACCATACCAACAACAACGCCGACAACAACAACAACGCCGACAACAACAACAACGCCGACAACAACAACAACGCCGACAACAACAACTACGCCGACAACAACAACAACACCGCCGACAACAACAACAACTATGTCGACAACAACAACGGGTACGTCCAATCCCCTATGAACATTCAATATATTATATATAGTGTTACCGCATTATTTATAGTGTTACGCAACTACGACAATCTCTGGACGCGAAACTTGAGGTCTTATAAAGATTTACTGCCAGTACGATCACCAAATGCATAACACATGTTATCAACATTTGAATTAAATAAATCTTTTCTTTTCTTTTAGGATACAACTTATATATATTTAAATTGATCACTGTTTATCATATTGCTAAAGGTCTTATAAAGATTGATTTCAAATAGGTCTCATAAAGATGTACTCAAGAAATCAAAGGTCTGGATGGTAGCACACAGTTATTGTAAAACTTTAAAAACATCGAAGAAAGAATGAACTCCTTTACCATCATACTTCATATATAGTACACTGCTACACATCATAGGGAGACCAACCATTGAACAAACTCAAACCATTATATTATACGTCACAGGGCCACACTTGAAAACTGTACTACCAAGTTTAGGTATATATACAGAGAAAGGCTATTAAACGAACTTAAGATATGTTGACAGTGTTTTGTTGAGGTTATTCCTATAACATTCTCCTTGTCAAACCGCAACCATTTATATTTTCTTTTTCTTTAGACAATTGCTCATCTTATAATTCACTTGCCTCCCTCGTGAAATTTTACGGAAATAACTGTATAAGGTTTGTGAAAGATGCGAAGTCCTGGAGTGACGCTAACGCTGAGTGTGTCAGTCAAGGTGGACATTTGCTACATATCCACAGTCAGATGGAGCAGGACTTCATCTTTGAGAGCTTAAAATCTTTACACTGGAGTGACTCGGGAGCGTGGATAGGGGCTACTGACACAGGTAGTGAGGGACACTGGCAATGGACTGATGGTAATCATAAAGGATTTTCCCAAATTATAACTCATACTCCGAAATACTTTTGTTAAGTACCAGACCCTGTTTTTATCGTTGTTTACTTTTTATTTTTGCTATGATAGTACCTGAAACTGACCACGGCTTGAATTTTGCATTTTTTTCGCTTCAACTGAACATTTCCTTGTCAGCATTTTAACATTTTATGATGATCTTTGGAATTTGAATGAATGAAACTATTTCTTTATTCTGAATTGATTCCTACAGTCCGAAACAAAATACATAATTCTCGCACTTTCAATTTTTTAACCACGTAAGCATAAAACTAGATTTTGTGTTTGAAATACGTCTTCTGATACTATTTAAACTTAAAAGTTAATCATCTCTAGTATAAAAATGATGCATAACTATGTTTCATAGGGATTAATTATAGGAATGATTTAACTGTTGACACATTACAAAGAGTGATTCGATTTGGGTACTGATCCGATTTGTGTCCTGATTCAATTTGGTTCCTGCCTCCTCGCAAAACTTTTGTTAAGGTCCCTGTGTCATTACTAGAAAACCATGCAAAGAAGATTTTTCCTCGCACAACTGTCGCTTTGGTGAATCATTTCAAAAAGAAATTTATACTTTGCATAACTTTTATGAAACGAAATATTGTTGAGATGATTTTAAGAAAAAAGGAATTTACATCAGCTTTGTCAGTATAAAAAAAATATGATGCCAGGCCAGGATGCAAACCCCGGACCTTCCGTCATTCGACCATTTGGCTATGTCTCTTATCCACTACACTTTTTTTGTCAATGGTAATACAATGGCAAAGACACGCTACATTGACGTCCAAAGCGCAATGAAGGGGAGGTAACGGTGACCAACGAAAACCTACAGCTCGTTACTCGTCTTTCGCAAAATTATACAAACAAAAATTAAAAAAATCTGTGTAAAACCAATTCGATTTCTACCGGTTTGTCTTAAGGTTATCCATAATGGAAACACCAACTTATAGTTTCAGAGTGATTAATTTCTGATAGAACGTTCAATAATTTGTTTAACTTGAAAGAAAATATATGACGTTTCAGACTCGCCCGTTGAGTATAGTCACTGGAAGCCGGGAGAGGGACCATCTCACAAAGCCACGAACGAGAACTGTGCCATGATTAACGTGGATGATGGGATGTGGTATGACTACGATTGTGGAGCCGTCATCTATAACCAGGCTTACATATGTCAATATAGCCAGTGATTAGTGTTGAGATGTGACATAGTTATCTCTCTTTCATCCGTATGCTCAAAACTGACAGTAAATATTATGAAGTGAACTGGTCTAATCTGGGGGGTGTTTTACTATTACCCCCTCAGTAAGATCTACATACATAACATTAATAAGAAGTAAACCGTTTTGTCACTATTTTGCTTTTGACTCTCTCGAAAGGTTTTTTGAATTTGCGAGATTGGCAGTGGGTTAAATCAAATGGTGGATGAACTTATTAAATAAATTTATGCTGACCAATAATGGGATGTTCGACATTTTGTATATTTTAGATAGGTATTTAAAGACAAACAGTTTCATTAATCCGTGTCTACTTTAGTAAGATTTTATAAATCATTTTGCATTCATAAGACACAAGAAGGCACGTTACACATTTACAGGTTAACATTTGCAATTCATTAGCTGAACTTGCCAGAACCAACTATCCACTGATATTGTTTAGTTGAAATGCCATATTATAATCAGTCACAAAGTTTTACTGGAGCTTGGAAGCTGACTGTCCAAAAACAACCTCCGATTCTGCAGGAGGCTCACATAACCGATTCTGCAGGTCGCCAAAATGTGTCGCCACTTACGATACACATACTTTTGGATGCAGTAGGCCGTTCTTGAATTCTTCAATGACCCCTTAATAAAAGCCAAGGAAGAAAACACCAACGATTCGGAGGAAAGAGTGCCTTTATGGAGATAGGTAGTATACCATCACATGGACTTCATAGCTTGCTACCAGTAATTGTCATCCATACTATCTCTTAAATTACTGAATGTTCCCAAACATCTAATTCCAAAAAGTACTTTTTTCTATTTTTTTGTTGTTACATTTTTGGAATCTTTTCACCGCATGACAATTATTTCTTTCAATGATATTCATGATTCAGATTTTCATAAGACCACCTGTACTAAGCCAAACCAAGCAATCCAAAGGTCACCAAAGCACAAACACAATTTTGAATGACTATATTTAAGTTCTATATGTTCGTATTGTAACGACAATATGGTTGTGTTAAGTTGAAAACAAGGAACGACTTCCAAGCAATACTCAAATATGCCGAAGACAGTAGCTGTGAATCTCCTGTTGTTGGTTTTAGGAATAGTAACAGGTAAGTAATGTCGGGTGATCTGGTGACGCAATGGACAGCGCACTTGTCCTTCACCAAGACGGCCAGGGTTCGCTGCCCTGATCGGACGTAAAAGTTATGGAGGTCGTTTGATATTCCCGATAATGTCACACGGTTTATTTTAATATATAATAAAGGCGTCGAGTAGATGGCCGTAGAGGATACTATAGGAAGTAAAATCAATATTACATCACTCTATTGTAATTATATTCAATTGTTTCTGCTGTGAATGTGACATTTATATTTTAAAATCAGCTATATTTAACATGTACAAATAAACGTTATGATAACAACTTGTAAACTGCAAGATAACACTAGCATGTTCTCATGGCGTGATGTTTGCATTATTGATGATAATACCTGAGTATTTATCCAAGGCAGTACTCATTTATACTCAAATATACTGAAGACAGCAACGATGAATCTCCTGTTGTTGGTTTTAGGAATAGTAACAGGTAAGTAATGCCGGGTGATCTGGTGGCGTAATGGATAGTGCACTTGCTCTTTAACAAGATGACCAGGGTTCGATGCCCTGATCGGACGTGAAATGTTTTGGGGTACCCGCCCGATCTGCGACCACATGGGTTTTCTCTGGTTTCTCAGGTTTCCTCCAATATTAAGACTCATCCGCGCTAGCATCTGGGCCTATAGGATTCATTAAGCTAAGTTATATGACGTGTTTAATATTGTTGTAATTTTTTTTAAACATCTGAAAGATATAGTACAACCGTTTATATATCACAATGAAAATGAAAGATACCCATTAAGGACGCCTAGATATTTCAACATTCCAATATGTAGAACAGTAAGCTATTATAATAGCTATTTTCCAAGTACATTTAGGGTATTCAACTCATTTACTTCCAATTTTCATTTATCCAATGTAAACTCTCTATCACAGTTTAAAGCTCTACTCTTCAAAAATAATGAAACTGTCTCTGCTACAAAACAAACTTTGTCGAAATGATGGCATTCGAAATATGAATATAAGTATGTGCCAACTTAGAAATGAAGCAAGCAATTTGAACTCTGACCTTTTTCTTGACCTTTTAAGGGATTTTCCAATATGCACATGCAACCTTGGTGAGGAAACTGCGGAACATTATTTTTTGTATCTGTCCTCTATTCAACCATTCTAGATTGACACTTAGAAATTAGCTGATTAACAAAAATATAACCCATGACCATTTTAATATAAACACATTACTTCATAGATGTCATGAATGTGATGAAGAAATCAATGCATTTGTACTACAATGTATATCAGAGTATATTATCAACACTAAAATATCTGTTTAATCATAACTATACCTGGTACGGTGGGGACATGGAGACACACTATATGAATTGTTTATATGTTTGTTTGATGATTTCAATGACTGTACATATAACATACCAAAGATGTAAGGAGAAGGCTTATATAGGCTTTGCCTGATGCCCTATCCCTTTGCATATTGATTGACAATAAAATTTGTTGAAATGAAAAAAAAAATATTGCTATATTATAAATTGACTTACCTTTTTAATATGTTTACTATGAACAATTTTTCATAATAACACATCAAGATACAAAGGAAAAATAATTGTTTGGAACCAATAACTCGTTTGATAGAAAACAAATCCGGGTCCTGTACTGTTTATATATTAACATGAATTTTTATCACTTAATTTTCAGTTTTCACTTATCATTTTTTTTATTATAAGAGTAAAATATTTTTATGCATATCAGTTGATAACAGATAATAATATCTCACCTATCTTATTTCTGACCATATTATTTTACATGTTACAAAGTCGACGGAAACTCATCGGAATATTATTCAGTCTGATCATTCATTATCTTATTCAGTAAATAGTAGCCTTGTGGATGACCTAGAAGATTGCCCGCTCCCTTTGCCACGGACACAATACGTGAAGTCGTATAACGATGTATGTCTCTTCCTCATCACGGGAAAATATTCCTGGAACGGTGCCAACTCCAACTGCCGTCGCCATGGAGGTCGTCTGGTGCAGATTCAGGACCAAGACAAACAGGACTTCCTCTACAACACACTGAAGTCCATGCACTGGGGAGACTGGGGAGTGTGGATAGGGGCAACTGACCACGACAGTGAGGGAACATGGAAGTGGACAGATGGTACAATATATAGATATTCTAAGCATTTAACCGTGTTCTGATTTTTGTTTTTTTAATACCCCCTTAACTAGCTAGATGGTGTCATTTAGGTGGTAAAATATCACATGATGTTTTTTAACGTCAGACACAAAACAATGCATTCGACGTCACTCATATCGCTACGACATTGCCTTGACGTTGACATGAGTGATCATAACGTCATTATGTTTGTGACGTCATAACCATGGCTCTTTGAGATAGCTGAATAATACTTAGTAATGTCTGTTTGATTTCTGAAAATTTCAACATATATATATGCTTAATACGAGTTCTGAACTGCATTAAGTTAAAAATTACTGAAGAAATTCGTCCAGAATTCAATAATACTACAATGAACGATATTCTTTGTATTTGTTGACAGACATTTGTTACTCAAAATCATTTGTAACAATTATTTTTCGTTTCTTTTTTCTTTTCGTTGTTGTTGTTGTGGTTGTTGTTTTTGTTGTTGTTGTTGTTGTTGTTGTTGTTATTGTTATTGTTGTTGTATTTGTTGGTGTTGTCCTGCATGCTTTGTGATCGTATGTGTGTTTAAGTACGATATGATGTTTGTATGTGTGCACATGTATAATTCACACTGCTGGACGTTGTTGGCTTGTCACTGTTACAGGTACCACACTGTCCTATGGTAACTGGCATCCAGGTGAGGGACCGACTCACGGCTTCCTCTTCTCTAAGGCAGGGTACGAGGACTGCGCCCTACTACGACTAAATGACAATGGAAGATGGCACGACCTTGATTGTGGGACTATTCTGTATCATCACACATCTATATGTGAATACCGTATGTACCATGTGTATTGATGAGAATCGAAAGATGTCTTTACGTTTAGACCTCAATCTTTCGAATGTCCTCATATTTATGTGACAAATTAAAACAAATAACTTCGTTGATATACAATTGTATCATCAATCTTGAATTGTCTCAGATATTGTACAATCCTCTGTGTTGATACTTCCTACTTTTGAATTATCAAGTAATTATTTAAAAGATATCTTTCCATATCGTTGTTTTGTTTCTCCTCTTGATGGTTGTGTGGATTGAAGGTAGATGTGTTCTTTTACTATGCTCATTGGTGTGCATTGTTCTTTTGTTGTTACTAACATGGTTCTTGCTTTGAGGACGTTATATTATTTGGACGTAAACCAAAAGCTGAAGACGGTTACTCTTCCGGGAAATTCAAAGTTTTCCATATAGCTTTTTTTTCATAATTTGTCATTAGTATGCATTGTTCTTTCGTTGTTACTAACATGTTTCTTGCTTTGATGACGTTATATTACTTGCACATGAACCAGATTTATATGGTGGGTATCGTCGTAGAAGGGGAAGTCGGTTATTCTTCCGGAAAATATGTTTTATTTATCCTTATACTTTTTAAAAGTTCTCAATATCATTTTCTTTTTTAGATAATTTAGATTTTGAGTTCAATTATCGGTTTTGCTGACTAATCGGTATTCTCTTGATGTAGTGATGAATACTTTAAAGTGTTTCATGTAAGATTCATTTTCAAAGTTTAAAGGTCACTGGTCATCCTTAACAATGAAAATCGTACAAATACGTTGAACATACCTTACGAATTCTTTCACGTTTACAACTTCAACTTATTTCAGAAAAGGTTTATCGACCTTCAGTACTAACAACAACAACAACGCCATATACAACACCAACAACAACAACAATGCTGACAACAACAACGGGTACGTCAAACTCCCAACCCATGACCATGTCTATTACGTATAGTATTAACGCAAATTCGACAATATCTAGACGTGAAACTTGAGGTATTATGTCTAAATGATATAGTGCAACCGTTTATTTATCACAATGAAAATGAAAGATACCCATTAAGGACGACTAGATATTTCAACATCCAATATGTAGAACAGTAAGCTATTATTGAAGCTATTTTCCAAGAACATTTAGGGGATTCAACTCATTTACTCCCAATTTTGATTTATCCAGTGTAAACTCTCTATCACAATTTAAAGCTATTCTCTTCAAAAATAATGAAACTGTCTGTCATGAATTTGATAAAGAAATCAATGCATGTGTACTACAATGTATATCAGAGTACATTATCAACACTAAAAGATGTGTTTAATCATAACTATACCTGGTACGGTGGGGACATTGAGACACACTATAAGAATTGTTTATGTTTGTTCGATGAGTTCAATGACTGTACATATAACATACCAAAGATGTAAGGAGAAGGCTTATATAGGCTTTGTCTGATGCCCTATCCCTTTGCATATATTTTGCAATAAAATTTGTCGAAATGATTTTGTTTTTTATATATCGTCGATATAACAGCATGATAGAAAGGAATATACTATCTAATAAATTGACTTACCTTTTTAATAGTTTTACTATGAAAAATTGTTCATAATAACACATCAAGATGCAAAGGAAAATAATTGTTTTGAAAAGTTCGATAGAAAACATTTCCGGATCATGTACTGTTTATTTATTAACATGAAGTTTTATTACTTAATTTTCAGTTTCGGTTTTATTTTTTTTATTGGAAGAGCAAAATATTGTTATTCATATCAGTTGATAACAGATAATAATATCTCACCTATCTTATTTCTGACCATATTATTTTACATGTTACAAAGACGACGGAAACTCATCGGAATATTATTCAGTCTGATCATTCATTATCTTATTCAGTAAATAGTAGCCTTGTGGATGACCTAGAAGATTGCCCGCTCCCTTTGCCACGGACACAATACGTGAAGTCGTATAACGATGTATGTCTCTTCCTCATCACGGGAAAATATTCCTGGAACGGTGCCAACTCAAAGTGCCGTCGCCATGGAGGTCGTCTGGTGCAGATTCAGGACCAAGACAAACAGGACTTCCTCTACAACACACTGAAGTCCATGCACTGGGGAGACTGGGGTGTGTGGATAGGGGCAACTGACCATGACAGTGAGGGAACATGGAAGTGGACAGATGGTACAAAATATAAATATTCTAAGCATTTAACCGTGTTCTGATTTTTGTTTTTTTAATACCCCCTTAACTAGCTAGATGGTGTCATTTAGGTGGTAAAATATCACATGATGTTTTTTAACGTCAGACACAAAACAATGCATTCGACGTGTTTCATATCGCTGCGAAATAGCTTGACGTTGACAATGGAGATCATAATGTCATTATGTTTGTGACGTCATAACCATGGCTCTTTGAGATTGCTGAATAATACTTAATAATGTCTTTTTGATTTCTGAAAATTTCAACATATATATATATGCTTAATACGAGTCCTGAACTGCATTAAATTAAAAATTACTGAAGAAACTCGTCCAAAATTCAATAATACTACAATGAACGATATTCTTTGTATTTGTTGACAGACATTTGTTACTCAAAATCATTTGTAACAATTATTTTTCTTTTTTCTTTTAGTTGTTATTGTTGTTGTTGTTGTTGTTGTTGTCCTGCATGCTTTGTGATCGTGTGTGTGTTTAAGTACGATATGATGTTTGTATGTGTGCACAGGTATGTTTCACACTGCAGCACGTTGTTGGCTTGTTACTGTTTCAGGTACCAAACTGTCCTATGGTAACTGGCATCCAGGTGAAGGACCGGACCATCGATTTCTCTCTGCTAAGGCAGGGTACGAGGACTGCGCCCTACTACGACTAAATGACAATGGAAGATGGCACGACCTTGATTGTGGGACTATTCTGTATCATCACACATCTATATGTGAATACCGTATGTACCATGTGTGTTGATCTAGAACGAGAATCGAAAGATGTCTTTACGTTTAGACCTCAATCTTTCGAATGTCCTCATATTTTGTGACACATTAAAACAAATAACTTCGTTGATATACAATTGTATCATCAATCTTGAATTGTCTCAGGTATTGTGCAATCCTCTGTGCTGATACTTCTTACTTTTGAAGTATCAAATACTTTTTTAAAAGATATCTTTCCATATCGTTGTTTTGTTTCTCCTCTTGATGGTTGTGTGGTTTGAAGGTAGATGTGACCCTTTACTATGCTCATTGGTGTGCATTGTTCTTTTGTTGTTACTAACATGGTTCTTGCTTTGAGGACGTTATATTACTTCTTGAACGTGAACCAGATTCATAAGGTTGGTAACGTCGAAGACGGTTATTCTTCGGTTTTGTTGACACGTCGGTATATCTTGATGTTTTGATGAATACTTTAAAGTTTTTCATGTAAGATTCATTTTCAAAGTTTAAAGGTCACTGGTCATACCCAACAATAAAAACCGTACTAATACTTTGAACATACCTTACGAATGCTTTGACGTTTACAACTTCACCTTATTTCAGAAAAGGTTTATCGACCTTCAGTACTAACAACAACAACAATGCCATATACAACACCAACAACAACAACAATGCTGACAACAATACCAACAACAATGCCGACTACTACTTCTGCTATGACAACCATACCAACAACAACAATGTTGACAACAACAACAACAACAATGCCGACTACAACAACGGGTACGTCAAACTCCCAACCCATGACCATTCGTGAAACTTGAGGTAGCATGTACATTTACTGCCAGTACGATCACCAAATGCTTAACCCATGATATCAACATTTGAATTTAATAAATGCTTTCTTTTCTTTTTGGATACAACTTATATATATTTGAATTGATCACTGTTTATGACATTGCTATAGGTCATATAAAGATTGATTTCAAGTAGGTCTCATAAAGATGTACTCAAGAAATCAAAGGTCCGGATGGTAGTATACAAGTATCTTAAAAACTTGCCACCTGATAAAACATCGAAGAAAGCTTGAATCCCATCACCATCACACTTTATATATAGAACACTGCCACACCTCATAGGGAGACCAACCATTGAACAAACTCAAATCATTATATTATACGCAACAGGGTCACACTTTAAAACTGTACTACCAAGTTTAGGTATATATACAGAAAAAGGCTATTAAACGAACTGAAGATATGTTGACAGTGGTTAAATTTAGAATCTATATATCAAAATGTGAAACACCTGAGCTTGGAAAGTTTGAACAATATCTTTACATGATAGTTCTTTGGAAAATATTGATACAGTAAAAATTCGTTAAACTGCCACAATTCTTTCCACAAAAAAAATGTCGTTATAAAGCGGTTTGGCGATAAAATGAGGAAATGTAGAGAAAAATACTTTTAAAAAACGGGGAAAAGGGAAATAAGTTGGCAGTAACGAGGTGGCAAACAAAACTTGGGCCATTATATCGAGGCTTAACTGTATATTTGTTTTTAGAGTTCAAAGATTCAGTAAGTCGACAGAACAAAACGCCAAAAGAGTCCTGTAAATCACATTTTGTTGAGGTCATTCCTATACTATTCTCCTTGTCAAACCGCAATCATTTATATTTTCTTTTTCTTTAGACAATTGCTCATCTTATAATTCACTTGCCTCCCTCGTGAAATTTTACGGAAATAACTGTATAAGGTTTGTGAAAGATGCGAAGTCCTGGAGTGATGCTAACGCTGAGTGTGTCAGTCAAGGTGGACATTTGCTACAGATCCACAGTCAGATAGAGCAGGACTTCATCTTTGAAAGCCTAAGATCCCTACACTGGAGTGACTCGGGAGCGTGGATAGGGGCTACTGACCATGGTAGTGAGGGACAATGGAAATGGAGTGATGGTAGTTATAAAAGAATTCCCTAAATCATAACTCTTACTCCGAAATACTTTTGCCAAGAAGCAGACCCCGCATTTATGGTTGTTCAGTCTTTTTTTCAGAGGTAGCCTTTCTACTGACCCATGCACGCTTTTTCTGTGTAAGGTAACCGTACCCAAAATGGATCACCAAATCATTCAATGAAAATATTTTTCTGATGAATTGTATCATTTTTATGGTTGTATCAAAAGAAGAAAATCTATGGGTGCTCAAACACCCAGGGTTCACGTGAGATATTTACAGAACACTCTGACGTCACCAATTAGGGTTTCTAGTTTTCTTTTTTGTAAGTACTCGGAAATAAACGGATCACGGCTTGGATTTTGCAATATTTTTTGCTTCAACTGAACATTTCCTTGTCAGCTTCTAAACATTTTTTGATGATCTTTGGAATTTGAATGAATAAAAGTAATTCTATTTTCTGAATTTAGTCCTACAGTTCGTAATAAAATACGTAATCCTAGCACGAGCCATTTTTTAACAACATAAACAAAAAAATAGATTTTTGGTTTGAAATACGTCTTCTGATGCTATTTGAACCTTAACATTTAATCATCTCTAGTATAAAAAAAGAAGCATAACTATGTATCATTAGGACAAATTTGGGTTCTGCCTCCTCACAACACTTTTGTAAATTGTCCCTATATCATTACTATATAACCATGCTATAGAAGATGTTTCCATGTACGACTGTCTCTTTGGTGAATCATTTCAAAAAGAAATTTATACTTTGCATAACGTTAATGACACAATATATTGTTAAGATGATATTAAAAAAAAGGAATCTACATCAGCTTTCTCAGTATAATAAAAATATCAAATCCTGGACCTTCCATCATTCAACCATTAGACTATCTCTCTAATCAACTTTTGCAATGGTTAAACCACGGCCAAGACGCCCTACAGTAATGTCGGAAGTGAAATGAAGGGGAGGTAACTGTATCCAACAAAAATCTACAGCTCGTTACTCGTCTTTCGCAAAATATTAAAACAAAAACTAAAAAAAAAATCTATGAAAAACCGATGTCCTTTTTTCAAAATGATTTTCACCGGTTTGTCTTAAGGTTATCCATAAAGAAATCACCACCTAACAGTTATTAATTTCTTATAGAACGTTCAATAATTGATTTAACTTGAAAGAAAATATATGACGTTTCAGACTCGCCCGTTGAGTATAGTCACTGGAAGCCTGGAGAGGGACCATTTCACAACGCCACGAACGAGAACTGTGCCATGATTAACGTAGATGATGGGATGTGGTATGACTACGATTGTGGAGCCGTCATCTATAACCAGGCTTACATATGTCAATATAGCCAGTGATTAGTGTAGAAATGTGACATAGTTATCTCCCTTTGTTAGGTGTATGTATCTGTGGAGGGACCATCTCACAACGCCACGAACGAGAACTGTGCCATGATTAACGTGGATGATGGGATGTGGTATGACTACGATTGTGGAGCCGTCATCTATAACCAGGCTTACATATGTCAATATAGCCAGTGATTAGTGTAGAGATGTGACATAGTTATCTCCCTTTGTAAGGTGTATGCTTTTGACCTTTTGACTTTTTACTACTGATTTTGTCAACTTGTGTGTTGACGGATATATGCAATGGTGCATCTTTTGCACTACCATTATATATGTGATCAATGCCTGTTTTCCCTGATGTTGATTTAGATAATCGTAAGTGAAGAAAACCCTATTAGTGTCATTTTAAACAAATTGAATAATTATATTGATGTTTCAATAAGTAACATATTATTTTATTTTAAAGTAGAGATGGGGAGGAAATTTATCACTCCGCGTGGTGAGAGAATATATCAGATATACATCTGCACAGAGGTGGAGGACGAGCTCCACTTTATGTTAAAATGCTCTATCTTAAGAGACATACGGGTTAATTTTTTAACCTTCGTTGAAAATCCTATTTTGCAAAATGTAGTCAATCTGTTTAGCTTATCTGATAGTACACTGCTTAAAAAAAGATGTTTATATAAAAATGTCAATGGTGTTATACAAGAGATACAAGAAACTAATATGTCAGAACATAAATACATGCACGATTGTCTGATGTCAAAATGTTGAAACGGTACTGTGGGCTGGAGGCATTTTTGTGCAAATAAACCATTGTTATTGTTATATTCTTATTGTTATTCCATAAAATGCACATGTTGCTATGCAAATTTACAGGTTTTTAGTTATTAGAAATTTAAATAAATCAAAAAGGAAAACAGAAAAAACTGCAGGAATCGAACTGAGGACATTTACAAAGCCTACACTTTACCAACGTTGTCATCTAGGTTTTATAAATGCAAGGTATCAAATGAGTGTCCAATTTATGGGCCGCAATGTCTAGGAAAACAGAACACTGACAGGGGCAACTACTCCATGTCAGAAAAACTCCTTCCAGTCGATTTATCTTCCATAAAGAAGGGAGAATAATTCAAGTCAGAAAACTTGCCTTCATAATTATAGCTGATGCACTAGTACCCTTAATCTAAACGGACGAAGGAAATAACGTTTTGTTAGTAGTAGTTCTAAAAACAATATTGAAATTCAATGTTATTTTTCTCGAATAACTAAGATAATTATGTATGTCATCTTAGTTACTAAGAATCAAATGTAACTGAAATAAACTATAAATGCTCATTTGATTGATGATTCTTTATCTAAATCTGAACAAATACGATCTCAGCGATGTCTATCAATTAAAACAACTCAGAGACTGCCCATTTTTTTAATTTTTGCATACAGTGATAAATAAGCGGAGGTAAGCAACATGACTGTACTGTCAAAAGTAGCTCATGGAGTGTCAACCCGATAATGCTATGGGTAAGGAATATGATAAAGGGAAAATGGAACGTTAAGATTTATTATAGTCACAAAGGTTAACACAGTAATCGTTCCTTTACTCAAGATATTCCCATTTTTGCTCCCACATCAATTTCTGATATGGTAACACAGCATAGGCCATAAACACACAAAGCAAAAAGAAAAATATTTTTCTCACTTACACTTTAAAATGTTGAATTGAAAGAAAATATTCATAGCTATCAAAAGTAAATTGAGAAAAATAAATTATCAGAACTCAACGACAAAATACTCACATTTATAACAATAGACAATTAAAGACAGTAACAGGAACTTAGCATACACTAAAGCTAAATGAAATAAATAATTAACCCTCGTATTACAGACAACGAAAGGAGGAAAGCATTGTCTACATACGTGAAACCCTCGTTATTGATGATTAACGCGGATGATGGGATATGGTATGACTACGATTGTGGAGCCGTCATCTATAACCAGGCTTACATATGTCAATATAGCCAGTGATTAGTGTAGAGATGTGACATAGTTATCTCCCTTTGTTAGGTGTATGTTTCTGTAGAGGGTCCGTCTCACAACGCCACGAACGAGAACTGTGCCATGATTAACGTGTATGATGGGATGTGGTATGACTACGATTGTGGAGCCGTCATCTATAACCAGGCTTACATATGTCAATATTGCCAGTGATTAGTGTAGAGATGTGACATAGTTATCTCCCTTTGTTAGGTGTATGTATCTGTAGAGGGACCATCTCACAACGCCACGAACGAGAACTGTGCCATGATTAACGTGGATGATGGGATGTGGTATGACTACGATTGTGGAGCCGTCATCTATAACCAGGCTTACATATGTCAATATATGGACATTTAAAATGAATGGCATATTAAAATATTAAAAAAGAATGTTTACGAAACATGTAATCGTGTATTTATAAGTGTAGTAAACTATTCAAAACAATCTCAAGGGGTTTGTTTATGTTTTAATACATCATATGTCATTTCACTTATTCCATTGAACATATCATCAGGTCTGGATATGTAATTCCCGAAAATGATCAAACAGATAAATAACTCGATCCTGTATCAACATTGTTTTACAATGAAACCTGATTTATAGAAAAGATAAGAGATTTGTGTCATAGAAATTTGACAGATTTGATGAAAAAAAAAAATGCAATCAGTTTAAGTCATTTGATTTGTTAAAGTCATCTATAAATAGTGTGGATTCGATAACGAATAAAACTATCTATTTTATGAACTAGAAGTACTAGAAAATTGTTTAAAAGGTCAGTCTTTGTCAGTGCGGCGCTGGTCAAGTAAGCCTTGTGCTTATTGTATGAAGATGTAGAAAAATCATTTTTCAGACATAAAGAATAAAATAAATCCTCATATAGTCGACCTCCGATATCCATTTTGATAACAGACGAGTCAATAGTCCTATTGTCAATCTAGGTAAATCAAAAGTTCAGTGATATCGATTACCAATGATACAGGTGAAATATTCGTGACATCTCAGGAAGTGTATAGCGTGTTCGATCTACCTGAACAATAAACAGATCTCAGGAAGTGTATAGCGTGGTCGAACTACCTGAACAATAAACAGATCTCAGGAAGTGTATAGCGTGTTCGAACTACCTGAACAATAAACAGATCTCAGGAGGCAATGTAAACCTCCGAAATGAATACTTCACGAACAGATCACCTGACAGGTCATTCTGTGATACCAACTAAGATGTTAAACGTTTGCTGTGAAAGTAAGCGATTCAACACGTCATTTATATTGATTATTTTGAAACGCGACATAGCACATCACAGCCAGAGTGTCTAATGTGATAGATTATTTTTCCCCTTGTTCCCAACCAACGAATCCGCAAACGAATTTTGCTATGGAAAATATGTTGTCTATGTTTTGGACCTTATATGTATTATAATGTCTATGTTGTTACTAACGTTAAAAAGTTTAATGATCATACATTATCTAGCTTCTGGACTGCTGTGCATGTGTACACGAAGTTGATAAAACAGTAATATTAAAAATAAATATGAAGTGCTAAATCTATGATAAATTATCTTGTTATCAAAGAGGGATCCAGATAAGTGCTACACAACTTAATATATTTTCTTCTAGCGTATTAGAATGGAAATAACATTGCATTTTTGACAGTGAAGCTGGAAAATATAAAATTGACAAAATGAAAACAACTAAAAAAATATTCTTGTCTCAAATGTTTTCTGTATACGCTAATATTGTTCCTTTTGTTAGCAACAATAAATACTATCATCGTATTATCTAATGGAAACTTATCCATCTTAAAACGTATATGGACATTGACCTACTTTTACGTTGATAAATATCCTTCACAAGTGTTAACATTTGCATGTAGGTAAACATTACAAACAGGAACATGTCACTTCTATCTATGCAAGCGATTGACCTCATTTCAATTCAACTTGTTTGTTTACATACCGGGTCATGGGTGTTTACTGAAACTACGATTATTTGTTTAGTTTAATCTTAATTATATGGTCCAGTTTGATATGTTTTCCTTCATTCATTTCTTGTTTGAACATTACTACAGTATGAGAGGGAAGCAAATTAACGGTTGTCACATATGGTGTAGAAAATGAGTTCCCTTCTTGAGGACGAGTTTATCTCTAGCTAATAAAAGATCTGTCTCTGGTGTGGTATATCTTACGTTTTCTTGTCTTTTTGTGTTGGTGCTGCCTTTATTTTAGATATATTTGTTTTATTTTGCGCAATAGGAAAATAGGAAATTGTCATAAATCTAAAGAAACGTATACCTGTTCTCTAAACATCAAATACCTTTTTGTCTATGTGTATAAAGCTTACTTTCTGAAAACTGGAATTATTGACACAGAAACTGGTACTGGAAATGAAGTTCTAGCTGTATGCCTTCGCCATACAGTATATGATAAATGAAGACATTTTATGTAAGATAACTTTAAGGGAATGCGTTTTCTGCAAAACAAATAAACTGCAAGAGCTTACCATTGGTATCTGAAATTGGTTTTTTTTTTTTTGTGTGTGTGCTCTGATATGGGTTCTGTTTTTTATAGTTCCCTTAGTAAATAGTAAATATATAGCCATAAATATAGTCACAATGTTAATACGTTCATAGCTTCATACCTTCTCATCTGTGCATGTTCACAGACATTACTTATATTACATACACACGCGTAACTGAGTGATCTGGAAAATTGTAGAGCAAAGAATCGAACGCGGTTTCCGCTATTTATAATTCAAAATATCTCCTGGACTCTGTTCCGAACGTCTAAACCTTTCTAGTTATGAAAACCCAACACATATTGCAATTATTAATGACTACGACAGGCAACCCGATTGTACAATTGGTAATGTAGATGTAAAAGGGAAATAACGTTGGGGCAATGTTTTGTAGTAGTTCTAAAACAACAATGTAAACAATCAATTTCAATTGAGTTTATTCTCTATAAATGCCTAAGATATGACTGATACATTACTCACTACCTAAACACGAAGACACTTGCCTAACTGTAATAAACTGGAGGTTGTGTGTTTGATTGCCGGTGTGTTTATCTCGATCTGAACTGTTTATGACCTCAGCAATGACTATCAATCAATGCAACTCTGATACTTCGCTTGTTTATTTACATATACAGTTTTAGATAAGAAGTGGTTAACAACATGACTTCATTAGATATATTTCATAAATGTGTAGTCTCAAAAATGAAATTTTACAGATTCAATCGCATCATATACAGAAAAGAGACATTGTATTTATCTATTGAAATGTTGTTTCTTTTTATACAAATGTAATTCTGTTTCGTCGCGTATAGAATCCGACTTTCTTAATGAATCTGTATTTGATTAACAATCGGTAGCGATTATATTAACAGATATGAATTTGCAAATAAGGTTCAACCTCAAAAATAAGGATCAATACCAATTTTAGATATGGACATAAAGGCAAGTTATTCCTGCATCCATCATATAACTTAACTATCACACTTCCATATTGTCCTTATTTTATATATCCCAAATCGTGTCCGTTTATTTTTTTTATCAAGAGTTGCGATAAGTAATCAGGTTCAAATATATATCATGTTCATTAACCGAACGACTAAATAGATAAAATGTGTATGTTTTGTTTGACATTTCAAAATGTAAAATTGCAATAAAAATAATTAACATTGAGTTTGAACAAAAAAAACATAACATCAGCTCACAACGACATATATAATGAAAACTTTATTTCATTTCTTTTTTTTCATTTACAGTTAGATGTAAAGTAATACACAATTGTTGAAATTGGATTTTGAAATAAGTTTTACAAGTTATGTAGATCCACCTCCAGGATCTACATGTCAGGAACGTCATGATTGGAACTCATATTTGTAATAATAGGCAATTAAAATACGAATATGATAAACGCAAAAAAAGGAAAAAAGAAATTCATTATTAACCTCCATCACAACTACGACGAAACGTGCTAAGGATGGCCTGCACACTTGGAATACATACATTGTATATATATATGGGTCAAAGAAATAATATAGATGGTAAAATCCCATATAACACTGAATCCTAATGGAGGTATGTCCGTAGGATACGAATTATTTAAAATAGTATTTGGGGGCAAAGAAGTAATTCCAACAGTGTGGACAAGTTAAGGTTGTCAAATTTTCGGAGCGATCCGCTCCTTTATCAAGACACAGTGAAATAGAACAGTTACATGTAAATATACATCATATTACAAGAAGATAGAATTGATATACTATAATTGAAAATATAGCTATTATATAAAACCAAGAGTTCCCTCGGCTAAAGACAGCCGAAGGCAGCAATTAAGCTGAGAGCATCGCGGACAAGGAACACTGATAGTCTAAATATCGGAATGCTCGCTGGTCTATAGCGAAAGTGCACTAAGACGACTCGCCCAATGAAACACAACGACGACCCGCCAAATGATAACCAAAATCGGAAAAGAATCCCTCTAGAAAACTCTTTAACTACTAAATATATGTAGAGGACCTATTCTTGCGCAAGATGCACTATCACATAAAATGAGTCAACTAGAGATTAGCGCCAGAAAGAAGGGACGAGATATCAAAAATGTGGAACATGTGCACGTGGGAATCTGGCCCGGTAAATGTGAAAATCTCAATTTCCTACCTCCATTAGGATCCAGTGTTATATGGGATTTTACCGTCTATATTACTTCTTTGACCCATATATATATATATCTATATATATATAGGTACAGTACTTACAGGTTATAGAAGGCACTGCATGTTGTTGTTTTTTAATTTTGGGGGCTAGTATTTACAGGTTGTCCCGTCAGAACTAGTTCGCGGGATTTAATTGAACGCAACATGGCCAGGGAAAATTATCATCCACACGAGATGACTTTTGCATTTTTTTGTGACGAGATTTATTTTAAAAGTGTAGAAAAATACAGTAAATTCCATGACTGAATTATATTTTTAATTTATATACATACATATTTACAGATAATACAATCTATGGTATTAATATTCGCTATGTCTTTGATTTCGCAATATCTTTTGTGACTTTAAATATAGCGAAATTAAATCACCCGCAAATATCACTAAATATTTAGTATACCAATAAGTATACAACGAAACAAAAAAATACAGGGAGAACATATGTACACATCTTAATCATATCTATAGTCTATGTGTATGTAGCCTTCCTTGACCATTTAACTGTCCGATAGGGGACGAATTACCAGTCACAGGAGAGATACCGTATCACAGGGCTGATAAGAGTACTATGTCAACTTTTGTTGTAGCTCATTAGTACAGGGTGTGTTAACCCTTTAACTGATATAAATCTATAGCATCTACTCCAGAATAAAAGCGTTTGATTGGTTGATAAACCCATTCCTTACAAACGAAGAAATCTGATTGGCTGAATCACTCGTACGAGAAAAGAGAGCAAAGAGCGTATATGATAGTTGCATACATGTAATAACAATTTTATGTTATTAATAATATTCTACAGATGCGCATACTCCTATATCTTATAGCCATGTATCTATTACTTTTTCTTGGGATATTTGGCGTCGCAATTGGTAAGTATCATTTTGGATTGATATCGTGTTAGCGATAAATGTATGACAATGAATGTGTAATAATTGTCAATTAAATTCAGTAAAATAGATTATCCATACATGCAAACCTATTTCCGGGATCACCGGGAATTATATAGCAACATACAATATCCATGTTAGAGGTGTGTATTGTTACATAAATCTTCGAACAGGATAATCTTAATTGATTTAAGTCAATTTTGAGTTAATCTGACAAGTGTTGTTATGGGACAGATTTAAGGTATACCCACATTAATTTCATATGCTTGTTTTGTTACTTTCTTAAGGACGGGTTCAACATAAACGTTATACTCAAAATGTCATCTATACATGTTGAAAATCATATTTTATGCAGAACATATTAGCATAATGGTTGTAGATAGTTATGCTTTTATAGTCTGAAGAGAAAACAAAACAGCAAAAGATCACCTAAGTGTCAATCAAACCATTGTTCCAACTCAATATCAATAAGACTAGGGCAAAATATGAACCATTGTAAGCGTATAGAAGTGCACGGGATTCAGATAAATATTATTGATACCATATATCCACTTTCATATTACTAACAAATTCATTTACAGCTCAAACAAGCACTGACTTGACCCATTGTCCAGGCTCTGTAGCCCGAAACAAATATTTAAAGGTATACGGCGGTAGGTGTCTTCAATTTGTCCTTCACGAGAAATCATGGACCAGGGCGAAGGCAGATTGTAAAAGCAGGGGAGGTAACCTGGTGATGATAAAGACCACTGGGAAACAAACGTTTGTTTATAACACTCTGAAGAGTCTTCACTGGCACTACAATGGCTTATGGATCGGAGGATCTGACAGCGTTAGAGAGGGCAAATGGGTTTGGGTTGATGGTGAGTTTAATATGTTTAGCTTATCAAATATCTCGGTAATGAGTTAACCTTTCTTAGTAATTGGAGAAATTGCTCACTTCAATTATTTTACAAATCCCTTTATTAATTGATCGATTAATTATTTGTTTAAATATGATAACGTAATCGCTTTCATCGAACCTTGATGCGAACACAATTTTTTTAAAAAGCGATATGCACATTTTGCTTATTGGATTATGATGACGACAATAAAGTTAATACAAGGTTTGGTTTTGAAAACTGTTAAGAAATTAAAGATTTAAAGATTTTTGCTAACAAAATTACTTGCTCATAATTTTTTAAACTTTTTCGACTTTTAGGAACTCCTATGTCGTTCGGGAACTGGCATCGAGGACAGGGACCTTCGGCACATCATGGATTCTTTTTCTCGTCCTCAAGTTTTGAGGACTGTGCCCAAATGAGGTTAGACGACAGCGGAAGATGGCACGACTACTCATGTGGACGGTCATACTCGTACATCTGTGAATACGGTACGTGTTGATCTCTATTGAAACATCTTCTATCAAATATCATTGTTCGTGCAGTTAAATCCTACACGATGCCGACAGGGAAACTGGTCAGTTTATCCGACTTCAGCTAGGGGAGGGAGATTTCAAGAATCAGATATTTTCCTACTTTTGTCTTACTCTCTTTCCTGGCTGAAAGATGTTATATAAGACAGTTCTGGGCTATTGTTCCTTACTGAAATAGTTAAAAACAAATGCTGTCTGACACCCTGCCTAATCCAATTATTCAGTTATGTGTTGGATAAAACAAGTCTCACCCTAAAAGAAGCACCATTTAAATTGCCGTTCTGTATTTTATATTACTTAAAGTATAATATTTGTGAACAAAACCCTTGAATTGTATCAGAATAATATAATGTAATGATATATTAATTACCAAATTGCCTAATGTTGGTTAACTAAATACAATTCCCCGTGTCTTAAAACGCCTATTTAGTGAATAAAGATTTTCATTGATGTTGTAGGAATCATTGATTTTGATAAGATAATTATATTATTACCATTACTTATTGTACATTCTCATTTTTCAATTTGTGAACAGGTTTTACATCTACCGCCGTAGCAACGGCAGTTCCTCCTCACACAACTCCTCGTCCTGTGCCAAAAACTACTCCCCGACCCCGGACAACTGTTCGACCAAAAACCACTCCAAGTGCCCGGACAACTCTTCGACCACAAACAACAGTCAAACCGACAACTGGTAGCCCGCCTTATTGGTTGTCATAAGTTAATTTATATTCATTTATAAATAAGTGCTTCCAATTTATTTAATTTGGTTTCAGAAACTACACAAGAATCCTTGTAATTGTTATAAAAAAAGAGAAATGGAACGGATAGACCGGGAGTCGAACCCTTGGTCTTATTAACCATGTGCTTGTGCAAGGGTTTCGGTATAAATATTTCGCTTTTCATCAGTGTCTTGGTTACTCAAATTGAGTTCGAGTAACGGTTTTACTGATATTTCGATATTATCTTGTTGGTTCTGTTAAATTTCAAAAAATCACTTGACAAGCTTCTATGAACTCTTATATTTTCCTCGTACTCTGATATCTTGGTTTCAAAAAAAGCAACTACTTTATCGAGTGAACATCAATTTGTTGTAAGAATGCTTCAAATATATTTTTAATAATCGGATTTTAAAATGAGTTCAAAATATGAAGTTTACATAGACGTAACTATACCAGACTTCTAACAGTTCAGTAAATGTATATAACCATGTTTTGATTAACTGATTGAGATATTACACTGTTGTCTCAATCCCATATATCTATATGACATTTACTCACATATTCTATTTACAGCTCAAACAAGCACTGACTTGACCCATTGTCCAGGCTCCGTACCCCGTAACAACTACTTGAAGGTATACGGCGGAAAGTGTCTCCAGTTCTTACTTACGGAGAGATCATGGACTCAAGCCGGTGCGGATTGTAAAAGCAGGGGAGGTAGCCTGGTGATGATAAAGAATGCTGGAAAACAAGCGTTTGTTTATAACACTCTGAAGAGTCTTCACTGGCGCTACCATGGAGTTTGGATTGGAGGATCTGACAGAGATAAGGAGGGTGAATGGGTTTGGGTAGATGGTGAGTGTTATTGTTAAAGGCTAAAATATGCATATGTTTAAATATGATTACAATATTATAGGATCGCCCTTTTCAATGCAATATTTGTAACTATGTAATTATTATACGTGTATAGTTGTATTTAATGAACAATGAACACAGTTAAGATTTCTTCCTTTTCGGCCCCTAGCATCAACGATAAGCCTTAGAAAGACAAAACAGCTATATGGTACATGGTGAGGCAATTTTTGTATACTGTACCACATTTACGTTCATCATTCAGGTTTAGATGCAAGGTCATGAGACGGTTTTGTTCTTGCAGAATCTGTTAAGAAACTTAAACCCTTTCAATTTGTAGGTAGTCATATTGAGTACGGGAACTGGCATCCAGGACAAGGACCTACAACACACAATGGCTTCTTCTTCTCGTCCTCGACTTTTGAGGATTGTGCCGAAATGAGGTTAGACGACGGAGGAAAATGGCATGACTACCCGTGTGGCGGATTGCGATACAGTTACTCTTACGTCTGTGAATACGGTATGGGTTGATTATCATTGCAAATTTTCTATCAAACAGCGTTTATGGTGCTGTTTACCCTTGAAAGCTATCAAGTAAGGGTTGAGATGGGTGGGATGGTCTTTTCAGGATCGAAGGTTTTTATCTTGTGTCTTGCTGTCTTTCCTGCCAAAGAGATAATACAGAATAAATAAAATAGATCGGCATCTGTTCAATTCGATCCCTGGACATACTGTCAACCTGCCTTATTAGATATTTAGCTGTGGCGTCACATGTCGCATAGAAACTTCATTATAAATATTGTGTATTTTGAAATCTTGTCGGTGCAAACTAGGTGTTGAGTTAAACAGGTTTCACTGTTTCTAAGATTTTCCTATATTTAATCTATGTTTTCTGTATTTGTGTCACACAATTTATACTGTTTGCAATTAAACATTTGGTGTCAGAAATTTCGTATAGTGGGTCACCTGTTTTATGATTTGCTATGCCTTTCTTTAAATGCCTATTTAATTAATAAAGATATGAACTTTTCATTGATGTCCTAGTAAGTTTTGATGACCAATACTATTTTTTTCAACTTTGCAACAGCATTAGCATCTACCGTAACTCTTCGACCACGAACAACTGTCAATCCCAGGACAACAATTAAACCGCCAGTTGGTATGTCACATTATTGGTTGCCATAAGTTTATCTTTATTCATTTACGACTTAGAGATATTAATTAGTTTGGTTTGATATCAGAAATTTCATAAGAATCCTTGTAATTGTAATAGGAGAAATGCACGGATAGATTTAGATTCAAAGCCGGGACCCTCCCGTACTCTAGATTGACTCTCTACCAATTGAGCTACCCAGTCGTCGACGATATACCCAGCCAAGTTTCGCTACTTTTCTTTTAATGAAATTGATTGAGGTGTATTATATCCATACCAGACAACCATTTGACGATTATTGACGTATTATATTTACAGCTCAAACAAGCACTGACTTGACCCATTGTCCAGGCTCCGTACCCCGTAACAACTACTTGAAGGTATACGGCGGAAAGTGTCTCCAGTTCTTACTTACGGAGAGATCATGGACCAAAGCTAGTGCAGATTGTAAAAGCAGGGGAGGTAGCCTGGTGATGATAAAGAATGCTGGAAAACAAGCGTTTGTTTATAACACTCTGAAGAGTCTTCACTGGCGCTACCATGGAGTTTGGATTGGAGGATCTGACAGAGATAAGGAGGGTGAATGGGTTTGGGTAGATGGTGAGTGTTATTGTTAAAGGCTAAAATATGCATATGTTTAAATATGATTACAATATTATAGGATCGCCCTTTTCAATGCAATATTTGTAACTATGTAATTATTATACGTGTATAGTTGTATTTAATGAACAATGAACACAGTTAAGATTTCTTCCTTTTTGGCCCCTAGCATCAACGATAAGCCCTAGAAAGACAAAATAGCTATATGGTACATGGTGAGGCAATTTTTGTATACTGTATATATATGATTGTGACTTGCGTTCATCATTCAGATTTAGATGTAAGGTCATGAGACGGGTTTTTTCTTGCAGAATCTGTTAAGGTACTTAAACCCTTTCAATTTGTAGGTAGTCATATTGAGTACGGGAACTGGCATCCTGGACAAGGACCTACGACACACAATGGCTTCTTCTTCTCGTCCTCGACTTTTGAGGATTGTGCCGAAATGAGGTTAGACGACGGTGGGAAATGGCATGACTACCCGTGTGGCGGATTGCGATACAGTTACTCTTACGTCTGTGAATATGGTATGGGATGACTATCATTGCAAAATCTCCCATCAAACATCATTTATCGAGATTTTTGCCCTTGTAAGATGTCAAGAAGGGTTGAGATGGGTGGTGTGGAAGTCTTTTCATTGTCTCTTCTGTCTTACCTGCCAGAGGGATAATACAGAATACAATATTTGAATGCTGTTCCTTATTGAAATAGAGCAACATTTGTTCAATCCGACCCCTGGAGATAATGTTTACCTGCCTTATCAAATATTGAATTTTGTCATTAAATGCCGTATAGAAACCTTCAAATATATTATGTGTATTTTGCAACCATGTCTATGCAAATTTGGTGTTAAATTAAACAGGTTTCACAGCATACAAGATTATAAGACATTTATAATTATATGCCCTTCTTGATATCCTATTATGTAAATAGAGACGTTGAATATTCATTGATGTCCTAGTGAGTTGTGATGACCAATAATTGGTTATGATATTTTTTTCAACTTGGCAACAGCATTATCATCTACGGCCGTATCAGTGGTAGTTCCTCATCACACAACTCCTCGTCCTGTGCCAAAAACCACTCCACGTCCCCGGACAACACTAAGACCTATTAGGCCACAAACTACCTCCAGACCTCAAACGTCAAGAAAACCAGATGTACACTCCATTGTTCCTAAAATGTCATCGACAGCCAAACCAGGAATGCTTCAATCTACGAAACCAAACAGATATGTGGCATCTAATGGAGCAAACAGTATGTATAAACATCGTTGCTGCAAATCACTTACTTTTTGTGAGATATAATTGACGCTTTAATTTCAGTTGAAGGACTATTCCACGAATGTTCATTTTAAGGCTATTAAATAAGATTACAAACCCTTGTATTAAACAATGGAAATCATATTAGAAGACACGTATTCACACTAATAAGGAAATGACAAACCGAATATTAAGCTTCCTTTTAGTTTGGTGTTAAATATTTTTGCGGATTAATACACAAGTCATTATTAGAAAGGTTACCAGTTCGTGGTTTCAACTTTCCTATTTTGAATTTTCCCTTTTTTGATAGTATCATCCATTTTTTGCCAATCTTCCGTGTTCATACGTCAAAGTTGATTCGGTATTCAAAGCTTGTTCTGAATATTACGAATTCGTTTAATCGAAATGCGTAGGCAAATGAAGATTATAGACAGGCCTCATGGTCGCCTTTACGATATGATTGGGTACAATTCAATATCCTCGTGTGGCCGGTGTTTTTGATTTTCCTTATTAGTGTCCTTTTTCCCCTTTTCACTCTCCCCTATTTTGCTTTAAGGTCGTGGGGTTGCATGGTTTTACATAGCGGTGTGTGGTAAATGAAGTAAAAGACCCTTCTAGATCTCTAGTCTTTTTCTGTTCTACTTGTTCAAGGGTTTTGACGTAAATATTTTCTTTATTCATGTTTAACCCTAGTTTTATTGATTTTGAGCTTAATTATATCAAAAAGTTTTGTTTATTGAATTATTTAAACCTTGATATGACGGTAATACTTTCTAAACCTTAAACATAATACATTTTTGTAAGAAAATATAGAAACATTTGTACCTTTTAGGAAACCACTTTAGTGCTTCACAACAAAGAAACCCCAAACCGAAGTCGACAAATGAAACAGGTTAGTTGTTTTCATGTTATTACCGTATAATGGGTTATTTTTGCGGGCTTAAATTTTCTCGTTTTTGACCAAAAATGGGAACAATAAATCAACACTATCTAGACGGGTGAAGAAACTGAATTGTGGCGGTGTTTTAACACAGAGAAAGAATATATTGCGTATAAAGTGGCAAATAGTCAAATGAATACCCTTTATTGCATAATTTACAAAAATTAAGCAAAACCAAGTAAGTATATTTTGTTTAATAATTCATGAACAGAACTACTTCATGTGTGATATAATCTATTTCAAATATTTTGTATCATTACTCTTGATGTAAATAAATCGGTTCAACTACTTATTATGGCTGGGAAATTTATTATCGCTGCTCATTTTTACGCTTTTCATATTATTCTGCGAAACATATTGACAAGCGAAATCGCGAAAATATCATACCCGCGGAAATAACCTCATACACGGTACTTGTAACTGGCAGGACGAAACAGAATATTAATAAGATCACTTAAAGATTCGGGTTAAAAAGAATAGGCGTTATGTATACCAATGCATGCTCGTATGAGGCGACTTGTGTGGTGGAGGGGCCAATACAATTGGAAATGTTCTCCTATTTCGATTAGTGAGTGGACTACAAGGACGTAAAATGACCATATTGCAAAACGAAGGATCTTTGTTTATGGACTGTTATTGCCTGAATAAACACAAATAAATATGTGAAGCAGGAGAGAGGAATTAATATAAACGTGTTTCCGAAACACTCTGAAACCGTATATATGAAATAAACATGTAGGATTAATGAATAAAATACTGCTTAAACTTATCTGTAGCATAGATATGAGAAGACGTATTCATCATATACCTCTTATTTTCTGATGTAGACGAAACGAAAACCAAGCAAATCAGTATCAATACGCGTAAGTCAACGAGTGTTAGTATGATTGAAATCAACTGTTAACTTGACATATTGCACTATTCAATATTCATTGTCACTCAATGTTTTATGTGAATATAAATAATACAATAACTGGTCTTTCTTGTGCAGGTGTTATCGTGGGCGTAGTGGTTGGTGGATTAGTCTTCGTCGCACTGCTGGCGGCCGTAGTTGTTGTCCAACTCCGCAGGTATTTTATTTAGCACGTTTTACATCTAGATTGTTCCTTGTCCTATTTAAGATGTTTAGCTTCGTATGAATATTTGATGTTAAGTAAGGTCAAACACACAACACACACACATATATATATATATGTCCTGTTAACATATAAAAAAGTTTCCCTAATGAACCTCTAAAGAGGAGAAAGCGCTAGGGAAGTCGAAGAAGCTCTTGTCTTTAGCTTTCATATATATACATACATTATATATTCCTTTTTTTCTACCGTTTGTCTCTATCTTTACTTAGTGCTTTACTTGGCTATTTTGGCTTTTTGGCTATTTAAGATATTTCCAAACAAGCACCATTAGAATTTGAAACGCTTTGATTTGCCTTATATCCAATTTTTAAAAGCGAAAAGTACAATTGTAACGATTGTTTTGATACAAGACTATTTTATGACGTTGGAACATAACATCAAAATATATTCAATACCAATGGCTTCAGTCATGTTTGTCTGGTGTGTTTATAGCTAAGACTAGTTTACGATATCCCTAATCAAGACACACTTCCTCAATTCTCATGAATATATTTCGTTATCATCCACGCAAACAGAATTCTTGGAAAACCACAAATATTGTATTCAAGATAAGATTTATGCCTCTCGTTTAACTAATTGAGTTTAAACTTTTGTGATAAACTCTTATTAATATTTGTGGTTATCATATTTAGCTCGACATATATTATAACATATATATAATACCTTGTCATTTCCAGGAAACGTACAGTTGCCCTTAGCCCGATGTCTATTGACAACAAACTATATGGGATATCTCCAAGTCAGAGGTCAGAGGGAGAGGTTTACTGATAATTGATTAGTTTCGTTAATCATCGTAATACCAAAATAGTAATACTCCAGGTGAAAGCTATGTCAACTAGTACAGGAGTTGAAATATTAAAACATGTGTAAATACTTACGCTTTACAAGAGCTGGCCATTGTAATGGGTTTTTAATTTGAGTAGGAAGTCAAAATATTCGATTTGTAAAACTACAAGGAAATATTACAAATGCTTCACTTTTGTCACTTTCAAAATGGCCGTAATGATCGTATTTGGCTAATAAGTGTCAAACGGGCATTTAAAAAAAAAAGAACCGTCAAACGTGGCAAAAAAAAAAAAATATATACTTTTTTAATTCTGGATGCAGGGTCGAGCCAATAATGCCGTTATCTTTATAACCAATGCACTGCATTTATGGTTTTAAATTATATTATGTTCATCAAAATGCCATTTATATCTCTTTATTGTCGGAGGTATCTATTTCAATTAAGTCTTCAAAGTATTTGATTGAGACGACTTTAGGTCCAAAATGCAAAAAAAAAACAAAAAAAATCATAATGTTTTCATATCCTCTCATGAGTAAGTATTAAGTAAACATTTAATGAGATAATTGAAAATTTAAAAAAAAACATTTTGTATTTTTTCGGTTATATGGATTAATCGCAAACTGTAAATAGGTCATGGAAATGTTCATATTTGTTGTGTCACGGTATTGACATAGTAGCAAAAGTATAATTATCATGACTAGGTTATTACAGTTAAATTTGACATGATCGTAATCGTATATATAATATAACAAAATATACTATTTATAAATTAATCTGTCATTAATTATTATAAGCAAATGCATTCGTTTACAACTTAGTCTGACGACGGACTTATATTAAATGCGTGCCTTATAGAAGATATAAATGTTTATCTAAGCCAAAACAGATATGATAGCGACAGTCGGTTGCTAGTACGTCTTTCGCTGCGAGGTCACCGTTCCGTTATCATAGTGATAAGCGAGTGGCCCTGATGTGTAAATAATGTTTAAGCCATGCACTCGTTTCATTACCTCGACATTGTGATTATTTATCTTTTTCATAAAATGTTTAATCTTAAGGATCCCTGTGTCACTGCAAGCAACTGTAGCTTGATTGTTTTCCCGGCGTGACCGTAACTCATTTCTGGAAAAAAAAATCCATACCTCGCAGGACTTTTTAAAAAATGATAAAGATGATAAAAAAATATAAACAAGAACAGTTTTCAAAGAGTGATTATGTTCAGCGGGGCTAGACCGGGTATCGAACTTTAAATGTCAGATTGTTATAGTGTCGCTCAAACCGAAGTGCACTGGCACCCAGCAAACGGAAGTGCACTGGCACAAATGTGTTTCACTTATTATCCAAAATGAAATTAAGGGAAGGTTACTTTATATACCAAACCCACAGTGCAGTGGAACAGGATCCTTAAGCTTAAAATACATCTGATGTATGTTTCCATGTTATTTTGTTTTCATTTAAAAATATGTTTCATTGTTGTAAATCATATCTCGTTGTGATGTTTTGTTTTGTTTGTTTTAAGGAAGTACTGTAGAATAGGCTTTCATTGTTAAAGATAGCATAATATTCATGACTGATTGTTATTGTTATATAAACTATATATCCCTTGGTATTTGTTCAAACATTACGAATTATCTTAAATCTCCGTACGTAGTTTCTTTTTTTAAAACGTTGACCACCTTATATTACGTTAAAGTGACAATAAAGAACTGACAAAATATTAACACAGTTTCCATTCATGTAAGCAATTTTTCACGAAAGTTATTTGCATATCGTTGCTAGATTATATATTTTCTCGTATGCTCAGACAGGTACATGTATGCAGTGCAATAACATCATAATATATTTTCCATTCACCGTTAACAGCTGATAAATGTATATGATACTTATTGCATCTTAAGATAAAGAGTACCATCAATAAATATATGTTATCATCGATCAGTTAAAGATAAATAATTATCTGTTATTAGTATCATTATAATGAAATAATGTTTAAGGTTTTCTGTTTAAATATTACTTTGTCCGAAATTGGAGAAGTTGATAAAAACAAATAAGAAAATAATATAGATTCTTCCTATTTAGTTTCATGATGCAAATAGAAGCGTCCGAATAAAAAAAACACTTATAGATTGTCAGGTATGTAATCCCATCATAAATATACAATCAATTGAGGTTATTTGTGTTGGGAGCACCTAAGGTGATATGTATGTTCGTACATGTCTGTTATCAAGATGATGTAGCTTAACTAGATATAAAACATCTTGTCATTTTAAGTAAAAAAATTCACATTATATTCCTTGAAAAGCGTCTGTAGCATTATTATAATTTCAGTGTACCATATCTGTTGGTTTTCATTTTTAATCACTGGAAATATAGATAGTGTTTTCAGGTTTAATAAAATTAAAGATACCCTAGATTCAAGTTTTACATCAATATATATTAAGCTGAGTAAGCTTTGTACAACTGTATTTGGATCGATAGCTGTAATGATAACGTGTCGGATTTGTATCTGTACATGAAAGCATTGTTATCGTAATCAACTCGTACATAGAACAAGTGGGACAACGTACAAACTTGCATTTCTCTCGTGCATTTGTAAAAAATAAATGTAGTATACAAGAAATGTTCGCTGTCGTTTAACTTTCGCCCTTTTCGCCCTCTGTAATGCGGACGAATTTGTTATGACAGCGATTACTTGTACACCGCACATTATAAAAATTAATTGCTTGTTAATTGTTAAAAGTCACACTAAATAGATATAGAGTTAATCGCTTAAGGACGAAAATTGAACTTGGCGAACGTTTCCTCGTATACAGTATGCAATATGTAAAATACATTCTCTGTGTTCTAACAATGATATAGTTTATTGTTCATAACTTTTTTTTTTTTTTTTTTTTTTTTTTTTATTAATTCCAGACAAATCATAATTTTACACATGAGGAACCGTCTGAGGATGGAATACAGCCTAATTTTTGTTTTTAACTGTCCTTCAAATGGCTTAATCGCAAGGATTAAAAATCACAAAGCACAGCAGTTCATGAAAAAAATGTTTTTCGACACTTTTATTATTGAATTGTAATTGGTTTACGCATTTGTTAGAAGGAGAATGCGCAAAGAATCAGTCTCATTTTGTATGTAACGAAAATTTGAGCCCTCAAACAACTTTTCAGTAGTTAAACTTGGTTAAAAAAGGTTCGAATATTTCATACTTTACGATGTACTTGTTTCTCATGAATATACACGGAAACATTATCTTCGTATAATAAATGTCGTAAAATAGGTAAAACGTGTTTTACTAAGTAGAATGAGCAACAATAAAGGTTTCTTATTTTATCTAATTTCATATTTAGAATCTTTGTTATCTTCTGAAGATGAAGTAAATGTAATTTACGTGAATTTTACTGTTAATAAATATAAATATAAACTTGCATTTGATGTTGTTTTTTCTACTTTTTTAATTGAAGAAAACAGTATAGGATTTGAGAGTGTCAAAGATGATATCAACTATGCCTAAACATACATAGGATCCATTTAAACATAACCAAACTTCAATTATCCTTTTGACTTAATTGACAAAGGTATAAAACAATAATCACACGCAAATTATATTTTGTAAATCATATACTGTCAAACCTTCTATATTATATAATTTTATGTTACTACCATATAGTAATCTGTTTAAACCCTTTGTGGTTGTGTATACATGTATTTTCAAAGAATAGTTGCAGTCATCTCCATACTTCTACTGAACCTAGTTGATCATCACTATTCATTCTGTGCGTTGAAGAATTCCGACACCACTGCCAAAAGTTGGAAACCGTTTTTCCGGCATGTCTATAGCTTTTACAACTCATTTCTGAAAGCAAACCATACTTGCAGGATTTTTTATGATATAATAAAGATGAAATAAAGAAATATGAGCCACAAAAGTGTTCAGAGTGTAAAACGTAAGCGGGGCTAGACCGGGGCCCGTATGCATGAAATCGGTCTCATGTTAAAGCATGAATTCTGTGCTCAAACCAACTTTATTGTAACTCACTTAAATCATGTCAAATGATTAAAAAGTCAATTCTAAACATTGTAAACAGTATTCATCTTCAAATCATTGGTAAAATAAGATTTTGTTTTATTAATTTATAATCGAAACAAGGAATAAGGCTTGAGCACAAAATCCATGCTGGAGTTTTATTAATACGGGCCCGGGACTCGAACTCTGGACTTCAGATTTTTATACTATCGCTCTTTCCGACCGAGCTATATGGTCAAATCACGTGTCTTGGCCAGACTGTGCTATCGTTATATCCAAATATATAATTAAGGGGAGGTAACTGTACATACGAAAAATTATTGTGCAATAGCACAGGGATCCTGAGGTAATACGTTTCCATGACTTATGCGATTTGTTCTGTTACTTTAAGCAGGAAAGTTGCAACTAAAACGAATATACAATGAAATGTTTAACATGTAAGAAATAACAACGAAATTGATCAATCGATAACTATAACGCTGTGCCTTGTTAATTGCCGGTCATGGATGCGCAAGAGAAAATGGGCCCATTCATTTCGATTCAGAACTGGTCCGCTTCGATATACCCAGATGGCTTCCTTTATCTGACGGTGAAAATTGGTTGTTCTTTCTTTTCACACGATGCTGTCTAGAAAGCAATATCCGCTCAGGCATTAGCCTCAGACATTATATTTTAGCTTCCAAGATAATGTAAAATAAGAAGGTAACCTTAATAAAAAGACACACTTGAATGAATCTGTGTTTACATCAAAAATTTTATCACTATAAATGTGTAAAGAATAGTAAGTTTATTAATTATTTATAATTATATGAGGAAACGCCTTTATCTCATAAATACGCTTAAATATGGATCTCTAGAAATGCAGTTTTCATTTCTGGAATCCGAAAGGAAGAACAAAAGGATTTATCGCAGAACTTAAAACAACAAAAGCTGTCGACGAAAGATACGTTTCTGGCTTGCTCTCACTTAAAAATAGTCCATTTACAAGGAAGTAGATGCGTGAAGGAGCTGTAAGTACCATATATATAATTCCTAAATGTCCTGTGTGCTATTCCACGTGTTTCTTGCGACAACGGTCGGGTCCGGATTGAGACATTATAGGGTGGCCATTCCCGCTGTTGTTTGTTGATTGACTCCTAAGATCACATTGCCTTTCCAAATGCAAAAACTCCTTAAGTTTACTACCAGGCAAAATATGACATAAACATTTGTGAATGTTGTCATAATTCCAATAAGTAAGGTAAATTTTCTTCCCCCGCGACCCAGTAATGGAGGGCTAGTGGCAGCAGAATGTCAGACGCCTTAATCACTTGGCCACTGCGGCCCCTGCAAATGGACGAGACATAGAGAAGCGACTTGTGTCATATAACTCATGTAAATGATGTTGAAGACAAGAAAGCTGCAGCAGCTGTTCTATTAATTGTGCTCTCTCTCGTTAAAAATTTCTGATGATGTCCCCAGACAAGAGAGAG